GACCTCCTCTAGTGGCCTAACGAGCTACAGACATATTTGTAGAAGAGTTTGGAGTGAAATAATCATAAAAGTAGATTTAGGTCCCAAAATTCCTTTTCATTTCAGTTAAAAGGAGTTGAGCCACGTTGGTCGGTTTGGATGTTCTGATAAGAATGAGAATCTAGAAGGGACTTAGAAAAGATTTCCCCTAGACAATTTTCGCACCTTTTAACGTGATAAAACCATAGATACTGTAATCTTCGTTATTTTGTGATACAAACATGCTAGGCCTTGGCAAGATTAATCTCTTTGCGAAAATTCTCCTCTTGCCCATCCGCTTTCATTCAAACAGACAACTGCGCTAATTCGGCCCCACCTACATTGTTGTAATTGGATTTCTGCTACGTCTTCTAAAAAATGAAATCAGACTATGGAATATAACCAAAGACCTGTATTATTAAAAAGTCAAATCCCAGGAGATCTTTTCTTGCACTCCTTTAGTTCTGTTTGATCTATCAATAATGGCTTTATTTAAATGCTAATCGCCTTTATTTGATCAATTAATTCAAAAGGTCGAGAACAGACTAGAATGGTATTGGATACGTTGTCAGCAAACAGAAAGAGTCCTACGACATCGATCTTGTTAACTCTCATCGTATATCACAATTACATGGTAAAATTTCAGGAACACTTCTCGCCTCAGCTATCGGAAATTTAGCTGCTTTTCTACGCATACAGCAAGACAATTCAATCAGGATTATTTTATTTCAACAAATCAATGGAAAATTTCATGGCAGACTTGGGAATTAGGCACAAGGTTCTCGATGCAGTTGTTTCTCAGAGCAAAGAGTTCGACTCAGAGTTATCAGATTTTGAAGAAATCGGTACCCCTTACCCTAGAGGTGCCCATTTATCAGATAACGAAGTGAATGCTAACGAAAATGGCCATTTACAAAATCTCAAAGATGCTTCTTCGAAGGATGTAAAGATTCCATGCCCCACTACCAGCCCAAAGTTAAAAGCAAGCGGAGTGGCTGCTTTGAGTAGCATAGACTTAACAAGAAAGGCCCTACAGCGATTTTACGAGAAAAGGGTACAACCAGGCCTTGCAAGAAAACAAAGATGTGAAGATATTGCGTATGCGGTAACACACAAAATTTTACGTAAAGTGCAAACAGTCGATGACCGTTTTCGGGGAAATGGCCTTGTACCACATGGTATACCATATGACGGTCTGAGAGCAGGTGACTCGATCCAATTCGAAATGATTCTTAATCTTCCACTTGGAATTAGGGATACTCTTTTTGTTAAAAATTATGGAAAATGCCCGTTTGTTCGTATTCAACCGATGTCAGGAGAATTGTGGAAAGATTGTATAACAAAAGGAGGTTTTATATCCGCCTCAAAAATACAATCACTTTTGAGGAAATATGTTAAACAGGCTGTCCATGTTATTCGGAAATACATCAGTCAGGGGAAGATTGAAAAATATCCCAAAGACCTCAAGAGTGTGTTTGTGGAAGGAATGAATGGCCTCAATCTTGTCATTAACAGAGATATACACGTTCAAATTTTGCCTGCATTTTGCATCCCTGATTCTAGAAGCGACTTTGCTCGGCGAGATTGTCCTTCAAGTTCTCATGTCCTGTGTTGTCAAAAGAACTCTATGGACACTACGCTTAGTTCTGATACAACTAACTGCCCTGACTGTAGTATTCAAAACCCGAAAGATATTATCAGTGCCTGGAGGATATCTTTCTTTGTTGCAGAAAAAAATAAAATGCGATCCCTGGCTAATGGGTGCAGAATTCAGCTCCTGAGAATATTGACGGAGATCAGAGACAACGAGGAAGTGTTAAAGAAGATCTCATCATACCATCTGAAAACAATACTTTTCTTCCAGTGCGACGAGCAACCAGATGTTACAGAATGGGATCAACGTTTCCTTGTGGATCGATTTGGCGATCTTCTAAAACGATTAAAAAACTGTTTGTTGGATGGATCAATCCCGCACTACTTCCAGAGGCAACCCGAATTCCCCCCTTTTAATTTGCTGGATGGGATCTGTTCTGAGGAGCTGGAGCACATGGCAGTACTTATAGAACAGCTTATTCAAGATCCACTGCCGTATTTAAGCAGTGAGTGGGAAAGAAAAAGAAATGAGTTCTGGCCATGGGAAGATCAGTTTGATCCTTTGATCGTTAAGGAATAAATTACTAAAGGATAACATGTAATTGATGGAACGTTTCTAGCAAAGTACAGTGGTATGAATAAGCAAAGATAGTTCCCTTCAAAACCAATCTTCTTGCAATCACTATCGAGGGGCATCTGTAAAGCTTTACTTCACTAGAGACACAAGCACAAGAACATTCAGCCCTATGGTCTACATACAGGGATGAGCGCTAGCTTAATTTCTTACACCACTACCACTTGTGCTTGTGCTTTGAACATTGCTGGTGCATAAAAAGAACAAAAGGCTTTGTGTTCTTGTCCTTGTACTTATACTTTTGTCACACCTGGCTTTATGTGCTTGTGTTTGTTCTTGTGTCACTAATGAGGACCAAGACCGTATGGCTGTTACCTTCTAGTCTTTTGAGACTCTTTAAAGTTTATCACACTCTTTCTTTTTATAAGAACAATTTTATAAGAACATGAGCCTCAAAATTGGCCAAGTAAGAACAAATTAAGAACCAGCTGAGGCTGAGCTTCTGCAAAATGCAATTTTGAACAATGTTTTCTCTCAAAATCGAGGATTTTTAGCGATGTGTGGGTGCTTTTCTGGTGAATATTTAAATTTGTCAGCAAATTAAGGCTGTCTCACTCACTTTGTTGGCAAATGAGGCCTGAACACCACCCTAGAGGGAAAAGCTAGCACTCCCACTGCTTATATCTTATTAGATTAAGAACAAATTAAGAAAAATCCAGCCTCAGATTTTCGAAAAAATTAAGAACAGTCAGTAAATTAAGAACCTGAACTTAAATTTACTGGTTCTTATAAAAAAGTGTGTAATTCAACATAGGGAAATGATTCTATGTGACATCTTGTACATTTAAATAAAAGATTAGATACAATGGTAAAGCTATCCATATATATGGAAAATAAGAAAAAAAAATCGATAGGTATATCCAAAGGCACAGTGTCGACGGGAGGATGTTGCAATTATCAATAACATGTTGAAAAAAAATTGAAGCAATATGCAAATAGTTAATACAATCATTCAACATCAAACAATACCATTCAACACCAAACATAGATTTGAAAAATTTCAACAATTATATACTTTATGTTTGTACATGTTTTGTAACAGTTCTAAAAATATATATACATTTGAATTTTAGTCTAGGAGCTTTTAAATAGCCGCTGCTATGATACAGCCTTTTTACTGAAACTGTAATCTACTGGTAGATTTGTTTTATAAATGTGCGTTTATAAAACCTTGATAAATCATTATTGAAATATTTTACATTTGTATTTCTGGTCCTTCTACCTGGTACTGATTGTGTGCCTCTGTCCGAACCATGTATCTTCTTAGGTGTCATTTTCACAGGAAATTTTTTGAATGGTTTAATTTTGAAACATTCGAAAGTGTTTTGAACCACCCGAAACTTATTGCATCTTTTCATGAAACTAATTATATTTGGGATTATTTTTAAATAGCAGTACCAAGAGAATTGTAGAGGTGCATCAATTTAACTGTAAATATAGTTTCTGAAACAATTGTTCCCAACAATGAATCTTTCAGCTTCAAAAAAACTGTTTGAATGAATCTATCTAATCAATGCATTGGTATATCCATTAGTGAATCTGGGATATTTTGAAATCGTCTGATCAGCAGTTCTTTTTTTTACTCATATAGTAGTAAGATCCTGTAAGCATTTAGCACAGTGTGAGATAAGAATAATCAATAGCATTAAAGCCCCAGTCAAACTGACCAAAAAATGTTAGATGGAATGCTGAGCATTTTGGGCCACAAGGCTTGGTAATTTGATATGAAAATCTCTAAGTCATTAGCAAGGGCATTGCCCACACGGTTGACTGGCGAATTCTCAAGGTTTATATAAGACAAGGTTCCACTTTTTTATCAATCCAGCTTCTGGTGCTTTGCTTTAGGTTTTTTATTTTGAATGCAATAATCCGATCCATTTATTTGTTTTGAGGGCTAAGCAGTGAATGAATTTCAACCTTGCAACCTTTTCTTTGCAACTCAGATACTTCATCTTTGTGTCAGGGACATTTTTGTTATGGAAACATTGTATCCAAATGTCCTGGAATCACATTTTGTGTCCACTGCACTGAGTCATGTCAGTAACTATATGTAATGCAGTTGTTAACATTCTATTCCAAATTTATCAAAATTTCTAACTATAATACCGAGTTGCAGATGAACAGTCCCCATTGCAACTGTAGACAACCGACAACGGTCTGGTCCAGTGTAAATGACATCTGAAGTTCTCAGTTGGGGTGCTCCACCAATAAAATAAGACCTAATCTGTTCCCGGTACGACCCCTTTGGCCTCCAAGTTACACAGTCAATATTATGGGTACCAGGTGAAGTAGGGACGTGACAGAACCCATATCCATAAATTTCATTTCTTCCAAAAACATCTTGATGCCATACTTCAAAATGTAACTTTGGCCAGTCGCTTAGGCCCTTTGTTGCCAGGTGAATATCAACAGGATGTGCAAAGGCGGCAAAATTTTCATTTCGCGGATTATCAACTTGTGTTTGACCTTCTTTGAAACCAGCTAAAATTTTCCATGATCCACCAAGGTGCAGAGACCATTTGCAGTAAAGATCATGCGATGGAAATCCGCTAGCGCCAACAATTTGTCCGATTATGTGAACTTCAGCCATTTGGCGTCCATTACATTCTGAATATTTACGAGAGGAGAGCAGCTATGCTCCTTCGCAACAACATGAATCTGCTCTGCTGCTACTGCTTTTCTGACATCATAACACAGGACCACATTGGCCTTTGGTGATGGTAAAAAGATACTTTTTCGTTATTTCCTTTAAAATGTGCCAAGAGATGACCGCTTAATTTACGCTGCTACTTTTTTGATCGATAAAGTCTTCAATGCTAATGAAGTTTAAACCACATTAGAGCTAGAATTCTAGTAAACTGACCAATTTGCTTTCATTGCAACTGTTAATTTTTCTAAAAACTTTTTTAAAATATATTCCAGTGTCTCATCCACTTTTTCAACAAAATTGAAGTTTAAATAAGTGGGGACTTGTCACACAAAAGGTGAAGTTTTGAGCAGTACAGACCAGGGATGTAGCGGGGGCTCAGGGTGTGCAGCCCCCTTGTTAAATTTTTTGAAAAAAGGAGGGGGGGCTCAGTATAGCAAAAAATCATGTAACACAAAGAAAGCAATTTAAATGCATTGCTTAGCTTGATATGCATGAAAAGGTGTAAAAGGTTTGATATATATATATATAAATAGAAAATTATTCAATGATTTCTTACTGAATACATTTAGTTGCAGTTTTGTATTGACAGTTGGTTTGTTATTGTTGCATTTAGAAATAGGGTTAATTGCCTTTAGGGGAAGCAACAGCCGGTTGCTATTATTTGACTCTGTTAAATGCCTACTTTTAATTTTTGATGCACTACCTTCTTTTTTATAAGAACAATACAATTTCTGCCAACACCTAATGTTCTTATTTTTTGGATATTTTCAGGCTCGGGTGCTCTTAATGTTCTTATTTCAAAATTTATTTTCTAGATTTGCAAACTATGAATACTTTCTAAGTCCACTGAATAACAGTTCTGCACAAAATTTTTAGTAGCAATGTTCATTAGCTGATAAAATCTCATCTGTTTTGTTAAGACAAGAGAAAATGTGTTAATTCAAAATCCAACCAATGGGTCATTATCATCAAAAAGAAAGTTTTTCCTGATTGATGCTATGAATATTTTATATGCATTTTCTGGCAATTCTAGAATGTCATATCTCAAAATTTCAATCACTGCCAACCATGGTTGTGGCCTTCACTAAACACGAGCACTATAAACATTTTGCCCTCTCATTTGCAATGAAGTTTTGTCTGGCCCTTCCCATGGTATCAATGTTCTGATCTCAGCTGCCGCTCAAACAGCCAATGTACCTGGCTGCTCAACCAATGTTCGAAAAAAACATCAACCCTCGTCATGTTCAAATTGCAATGATTGTATGACAGAGCAACTTAAAAATTTCACAAAGTCCCCCTTTAATAGCTACATCCCTGCTACAGATGCTTAATTTTTGGAAATTGGAGTTTGTGAGCATTTAATGCTGCTCTGGGCTCTCTCATTGTTCACCCTAAATTTAATAAAAATATCTTTCAAACTACATCTATCAAGTCTAATTTTAGAGTGCATTGGAGACCTGAAGAAGGCTGATATGACACACAAGCTATTTTAGATCATCTTGCAATATTTGTGTTGTTAAGCAGCAAGTACAACAGACATGTGTTGTATAAGTGTTTTCCACTAGAGATCACATCAAAACCAACTAACTTTGAAGACTTACCAAAAAGTTTTAGCTTGATAAAAACAGACGTTCAAACCAAAGAATATTTAAAATCGGGGTTAATGAATTTTATTGAAATATTCAAATTGGGTCAATCCAAAAATAACAACCCCCACAAAATTTGCAAAAACACTTCACAAAAATAAGTTCTTGAAAGAAATAATTCTTGTTCTTGAAAGAAAAAACGGTGGGTGTTATCAGAAATCTTTATGTTGTAGTAAGGAGACAAGCAAGCTGTATTTTTATACTGTGACCCTGCTGAGTCATTTCTAATGACCAGAGAAACACCTGACTATTGGGTAATGATTTGCGTGGCTTACTGAACCACTATTTTTTTCAAAATTTATCAAAAAAACTGGCCAAAACTTCCTTTATCTGTAAACATCTGATCACACAATTTCAGATGTTTCCCTTGCTCATGGAATTGGAAATGTCTGAATCAAAGACCAGGGTACATCTCACCTATGGTTCAAACATCAAAGAGATGGATACCGTAGATACGGTGACAAACTTTACATACACTCATATAGGTCTTCTTTATTTGCTCCATGTTTTTCATCATGGGATTCATAAAAGAATTTCCTAAAAGCAGAAGATTAGGTAAGAACTCTCAAATCGGAAGATTCCTCCCGAGTTAGAACCTTTGTGAACAAGTATAGCCTAAGCTGATTGTTTTTCTTATCATGACCTTGATTTGCATTAAAAAAAATTATTTCACACCAACCATTTTCCATTTAGACTCTCAGAGCTCTTGCTATGTCTTTGCAACATGAGGTACTTGGATTTAGTCTGCTAACCCCTCATGCCATATAGATTAATTGTTTGTTGTGATTTTCAGCATACATAGTGATGACAGAAAAGCCTGCATTGTCACTACCAGTTAAGAGACAAGCCAGTTGTGACATTGAAGAAAATGCTAATAAACCAATGTGTAAATATGGAGAAAAGTGTTACCGAAAGAATCCACAGCATTTCAAAGAATTTCAACATCCAAAATGTATGTCACTTTATTCTAATTCAATGCTTTAGATTGAACATGTTCTGCTTTATATTTATATATTTGATCGACTGAATCATTGATCTATGTGTGATGAAATTATTCTCTCGATTGAAAAAATTTAATCTCTATATGAATTTCTAAGTGATTTATATAAGAGACTCCAAGATTTCTGAGATAATTTCATCGTTCACTTGCTATCTTCATATGTGTCCCCTTCAATCTAATAATTGATTAAAATTTAGCCACAACTCCAGTAGCAAAAAGACAAAAATTGAACTGTGAAGAGTTGACAGCTACTTCCCGAAATCATGTACCATTATATGTAACCTCAGTCCGAGGAATATCAGCAGAGTACAATCAGAAGAATGTTGCTATTGGAATAAAAGGTAAGTTATTTTTGTCATTACATTAGCATTTGATTGCATAGTTTTTCATTAATCCAAAAAATACAATTGAGGAAACAATCCCTAAACAGCTTTTCATTGCTAACGAATGTTTGATACATTGAAGTTCTTATTAGAAAATTCTCCCTGTGCCACCATATCTACTTTTACCGACACCTGTGCCCTATATTTGTAATAAGTTTTTATACCATTGCTTAAGAGTATCAAGTGTCTATATGGTATTAAGTGTGGGTGTGGTATTAAGAAATTTTTATCTCCTATCAGAGGGTGTATCTCCCAGCCCCTCACTCCTGCTCCAGTCAGATGGAGCTACACCTTAATAAGCCAGAATTTACTGTATAGTAGACTTTCCCGTGCAGAAATCAAGGACTGACAACTGGCATCTAATCAATTGCAGCAATAAGAAATAAAATTGTTAAGCTGAATTTCTCTTTTAATTGCTTCTTATAGATATTCTATCAGAGGAAGATGGTGACCTAGAAGCATCTGCTCAGGTAAATATATTTTGTATGACTAAGAGGTCCATGAAAGCAACCCTGTCTGTTTTGAATCAAGGATTTAGTTATCTTAAAAATTGAAGGCTTAAGAAAGCTGTATGTATTTGTTACATGGTTTATGTTGTATAACATTAAAGTTATTAATTTAATTTATAAACCTGTAGAGATTCCAATGTTTTTGCCCTTTTCAATGTCTGAGCTAGGTAAGTTCCTTTCATTCAGATGCTAAGCCATTTGAGTTTTTTTTGAATTATTGCCTTCTAGTTCAACTACATGTTTGACCTTTCTTGGCTGATGCAACAATATCCTGTAAAAACAAGGTTTGCAGATTTTCTAAACAATTTCAGTCAATATTGGCAAATAATGATCTTTTTGCTAGGCTAAATATTTCTAAAGTTTAATTACTTTTCCTTGCTGTCAATTGTATTGCATGAACATTGATTTCTTTGCCACAGTAAGGTGTAAATATATTAGTCATATTCATTTACCAATGGAAGCCACCAGGAAAGGAATTGAAGTCATTAGGCAAAGAGACTAGGTATTAAAACCACATATTGGCTAGTGCTTTTTATCTCACAGATAGCAGGGCTGCTCCATTAACACAATCGTCTAAGAAAAATTACAGTCAGTTTCTTACAGTTAACTCACAGTGATATAGAAATGGCTTTTTTGCTTTATATTTTACAAGAAGGCTCAAAAAGTGTCTAAAAAGTTTTCATAAATTCAGCTCATTCTTATTGTTTTTAGGAGAAAGCCATTGCTTATTGTTCATGGAGATTCTGGTCAAAGTAAAGCAAATCTAGAAGCAGAAGCTGCACCATTCAAAAACATTGAATTTGTTCAGGCAAATTCTATATATCCCTTTTGTTTTGTTGTACATTGCTCAAGTGTGAAAACGCTTTTATAATAAATGCTTTCTAAAAGAATAATAGCCACGCAATCTCAAGTTCAGGCTAGCCTGATGCAAAGCTTTTGGCCTTGCCATAGTGAATGACAATCTATCCTAGGGCCAGGGCTGACACTAAGTTAAATATTGGGGGGGGCAAGACTATAGTTTTGATAAGATGACATGACATTTCTCCATTGCTTTAGAACAAGACCTCTGTCCTTCAAAATATGGGACCTTCCCCCCCAAGGTGTCCCCCATTGCCTAAGGCCTAGGCCACCTATTCTTCAAGACAAAGTGCCAGTCAAACGTACCATTCATTCAAGCAAGTACTAGGCTACCTGCATCGGAAAGTGAATTTCGTCCTTTTTTTGTCATAATCTACCGTTTCGTTTTCTGGAGATTGTTAGCCAAAAACTCTTTTAATTGTATGGCACTGTTTTTTTCTTTCTTTTTTTTTAAATTTGAAAGTTTCCTTTTCTATGATTATGTATGTTTTGGCATCACTGATAACGTGTTCGTTTTCGTTTTTGTATTTTTTGTATTTTTAGTTGTTCGTACAGCAGCATGGAAGAATGTTTTATTTCACAGTCTTGCTTTGTAAAGTTTTCTTTAATTACCCAAGAGTCAATCTTATAATGCTCTTTGTCTTAGATCCTGAATTTAAATTCATCAAAGCTTGATGTTCTCTTAACATTTACAGGCAGAGCTCACCATACCATATGGCACCCATCATAGGTGTGTTATGGTTATGCAAGTTGCTACATCCTTATCATTTTGATTGCTTGTCCTATGCCTCTATATTGTCACCTCTCCGAGTGAACCTTCATATATGTCCTTTAATGATATCTTTGCTCCAACAATTTTTTGCAATAAGTATAGTCAAATGACCCTCATCTACTGTCCAAAATTATCCCCTTAAAACCTTCCTACTAACTCCAGGTATACACAGGTCATGTCATCACATTGCCGGTGACATATGGAAATAGTATGTTGACTGAATAGTTAAATAGATCATGCTTTTAAAGACACCTTCCTCTGCTTAAGACTGTCGGCATTGGTAAACATTGCATCTTGTTTTTTTGTAGCAAAATGATGTTCCTTCTTTATAACGATGGATTAAAGGTGGTAATTCATACGGCGAATTTAATTGAGCAGGATTGGGACCAAAAGACGCAAGGGTAACCTTTCTGCCCAAATTTTAAGCATTTGCCTAAAACCTTTAAATCTTCATGGCATTACTACAAGCAAATTTGTTTGGAAGTAAACCTGCTTTGTAGCGATTATTAAACGCTCATAAAGTAACTTTGACCATCATTTACTGCTGTAATTTTAGCAAAAGTCTTGCCAAATCTCACTAGAATGAAGTTTGTTAGATATGTTCACAGATCGTAAAATTTGTTAGCTTAGGAATTGGTAGAATATAGGATGATTGGGCAATTGAGAATCAAGATCCACGGCGTGAATGCATGAGCTGATGTAAGCGAGAGAAAATTGCGAGGAAGGCGCAGCTAATACGCAGATTTATAAAGTATATACTTCTGGGAACTCTATAATTATCAAGCTTTTTTAGACTAGGTGGCGACCTCTCGACTTTTGTGGTATTTATAAAAATTCTTGATTTTGTTAGTGTCTGGGTGAGCCCGAAATTCCCCAAGTTATCTACGAAGCAAAATCAAGATAACCTGCAGAATGATGAATTCAAAAAAGACCTCCTGGTAAGGATTTAAGTTTTCTGATGCTGTAAAATTGCAGAACATTTACTTTTCCGTTGCCTTGGTGCAGTATATGAGTTTATTTCCTTCAAAAATCTTGCTACTTACAACCCCATTTTTAGCTCAGTTTTAGTAGTCCTCTGAAATTTGAAATTAAAGTTAGAAGTCAGGATTTCCAGCTCTCTGATGATTCTGGATTTTTCCTGAAAGTTTATGTCGAATAAAAGTAGAATTTGGTTTTTTGTTTGGACGTATAAATGTTGCTTTCTTTGGAAAAAATACAAGTCGGCTTTAAAAAGAGTGCAAAACTCTGTAGAACACTTTAAATACAATTAATTGTAACCGTGTTGTAACCATGGATGCACTTTAGGAATACTTGGATGCATATGGTAGCAGTTCTAAGCTCGATGTTTGGAGAAATAGAATCAAGGATCATGACATGACTGGAGCAAAGTAAGATTCAGATTAGCAAAATCCCCTTCGTTCCATCTTGAACCTCTGATTATGAAATGCTTCATCATTTAGAGAAACTTTTTAGAACTTCATTTCTTTGCTATCTCTTTGTTTTAAAGGTTTTATAGCAACAATTTTTATCCAAAATTTTGCTAGCAATAAACAAGATTAAATGAAGGGCTTTTATTGCTAGCTGTAGGGACTGTGAGATATCGTTATAAAAAAGTACAATTAAAATCTGCTCATCAAAGAATTTTCTTAGCATTGGTTGGAGGATTTCTTTCTAATTTGATCAGTGCATTTTCCTTAAATATATCAATTATTGTGGTTATTGACTTTAATTTTACAGTTGTTAAATAGTCAATGTCATAAGACAGAGGCAAACTCTCTTGATTAGAATTAGAGCATGCATATTTGAAACTTTGTATTTCAAGTAAATAATTACTATACAATCGTTTTATTTGTTTCTGTCAACCATTTTTCAGGGCTCGGATTGTTGCGTCCGTGCCTGGGAGACACGTAGGAATCTCGAAGTACAAATGGGGTCATCTTAGATTGCGAAGTGTAAGTGAATTTCTTTTGAAAAATAACGGTTTAAAATACTCTTACTAATACTTAATACCATACTTAGTAACGCTCTGTTTCAAGACGACTCTTTACTGTTTGAGTAAGTCCAACGACACCTTTTGTTTCTAGCTTTTAGAGCTGTTTGGTCCAGACAATGAATTTGTGGATAGACGTTGGCCTGTGCTGGGGCAGTTTTCAAGCATTGGTTCTTTAGGACCTGACGAAAAGAAATGGCTTTGTGCTGAATGGTTGGAAAGTTTGGCAGCTGTCCGTAGAAAGCCATCAATTCTAAAAGCAAATTTACCTGATTTAAAATTGGTATCTTTCTTTATTGCTGTTTACTTTGACGAAAGCTTATATTTATTCTTTTGATTGCAATTACTTTGTTGGGTTTGAAATGTAGTTATAAAACAATTTCCAAGGACTGTTTTCGTGTTGCATTTATCTCTTCTAACACTATTGTTCATTATTTCCCATATAGTCGGTTTAAGCAATTTCTTGTAATTTTCCACGCAATTATTTCAATCATCATAATTTTAGCTTTAATGGAAGTTCGTATTTTTAAACACCCTAGCAAACAGACCCTCGTATTACACCAGTTTTTCTCCTGTCTCTATTTTGTCTTGGATTTTTTTGCTATGTTTACAACTCAGTGATACACATACCTGTTACAAGTAAAAGTATTATTGGTATTTCTTATTTATTTATATAAGCAAATCTTCATTTAGTCTACAGAAATATTCGCCCAAGTAACCAAACAAGCAGAATAGAACAAAATCTATGTTTTAAATCCAGTTAATTTTACTACCACATCACCTAAAAGCGGCAATTTTTCATCATCCGACAGATTTTCCCGAGTCTTGAAAATGTAAGAACAAGTTTGGAAGGTTATAAAGGTAGGTTGTTTATATCTATTGGTAACTCCCAAGTTTATAGTAAATACCCACGTCATCCAGATCAAACCAAGTACCGAAATTTATTTCCTTTTGCTGTAAGTAAAAGTATTTTGTCTTTTTGATTAGCCTGCAGAAAATAATTCTTCTCAAAACTTTCTTCAAGATGTTTTTCATTAAAAGGAATGTTTCTGATGTATATTTTTCCTATCTGCGTTCTCAATTGCAGCTGGCGGCTCGCTCCCATACGCAGATAACAACGCACGGAAGCAATTATATTTGCTGGAATATTTCCAGTAAGTATTTACAGTCGACTCCGCTTATAGTCTCTCCGCTTAAAGTCACACTACTGGTTACATTCATTTATGCAAAGCTTTTCAATTTGGCTCCGTTTACGGTCATTCCCGTTTACAGTCACAAGTTTTCAAGTAACATTTGGTGGGAATATAACTGGAGTCTGATGTATTGCAAACTTCTACCAGATCTTTAAAAATATCTTTCAATGTATCGTCAGTATAGGCAATACAAGAGTTAAGATTTGTTTATCTATTTAAAATTGAAACACTGATTAATTAATTTATTCCTTGGAGTTTAGAGCGTGTCGTTTTTAGAAAATGGTGAATATATCATTTAGACTCCTTGCTTGTTATAAAAAGTATATGAAAAGCTTGAGATGGCAAAGAACTGGGTTCGCTCTGTTATTCTTTGGATTGTAAATCTTTGGGATGATGGTAGGACAGTCAAGTATCTAAATTGATATTAGACTGTTAGTTGTTAAAAGTGTCTAATGTACCCCCAGATTGTTGTAAAGATATATAATAAAAATTGCTTGTTATTTTTTTCTTATAACTTTTAAGAAGGTCTATTGGTTCTCGAGATTTTTTAATGACTCATTAACAATATTTTTTGTCAACTGGCAGACGCATCGGGCATGGGGGCAAGCCTTTTCATCGTTATCCTATGCAGTGAGTAATCTAAATTTGATTTTTCTTTTCATTCCAGCCAGTGGAAGTCAACTCAGTTAGGAAGGACACGTGCTTCGCCGCATATAAAATCTTATTCACGGATTTCACCTGATAGCAATGAAGCTGCATGGTTTCTTCTCACGAGGTTTCCTGCTTTTCTTGCAGTTGTTACTAGTGACTTAGTTAATGCTTGTTCTCATTCATGTAGAAAACCTGTAATCAAGTTTTTTAGTAAGTTTTTTCTTTGATTCTTGTTTTGATGTCCGGCCATTCTTATTATCAGACTCCCGGGTATCGTGATTTCTAGGGTTGTATGTTGCCTTGCTTTTAAGATCAGTGAAATGATTTATTGTATAAGATCTCATTTTGGGCCTAGAAATCTTTTCTCGTATTTTAGTTGACCTTCCTTCGTGCTTTTAAAACAAACAATATTTCTAGAGTCCTCTGAGAACAGTTAAATCAGTTTGTTGTTGAAGTGTAGCATTTTTTATTTTCAATTTTTTATTATTTGCAGTGCAAACCTCTCGAAGGCAGCTTGGGGTGCATTTGAGAAGAAAGAGTCGCAATTGATGATACGATCGTTTGAGATTGGTGTCTTAATGATCCCACAGCAATTTGTAAGTTCGTTTGTAGTCTATCGATGTCATCAGAAATGGCCATGTATCTATTTTATTTCTAATGCCTCGCCTTAACCTTAACAAGAAAATAACTTTGGTCCAATATAGTCGAACAGAATAAACACTCTAAGAATAAAATTTTTTAATACTTAAACATTATTTACAAACTTAAAGGTTCCTACACTATTCTTGTATCTGTCTTTTGCTTCCACTTAAAGCGAAGCCTTTTTGTACCTTGCCGTTGGTGAACCGTCCCTCATATGATATAATGAATACAAAAGGCAATCAGTTCATTATTGCCTGGCATGGCAGCGAGTCGTTTGTTTAAATATTTTCTAGCTGTATCAAAGACTAATATCTTTATTGCATTAAATATTGTTATCACATTAGATCTTATTACATTGATTTGTTCCTGCAGACATATGTCGAAATATTCTGTTTTCCAAATTTTCAATAGTATTGCATTTTAACGAAATAAATACCTAACTTTCTGGTGGAAATTAATTTGTGAAATTAAGAGGAAAATGGACTATCATATTAACGTTTATTGTACTGTATCTCCCAGTAAAGAAGAACCTACTTTTGCAAGTTTCATGGTGCTCTTGGGTCTTGATTCAAAAATGTGTATGGGAATTGCATGATCAAAGGCTCTTACATTAGGTCCACATCCAAATAGCGTATTTTGTGATGCATTTGGTTGGTGATGCCTGGCCATAGCAGGGCTGTCCTTTTGGTTTTTTGAAGAAAAAGGCTTAAACATAAGCTTCTTAGTCAAAGAAAGGTTGTATGTTCTTAAATATACTATACTTTACAGTTTAACTAACCGATAGCTGTCTTTTTTAGAGTTCTGAATCGAAATCTTTTAACATCCTGGGGAAAAACAAAACCAATTCAGGTATGTTTGTTGGGTTTACTTTTAAAAAAAGCAAAGTGATTTGGTCTTGGAGTCAAAGGAACTCACGAAAATAAAAGTTTCGCGGAAAATGTTGTCCTACTTTTAAATTAAACAAATCTAATTATTTTCAAATAAACTTAGATTTCTTCACAGATGTCTCTTTAGATTTGTTGGTTTGTAAATAAATATTCTTAGCCCCCCCCCCTAACTATATGTCAACTAATGAAAAATGAATTAATTTTCCTGTTTGCATGCATAATATTCTACATTACTTGCATTATGTTTCGATTAAAGATGATATAATAAATATAAATATGTAAGTTTGTCGTAACAGCTCTCAATAGCAGTTATTTTCGTTGGCCTATTCATTTCATGAACTATTATAGAAATACAATATTGCATTCACATCTCTCTATTCATCATTGATTCTTTTTAGCTTGCAAATTTCTGTCAATTCAAAATAAAAGTGTCAACCTTTTTTGTTTTTCCTAGTTTTTCGCTTTTTTTGAAAATTTTCCACCAGCGCTCATCTCATTGCAACTGTATCTATTCTGCTATGCATCTTTTCTTAGGTTCTTCGTATTCATTGCAACTTCCTTATGATGTTCCACTTACGGCGTATTTGCCGGATGGTAGGCAATTAGCTAAGTATTTTATCTGTTTAATGAATTCCAGTGTCAACTAGCAGTTTTCATAGGATTGTAACGGAAATTTGATTTTTATTTTAACGCCGGAAAAGTATATCTTACGAGGATACCCCTGAAATATTTGTTTAATAATTTTCTTATTCCATATGAAATATTAACTCTTTTGCTTCAAAGGGAAATTAAATTGCTGTGTTATTCATTCTCATTCTTAAAAGCAAGCCTTCGAATCTAATATAGGGTTCGCTACGCTTTCGAAACTTGCTAGGGTGTGGATTGTTTTATGGAGAGATATTTTGTCTTTTTCAAGTCGTGAAAGTGTTTTTTAAGTCATTATATGCAGAACTTTGAATTTCATTATAACTTGAAAACCCTTTTTGTAGTTAAAAATTCGTGGAAAGTCAATAAACATAATGAAAAAAGGTCGGAAGTATATTTGGGTACTCCATAAACATTATTAAGAATGATATCAACTGAAACGTAATATCCTAATTTCTTCAGTTAATATATAAAAACATTTTGGTCTTACCATTTTTCCTTTCCATGTATGGATATAAATCATTAAGTGTTTTTGAAATGACAGTATCAAATATTTTGAGTATGCACACAAAATATTTTTACTTTTCTACTGCTTACATGCTATCCATATGTTATCTTCAATTGAAACTTCTATTTTTGCTATTAAAACTTTCTTATAGACAGTCCATGGATATGGGATCGCAATTACTTGAAGCCAGATAGTTTGTCAGGAACATGGATGCCAAGAAGATAATAGCGGTTTTGATACCAATTTGAAGGATTTGTATCAACGAACACTGAGCCATCAATGCTTCGAATGGCGTTCTTCATTTAAGTAACCTACAGCTAGAAAGTGATAAAGAAAATCTCAATAGGGAAGAATTTACAGGGGTCTTCTCACATATCAGGAGCTTTGAGTTGGAAATTTACGACATTCTAGTAACACTTTCAAATTCTACCTCCTAAGCTTATTGTAATGTATGCTAATGCTTTCTTATTTACACAAAATTGTTAAAGTGCATTGGCTGTATCTACTCAGAAGGGAATTCCATTATAAGCCATTATTCAACAGCTCTTCAATGTGGACTTTTCCTTTTTAGAACCAAATTTATTTTTGAATGGCATGTTTTAAGGCAATCTAAGTAAGTTCTCGTAATGTAATTGATTGGTGCTAAGGTGTTTTAAATAAGTATTTGTATGCGTGAAAATTGAACTTTAAGCTAATTAAGGGTAGAATTTTAGGTGACCTGCTGTGAGCTTGTCAAAATTTATGTTGTTAAGTACTAGTGTACTAAAAATTTTGAATGAATAAATACTAAGAGAGATTCTATGCAGTCTTTCACTAAAGTTTTCTTTTTCGAAATTTATGCTTCCAACTTCAAACCCATTTGCAAAAGCAATAGCCATTACATTTTGCAAACAATCTTCCAGCCAATCAATGAAAAAAAACAGCTAAAACTATTTCATTTTTTTCAAGTTTATGCTAAAATTTTATCCTATCGTAAGGCTATATTCTTGATATTTTGACGGAATTTTCCGGCTTAATAAAAATATAATAAATTGCTTAAACTATTTTTATTTTTTTCCAAATTTTTGCTAAAAAACTTGCATTTTTTAAGACTATAGTTTTTAAATTTAATCTAGCTTAGCAAGTGAAACAATTTCCAATTTTGTTTACTTTTTCCCAAATTTATGCTAAGAATTGTCCTTTTTAAAAACTCTAGCCCTGACAATTGGCAAACAAATTTTTCGTTTAATTAATTGGACAATTATCAAAACTAATTTAATTTATAAAAAAAACTGCAAAAACTATTCGATTTTTAAATTCATGCTAAAATTAATAAATTTATGCCATAATCTTGACATTTGGCCAATAATTTTCCATCCAAATAAATTGAACAATGCAAAAAGCTGTTACAATTTTTTCTAATATTATGCTTCAAGACATGCCTTTTTAAGGCAGTAGTCTTGATGTTTTGGTGAAACTTCTCCAGCTTATATAAACTTTCATTACGAATTTTCATTCTTAGTTACTTTCATTAAATAATTTTCCCTTCTGTCTTGACATTTTGTCAAAAATTTACCAGCCTTGTAAATTGGACAAAACCATTTAAATTTTTTTCAAAACCTGTGATAAAAAGTTCGCCTTTTTTAAGCCATTTCCATTATAATATTAGACCATTCAGTCATTTTCCCAAACTTTCCTGGCAACACAATTAGGAAATAGTCGAAACTAATTTCTTCAAATTTATGCAAAATATTTCCCTCCTTAAGGCCATAGTTTTGACGTTTTGTCGAAAATTTTCCGAGCCAAGTAAATTTGATAATCACCAAACAATTTAAATATTCCAGATTTATGCTTAAAGGGTATCTTTTTCAAGGCTATATATAGAATTGACGTTTGTCGAAAATTTTCAAGCAATAACGAAATGTGCAATTACCAAAACTATTAAATACTTTTTTAAATTTATCTTTAAAAATATTCCCTTCTTAAGGCTATAGTCTTTTGTTTTGTTGAAAATTTTACAGCATCATTCATGGGACAATTATCAAAAATATTATACGTAACAGCATGAAAGAGCGGAACCATATCAAATCATGCTAAAGTACTTTTCGAACGACACTCGTCAAAGGATAAACGTCGGATAATGTCTAAAAGTAAGCAAACAATTTATATCCAGAGGCTGATATGAAACGTATTGTCTTTTTAAAAGGCTTTGGTATGAATTCTTCGCCTAACCCGACAAAAAGGCTACCTGAATCTAAAAATTTCAAAATAATTATGAAAATTCCACACAATTTCTGATGGAAGTTTTACTGTGCGGTGAATAGAAAATGGAAAAATGCAAACAGGCTTTATTTTATTTTCTAAACAATATTCTACGGACAAATTAAAAATATTATCACCGATATGTCATCATTTTTAAGTAAATTCTTTGATCCTGTTTATTTTGCCAGCTTTTTATATCAAATAACTACTTTCTGTCACAAAAATCAGGGCCAGTATATAGACTTTTGATCTGATTAAAAGGCCAAACACTTTGAAATTTAAAAATAGGTAATATGCAAAGAATTGCTTCTTAGAATGTCTGAGGATTTTTAGCTGTTATCAAGGCTTTATCTTTAGTTGCAAAATAGAGTAGTTTTCAAAACCCTAGAACTGAAAAATTTCCTGAAATTTCTTTACATATCTAGAGCTTTTCATTTTTCAGAAATTGCTACAATAGCTCAAGCAATAGCCTCTACTTAGAAGCTTAAATGGTCAGTAATAAATTTCTTAAATAAAACTGTATCTTTAGACCTATCTAATGAAAATATCACACGAGTCATTAAGTTCTGGGGCCTAACTCTTTGGATATATCATTACAATGAAAATTATTTAAATCAATCCTTTACTTTTAGCCTAATTTTGTACCGTGGAATTGAAGTCTGCAATATTGGATATAGCCATATTTGTTTGGTCCAAGTTTCTACTTCCAATCCACCAATTTCATAATTTCTGATTTAAGATTCGGAATGATTATCAACGCTATTTTCTTAGTTGTGGCGCCAGAATCACCAACACATAACGTCTGGAAAATTGTTAATCTATCCTGTACATGCAACAATATTCTAGTTCTAATTAACGCCTATTTGAATGTACAGCTGAAGTGTTCAACCTATTGCCATTTTCAAATTGCCTAGGTGGGCCTAAAATACGATGAATTTTGCCCAATTTGGCATCAGCCACCCCCTTACCCCCAGCCTCAATGTCCTCTACGCCCATTTTGCCAAACAACAAATTTTAGTTATTTGAATGAGGCCTAACCATAAAAGATTCTTTTCAATCCAAATTTTATCTAAATTATCTTATCTAAATCTCATTTTGTCCAAAGTTAGAGATTTTTCTCTAAAGGAAGTACTACAACTATCATTTCAGGTGAAAAGGGCACTGCACGCTTGAAGAATCAGTGATTGATAGGTCTGCTAGAATTTCACAGAGCCAATGAAATCTAGAGTTCATAGAGGGCTCTTTAAGAGAGATTGAGCCTTATTTATCACATATCTGCAGTTTCATATTATAAATGGCAGCAATTTTTTATAATAACATTGTATTATCGAATAAATAAGAAATCTTCAACTGTGTTGATGGCGCGAGCAGGGGGGCCACACCGGTATGATTATAGAATCGAGGCTGCTCGCCACAATTTTCCATCCAATGCCAGTTTGCTACATTTTACCAGCACCCAAACAGCGCGGTGTTTATCAAATTGCTGCTGATTCTTGGGCTGGTTCCAGTTTTTTTATGTTATTGTTATCGATAGATACAGACTAAAATTGATTCGTTTTCTAATTTCATCTAAATTACATTCTCTCAATCGTACTTGAAATCCAATCGAGGTACTTCCTCACTTCAGTGTATACTCCGTACCTCTCAGGTAAGCCGCAGCCACTACCCCAGCTTGAAATGCCAACCAAAACGTGTCTCCCTGGTAACACTTCGCAGGTCAGTGGTCCACCACCATCTCCTTGGCACGTATCATTGCGCCCGAGTTTGTCACCGGCACATAACATGTCCTCTCCTATTTTACCTTTATATGGCCCAGTCATGTTGCATTCAGTCTTTGAAACAAGAGGAACGGTTGCATGGACAAGTGTCTTGGATGGTTTGCCAAGAAATCGTCTCGTTCCCCAACCAGAAGTGGTGCATATAGTATTTGGCTCAAAGACTGTGCCATTTTTCGGAAGACAAATTGCATTCACATTTTCATTTAAATTTATTTGACCTTCAACGTTAATAAGGGCAATGTCAGCCTCATTTGTAACAGAATTGTAAGATGGATGGATGTACACCATTTTAATTCCTAATGTTTGTTCTGTTTCATCGTTTGTTGGAGAACTTTTCAGAGCACCAAGGCGAATTTTCCCGAAGAAATACCATGGATATCTGAAAAAGTGAGTTTCACATTTATAACTGAACAATATCAAACTTTATATTGCTTTATTAATGGTTGCAAAATGTTGCTTTTTTCTTCTTATTTTTTGAAAACGGAGCAGGCAATAGGACAAAAAATGTGGTTCATTTTGAAAGTGAAGAGGTCCTTTCCAACGTTACCTCAAACTGGGTACAGGGTAGAACCAAATTCAGTTACATATAGTATGGATATTAACGTCTGTTATGAACCTCAATCGAAAAAGAAGAATTTTCTTCAGTTCTTCCTACTACCCCATTACATGAAGCTGTAAGTATTTTTCATAAATCCATGACAATTTGCTCTGGACATAACCAGCGCTATAATGATTAATATGTATTTAATAAAAGTCTTGATTTACCTTTTTAAACAATGGGCAGCAGTGAGAAGCCATTTAGTTGAGAGAATGGTGGCACCACATGAAACCATGCCTGGACCAAGAAGGAGGCCGGCTACCCATAGCGGTACACTTGACTGAATAGATGTTACAGCATTGCTCCGATTCTCGGGGTTTGAAAACCAGTTCTTTTCGCATGACGCTAAACAAAGGGAAAATTATCTGCCACACCCAAAAGACCGTCAAAAGTCACTACTCTTTCCTCCAAACGTTATTTATGCAAAATAACATATTAGGGCGAGCATTATTTCAAATGCATTACAAATGAAAGATTTACTCTTTGGTCGCTTCCTTCGTCGAAATTAGGCCATCGATTTTACGCTCATTTGAAAAATCAGCTACCTCTTTGTACTGAGATGGTACCATCTTGACGTTTACACCAGAGTACAATTAATGATGAATATTCTAAATCCATCATTTTCTTACGCTGAAAAGATTTGTTAGAGTTGTTCATGTTTCATCAAATATATCAGAATTTTTTTCACATAGAAAGACAGTAGGTAGCTTAATCTTCAAAACCAGGGGGTGCAGGGTCATCAATTTACCGACTAAGACATCGATGCAGAAAAATTTATGGTTTTCACCTACCAATAGGCAGTTTTATTGACAAGCTAATGATTTTGTGGACCAGCTTAAGATATACCGAGCAACTCATGACGAATTTGGAGGGGGGAGGGCGCGCACCCTTTGTCCCCGCTAGCTTCACCCCTGAAAATAGATTCTATTTTTTAAGGTTAATTAGATTACTGACAAAGTCATGACATTATAAATAACAAATATCGCCAAACCTTCTTCGAATTCTGTATTGAGACTGTGTGTGACCGTTGTCCAATATAAATGAACTTTTTGTCCATTTGATTGGCCGAAGAGATCGTACTGAACACGGAGAGCACCAGAAGAAGAAATGACATGCTTTGTGTGATATTGACCGCAAATTCTTGCCAGAGCTGGTGCCAAGGGAGTCAGACCATTTTGGATAAAGATTCTCTCCACATTACATTCAGGGTTTGGAATTATATTTGCTTTGATAACTGATAAGGCAATGCGTCGTCCACTGGCTGGTCTGATTAGCCATGTACACGATTTCACTCCACTTGGCAACATGATATCCCCAGTCTCTGCCGTCAAAGTTGAGCCACAAGCTGTCTCTGAAAATGATAATTTTCTACTTTGTTAGAATGTAGAAAAACCTAGCCATTTATAAAATTTCTTCTCATTAGGTCTATCAAATCATTGTTGCCATTCTTAGGGCCTTTTGAGAAAATTTTGTAAAGATAAACTTTTCATTTTTCTTCCAAGCAAGTGTGTGCAGAAAAATAGTATTGGTAATTCTAAAGGTCGTGACATCATATTTGCTTACAAATCTTGATACATGTAACAAGCCTAATACATAGGCGAGTAGTGGAGTCCAATTTTGAAACATTAAATAATTATTATATCAATGTCTTTCTTTAAAAGATGTTGATACATGTAACAAGCCTCGTATGTTACTGTAGCGTTTATTTGAGAACTATTTCCCTTAACTTCTGAAGCCTGTCTACAATCCTTTTAATGAAAATTACTTTTGTAATAGTGTATAATCCTTTTGTAAAGAAAACGTGACAAATATACAGATTTTAGTTCAGTTCTACCTGGAAAACTTGTCACTCTGTTTGAATTATCTTCTTTTTCCACAGATTCCCATTCCAACACGAACCCTTGCGCACCTGCTGTACCATCTGGTTGAAAACCAATAAACAACTTGTTTGTCGAAGAAATAATCGGCCTTGGCAGCATTGGTCGGCAAAATCTCCCCAGATCTGGGTATCGGTTGGATTCACCATCTGAGATTTGAACATAACTCAATGCACAGCCAGCAGATGGTCTTAGCCGTATTTCTTTGAAAATTAGTTTTATTTTTTTGCCTTTAGACACCTCAATGTTCCAAGAACAGTATTTCTTACTACCAGAGACTTGAGGATAACCGGGCGGTGACAGTTCTCCAGAATCATCTCTGAATTTTGTTCCACATGCTACGGGTGATATATTAGCAGAGTCATTTAATATTGATCATGAAAATAACACATATGCTGAAATATCGAGTCTTTTGCTAGTGACTGATGCATTGGTAAGATGTTAAAAGAAATCAAAGGCTTTCATTTACTCCCCTATTTGCGGGCCTATATTTTCGATCTTAACGATTCAATTCAATGACATAAACGAAACTGTTGGGCCTGCGCGCATCTTAAGATGTTCCAATTGAGACGTACTCGACTCAGTCTCCTAAGCTTCCACAATTGAAGAAAAAAACAGTCAGATGAAACTACATCAAATTATTTTCAATAATTAAGTGTTCAAGTGCACTGAAAGACTTTAAGAAATCTGCGCCAACTTGTTTTTTGTTTCTACTACCTACCCAAAATTATAAATTTCTTGTATTGAATTTTCTTTCAGCGTATTTCGCTTTCAAAAACGACGGGTATAACAAGTATTTCCATACCCCAAAATATTTTTCGATAGTTAACTCAGTTGCTTCTTTAATCATCTCAGAACAAGGGGTAATTTGGTAAGGTTGAAAAGAGGTCACTTCAAGCTTATTTACTGCAAAAATATATTACTCTTTTTCAATTTTCTTAACTTTAAGCCAGCACGTTAAGGTATCGTTTTCAATTCATTACCTACGTTTCCAGATCTCATAATGAATTTCCAAGTTGCAAGCATGCCAAACTTTTTGATACTCTTGTCTGATTTAAACTGGATCCAAAGCGATTTGCCAGTCGAGGTAATGTCTTCCGGGGTTCTGCTGCCGCAAAAGCGACCGAGTAACTGTGACGTCACATCTGCACCATCTCTCACTTCTACACTGTCGTATTCACAAGCAGGGTGTTTCTCGATACCGAAGGATTCGAAGCTCAGTTTCACATAGTGTTTGTTATCTGCTTTTATCACCCAAATACAAGCAGTGTCAGAAGGGTATTCATCAGGATAATTTGGGGTTGCAATGGATCCATTAATAGCAGTAAGCAAGCCACCACAATTTGCTGAGATGAAAAGATGCAAGAAATTATGATAACTGGAATTGAAACAGACTCAGCCAAATAAACAAGAACTTTTTAGCATCTCAAAAATTCAGAACCTTGTTGGCCCGTATTTACATAGAATATTGACTGATGAACGATTTATGAATGATTCAAGATAAGATGGAGCAAGCCGAATTATTACAAAGTAACTCATTATCTAAAAGACTATTTTCAAAGAAGAAGTTTGAAGAGGAGTTATTGAATACCTTTTGTTGCTGTGGATTTCATTCATACTGCTTACCTTGAATCCTTTAGGGGCTAATTCATTTGAGAATGGGTCTTAATGGTGGAAGGAGGGGAGGGGGTGGGGGGAATGGGGAGTTATTGAAAATTAAGATCTCAGATTGAACATAATATAGCTCCTTTGCATTGAAATATATTTTCTTTTTTTTAATTAGTTTTGAGAAACGAAGCAATTTGGATGCCAATACCAACACTTCATTTATTTTCGTTCTGTTCGTGTATTGTAAAAATTTTCATGTAAAGGCGGGGATTAATTTGAGGTGACGCTTGCATGAGGAGGACCAGATCAAGGATTTAGGGTGGGAAATACTTCCTACAATGCACCACCATGGCAGTTGACTTTCAGATTTTGCCGCAACATGCACAAATATTTTATATTACTTCTTATACAACAAGAGCCTTGGTCTTCACTTTTTGCACTGCAATTTTTGATACGACGCTCTCTGTTCATTGTGTGGCTTTTTCAGAATTAAAAAGACAAACCAAAACAGTTTGCGCCATTGAGTACTGATCATCCAGCATTTTCACAGAAATGATTGGTGGTGAAGCCAGGATAATTAACTAACTTTCAACAGTTTGGGTTTAGATTAATGCTCTTTTTTATATTTTCTTTAAAGCAGAAAATTGAGAATGTTATCGCCCCACTTGAGTCTTTTTCAATATTACCTTATATTTGTTCATACACTTTTTGGCGCCTGTTGTACATTTTTCGGTTAATTTAGGTTTTCTTTTCATGCTCACGTTTAATCTATATTGGCTACTTTCAATTATGTTTCAATCGCTAACAATAAAAAGGATCAGAGTCGGTTTGTAATCAAGGTATTCCTAAGATAATTTTCTGGCTTTTTGCATTCATTGCATAATTTCAGTGTAATCTCTCCTAATTTCGTTAATTTTGGGAATAAACCCAAATACCTTTTAGTTTTTTTCTATTAAGGATTGTTCCTTAAACCAAAACATCCAGATAACATTATAGATGTCAAACCTGGGTGAAATCCTCGTTGATGAGGTATTCAGTTTTCATAAGTTCAATAGGCTGGCCAACGGTAAAAAAAGCTGGACACAAATTTAGTGTCATGAAATATTTCCTTCTACTTCCTGTCTATTTTTTTCGTTTTGATGGCTAGAAATAGTTGGTGAATATTTGCTCAAGTTGCCATAAATCGATTTCACCACTGCAATAAGCCTGCCGGCTAAGAGTCCACATGACGGCGGTTACGTTTTGTGAAAGGAAATATGCGTATAAAGGTGATGTTGCACTTTTTGGCCTTGTTTCGAACACGACGATTTTCAAAAGAGGATATTGCCCAAAATTTTTACAGAGGTTCTCTTCTCTTCAGCAAAAAACGCTTAAGATAATAGTCAGTGTCAGTGCTATAACATTGTCTTGGCATTATAATAGACCACTTTCGCAATGACGTCAAAAGGTTTTTTAAAACGAGGTGCGAAATTGAAAACGAGAATACCGATGTTCCAGTTGCCTTGGCATTTTCGCACAACTATCGAAACACCGATCTTGTTTGGAAAATTAGAAGCGTTTGTTTGATTAAACTTGAGCAGTTAAGATCTTGAAATGGAAGAGTTTCAATCGTTGCTTCCTGAAGGAAAAGTTGTCGAGTGTTTGGAAGATTTGGGGTCATTAACAGTAGCGGAATTAAAGAGCATTTTGAAGCGCTACAAGGAGAAAACATCCGGTGTTAAGGCCGATCTTGTTCTTCGCACGTTTGCCGTATTTTGCCGTGCAAAAACATTTAGTGTGCATTCTGAAGATGTGCTAGATGAATCCTCTCTCCTTTGCCATGAGAAAGAATACACCTACGAAGCATTCCATCAGCAATGTCAGCATCTTCCATGGACATCTGACCTACGTGGAACACCGGCTTTTAATTTTCTGCAGTTGTACGAATATTTGGTTATAAGAACGTCCAAGTTCAAGCACATTCTTTTGAAAAGTACATCATATAAGAAGCTGAAAGCTTTCCAGTTCTTTTATGAAGGGTTTATAAAGAAGATTGACGTTGCAACAGATAACAACTTTTCTTATTTTGATGTCAGAGTCAAAGCTTCAATGAAGAAGTGTTTATACAAAGTAATTTTAAAATTGTCAATCAATTCTGGTGATGTTTGCTCTGCTGCATGTACTTGTCCTGCTGGTATTGGTCTTGGTGGTTTTGGCAACTGCAACCATGTTGGGGGTGTTCTCTTTGCTCTTGAAGACTTCAACAGACGTGGTTTACGAGAGTATCCATCTGCTGTATCATGCACTTCAAAGCTGTCTTCTTGGAATGTTCCAAATGCAACTGCTCTTAAATCCATCAATCCCTCTCCAATAGATGAAGTGATAATACAAAAAATCAAGTTTGGAAAGGACAATGATAAAAGTAATTTGTCTCACTATAAATCCTTTGATCCACGTGCTCCATCTGATAAAGCTATTGATGATAAAAGACTTGAAGCCCTCAAAATGAAATTGGCAGAAGCTTTACCAAACAGTGGTTTTTTTGGCTTTCATGAAATTTCTGAACCTGCAGATTCTGACACACTTGCTTTAACTGAAGCCACTGCATCCAATCCTGAACATCCTTTCTTCTACGAATCCATCTCCTTCAATGAATATTACGATATTTCAACTTCCTCCTTCAAAGAAATGATGGACATTTATTGCCAAAACACAACATTGTCCCAAGAAGAAATTTCCAATATTGAAAAAACAACACATGGTCAAGCTTCAAATGATGATTGGAAAAAGCATCGAATGTATCGTATCACTGCATCCAATTTTTACTCTGCTGCTGTAAACTCTGTTGAACCTTCTTCTAAGCTTAACTCTATGTTTTATAAAACTTTCACAACAGCTGCAACTTGCCATGGCCAGAAACACGAAGGACATGTTAAAGAGCTTTATATAATGTTACTGAAAGATAAAGGTATCAATGCTCAAGTTTCTGAAGTTGGTCTGCAATTGTCTTCCTCATTTCCTTATCTTGGTGCTTCATTAGATGGTGTAGTCACTTACAAAAATGAAACATGGGGATTGGAAATCAAATGTCCATTTTCCAAGTACAACATGTCTCTTCAAGAAGCTCTGAAGGATAAGAAGTTCTTTCTTGTTGAAGATGGTGGTAATTTTAAGCTGAAGCGCAAGCATGCATACTTCTACCAAGTTCAAGGCCAAATGTTTTGTGCAAACTTAAAGAGAGTTGATTTTGTAGTTTGGTTTGGAACTGGGAGGCCATTGTTTGTTGAAACCATTTGCTTTGATGAAGAATTTATGGTCAATTATGTTTTTCCAAGACTGAAGTATTTTTTTTGTAGAGCAGTTCTCCCTGAGTTTTTCACAAAGCGTGTTAAACAGGGATTTAAATTATATTTGCATGGTGGCTGGGAGAATTTTGATAAAAAGCATATTTTATGAAGTGATAATATATCTGAAGTGATAAGTAATAGACCAGTATGTATTATTTTAAAAAAAGATAAGTATTTGTAGAAGTATTTAATATCATCTCTACTACTGAGCTAGCCATCACAAAACATTCTTAATTCTATACGTTTGATAATTTTAAAAACTTGACAGGAATATACACACAAAGCCGTTTTTGCATTGTACAATATGATTGTATTAGATATCTTTGTACAGACAGTTGTTAAAGGTTGAAAATATGTTTATCTACACTGTATAACATCATAGTTAATATACTTTCAGATAATATGTATTTATGACATTATTGGGAATACTATGATTTGGACAATCAACTAGATACTTAAGCATTTTAGACAACTATTTTGATAAAATATGATATTTCGAACATATTTGTATATACAGCTGCATAATGATTGCATTAAGCATGTAGCAACTTAGAACCATCCTGTTTTATTGACAAAAAATGTGTACAGCTCTGCCTATACAACATCTAGCACTATATGACAGACCAGTAAACAGAAATTTTCATTACATACAACTATGTGTATACTATATATATATGTAATCATAAGATTAAGGCTGACGGGAGGAAAATTATTACCACAAGGGTGCTGCCCAATTGTATCAAACCACTCGTGGTTGGAATCGAACTCCAGTTTGCTGCTTCAAAAACCAACGCTAATTCCACTGAGCCATACAAATATATATAATTATTCATAATTATTTTTTGCAGAAAATTCTATTGGTGATATAATATATATATATTATTAAACGTTATACCTAAATGGTGACTTGCTATTTGTTATTTCTGCTATACCTAGTTATCATTTGAATTTACTAAAAAAGGTAAAAAGTTTGTAAGGAGGCAGCATACTGTGAAGATTTGATCAGCAACAGGGTACAGTGAAAGAGGTAAAACACCATCAAGGATGTGATAATTTTTAACTCTTCCTATGGCTCTTTCCACATGTATCCGCACTGAAGCAATTCGGGCTGTTTCTTCAGTTTCCTCTGCTGAAAGCTGTGCTCTTGTGCCTTTAAAAGGAGGAATGTTTAAAGTAACACCAGGAGGAAGGATATCTTTTAAATCAAACCCACGATCTGCCATGATGTTGTCACCATCCTCTAAAAGTGATAACACACCTGATTTGAGAGTAATTTCTTTGTCAGAAACTCTGCCAGACCATAACTTTGATATGAATGTAATGCATCCAACTGGTGAAATTCCAACAAGAGCCTTCCATGTGTTGTGGTGTTTGTAATCTGACCATGTTTGTGACTGTGATTTCATTGATGATGGAACCTCTATGAAAACTTCAGTACAATCAATGATAATTCTAGTTGTGGGGAAATCTTTGAACTGAGATGGCATATTTTTACGCACAAGGTCTTGAGATGGAAACGGAAATAAAGTTGGGAGTTCATGATACAAAAAGCAAATCCAGGTTGTAAAGATCTTTGAAACTTGACCAGGAGAGATTCCAAAGCGATCAGACAAATCTGAAATAAACAAGCCAACTTTCAGTCTCATCAACACCAACACAAACTCTTCTAGATGAGAAAGTGTGCGCTTTCTGCCAGGCTTTAAGGAAGACTTTTCATGGTATTCAAGATCAGTATTGAGAGATGATTGTTTACCACGCCAGTAATGCATTCGAGACAATTTTGGTTCAAAATATTCAAAAGTTGCCAGTAGAGAAGAGAAGTTAGGGAAACCAGTGTAAAACTTTGTTGCAGATTCATCAGCTTTTAATTTTTCAATTGAAAAGAGGGACTTCTTTAATTCTGCTATCTGTAACTCCAACAGGGCCACTTGATTGTTCAATGTAGAAATCTTTAGGTTCAATGCTTCAGCTTCTGTTTTGAAGTTATCAGATTCAATAAAGGCTTTCATAATTTCATTATCAATATTACCAGAGTCAGAAGGAAGATAAACAGCTGAATTTACAAAAGAGAAATCTGTTTGCGTTGATATTGTAACAGAATTATCAGCAACATCAAGTGCTTCTTCAAAGAAATCTGGAAGAAAATCAGTAGCAGCAGATTCAGCAACAGTGAAAGATGGTCCAGGAACTGTAGATGCAATTGGCAATTGGATTGAACGGTGTGTCGGAGGTTTGCGTGACTTAGGCTTTATTGCTATTGTGCTACTTTCATAGAGATTGCGGGAAGGAACAGTCCCAGTAACTAGACGCCAGTGAGTGGGATTACGTTTGATATCTGCATCAGCAAAATGTTTTTCACAAAGAACAGTCGCGCTTGTAACTTTAAAATCATCTCTTCCATCTACTCTTTTAATTAAATTGCACCAACGAAGTTTCTCAGGATTTTTCTGTGGAAATCCAAAAAAATGTAGGCCGCTTGCAGTTCCGTCGGTATTATAAAAAGTGCTATAGCATCCGTATGCTGCACATTGACGTCCAAGAGACCTCTTCTTTTTCTTGGAAACACTTTCCGACATTTCACAGTGCTCTTTCTGACTCATTTTCACGAATAGATCAATTTTAAGCGGATGTATTTCCAATAGTAGTTCGAATCGCAGTGCTTACTATTTGCGAAATGATGTTGGAACATCGGTATTCTCGTTTTCGATATGGTACCTCTCTATCAAAAGCCGTTTGACGTCATTGCGAAAGTGGTCTATTAACGTCGTTTCAAACGGCTATACTTGAAGCCCCCTTGTAATATGTATCGTAATTTGGATAAGGCATCATTGCAACGTCTATCATGTTTTGGTGTTATTGTTATTTTTGTTGTTGCTGTTGCTGTTGTAGTTGTTGCTAAACTATCATCATGGCGGACTAAGTCACGCGTGTTATGCGCATTTCCTTCAAAATGATAACTTGCAACAGGCATCATATTTTGCAATAGTCAAGATAGATAGACGTATTTTAGAAACAATACTAATCAGGTAACCTGCTCTTATCATTAAACATACCCTTATTGTTAAATATAAAGAGACCCGAAGCATCGCAAATATTACCTGTGGGTGATCTTGCAATCTTATTTTTCTTCAAATCCAAAGTGCTTCCTCTTTGACGTGGATTACCTAATGCAATCCACAATGCCTGAAAACCGCTTCTTGTATCAGAATGATCACTTTTGAAGACAATTCTCATGTTTTGTTGAGTTGAGTTGATAACTTTTGGAACTGTGCTTCCACAAAACTTTCCAAGCAATGGCGAAGCTTTATTATGACCATCATAAACAGCGAGGTAATCATAAGAACATTTCGAATCTCGTTCCAGATCAAAATCTGAGAATCTGAGCTGGATCTTCATGGATTCTGCTGGAGCTGAAATTTTCCATTCACAATGTTCGTTGTTGTCATAGTTCTCTGGGTAGTTGCTGCTTCGAATAAACCCAATTGCTGATGATTTAGTAAATCCGCAGACTGAAGAAAAAATCGAAAATTCATCAGCAAATACCAAAATCAGAAAACATTCTTCTGTTATGGTGTAACAGCAGGCAGCACTTTGAAAAATTAAAATTTGAATATTTCGTTGTTATCATAGAAAAGAAGCATACCACGTTGTACGAACTTTTGCTATGTATGCTTTCATTCTAAATATTGCTAAAATCAAAGAAATCATGCAGAAGTCAGACAACTGCTTAATTTTGTCTGGGATAAAGGTTTTCCTAAATTTTCAAGTCATTAATGCATTACAAAGAAACTGTCTCACGAAAGTAGCCTGTCTTTCTTCATTTCAAAAAGAAACCTTACCACTATCATTATATTTGAATTATTGGTGAAGTGCACTTGAAGTATAGACAACTTTCATGGAGATTGATATGCAGATTCCGTTGAAACATTTTGAGCTGTTAACTTTTGTTAAAGATGTTTACTACGTCCGTTGGCCTACACAGAAACTAAAGCTAAAAGATACATCAATTCTACAGAATTAATTACCCTTCTTTCCTTCCAATTCCTTTTTTCTCCATTTTATTTTGAACCCATTTGCAACACCTGAATCATCAGATTGGAAAACAATGCGTATCTTTTTCCCAATGTATTTCGGTGGTAAAGCTCCTCCACAGAGCCTTGCTTTAGGCTGCCTGTCTCTTGCAGACAAATCTTCAATTGTAACAAAATCAAATAGGCAGCTAGGTGTGTATTCCAGCTTGAATGCCTCGAAAGAGACTTCAGTCACTGAGGTATCATCGTTATTCTCAATAGTCCATAAACAATTCAAGTTATTTGGATATTGCTTTGGGAAGTCAGGGCTGGTGATTTCGCCAGATTTGCCAAAGAAGCTTCCACCGCAAAGATCTAGGGATAACAACCACACATCTTAACACAGAGAAAGTCACAAATCTTGAACAAAAGAATATCAAAGACAAAATGTCCTTTCTTCAGAGCTCATACTCACTTCAACAAACACACAGGGATGAAAATATAAAGCTCCTAATAATGAGATCAAGGTTGTTTTGAGGGTGCGCCAAATTGATGAGTTGGTAAATCGAACTGCGTACCTACAGAATTTGTTGGCACTTTTTCAGTTGGGCGAGGCTGTTGCTTTGATCTTCTGTAGAACGCCTTAAAGCCAAAATCGTTGTTCACTGAATCTGAGAAGAACCTCAGCCAGAGACTGTTCCCAGCGGAACTGCAACAATACGATAAAGAAAATCAGTTCAAGGCAATTTTCGTTAGAAGCAGGTGAGAATGATTACAGATCACGTGAAAATCCGACATGTCACAGAATTTTATTACAGTAGGCCTTATAGAATAGCAAGACCATAGAAAGTTAGCTTGAAGAAGTATGCCAAGAGCACTTGAGTAACATGAATCATTAATCGTTAACCATCAATCATTAAGCTAGCGTTTATATGCTACTTGTGTCTATATGTAATATTTCTTTTCTTCTGAAAATGGCTCACTTTGATTACTGTCAGTTATTTTGTTGGTTCGTTTGGATAAATAGATTGGGATTTAACTTTCCAGGGTCAAGTTTTGCATTCTTTCAAGCTTAACACGCTTTCAAAGAAAGCAGTGCCATAGAAAGGATAGAATTATTGGGGGCACCATCGTTTGGAACAATAAGAATTAATTAGACAGCTTATTTGAAACAGGGGACTTTCATAATCGTTCTTGGTTGGGGGGGGGGCATAGTCGTGGCCTCCTAAGAACATTAGAAGCTAAAGGTACCGATGTTGAATACAGACTTATAAACAGTATTCATACATCATATAGAAACACGGAGTGACAAATAAGAACCATCCTGTTCTATACACCATATAGCATATATTGTGTATTTCTAACTTATTATACAACCCCTTTCATAAAAAAAAGTCTGAGGTAAGAAGAAAATTTTTAAGAAGAAGATGCAGTCATTGACAACAGGGATACCACAGAATCAAACTGGTAAAGAGAGTTGAGTTGAGTCTTCTTTTAATGGGTGATTTTAGATAGAATTCCAGGATGTAATAAGAGCAAGAACTTTGAACCTTTATTTAAAACTTACTGGATCGTTCGTGGGACATTATTCCCGCAAAACTTTCCAATGATTGGAGCTAGTTCAGAGTCGCCATCACGTATTATAACATAGTCATATCGACAGCGAGGGTGGTTTTCCAGCATAAATGACTCAAAAGTGAATTCCACTGTGGAATTGTAGTCATTGCCACTGATAATCCAAATACAAGCTGTATTCTTTGGATACTTTTGAGGATATCTTGGAGTCTTAATCGTCCCATTTGCTCCAGTCAGCTTCCCGCCACATCCTATCCGGAAAGGAGTGTCAGAAACGAAATAAGGTCTTATTGCGACAAAGCGGAAAAGTTTGTTTTTATGAAATATTGCTTACACTTAAAAAAATATTCAAATATGAGTTTAAAACAAGACGAGATAGCCTAGCATAACTTCAATGCTGTGAAAGGCCGTGGCCCGTGAATGCAAAGCTACCAGCAAACATATTCCAACCATGTTTTCTCTCCTCAAAGTTTTTACTTTGCTTTTGGAACAAACATTTGCTCAGTGATTTTCGGACTTGATTAGCAATATTCGTATCTTTTGATATCAACCGGCTGATATATTTCGTGTTTAAATTAACTTTGAAGCAGACAGTGTTACAAAATTTTGCCAGCACAAAAGGGGGTTAAGGGACAATAGCCTATTCAGTTTTAACTTAGTTATATATTTGATAACAATTTCATTCTGTTTAACGCCCCCTCCCTTTCGTTGAACTTCGAAGCCTGGCCACTCTTATACAGTTCAGAATCATAACAAGGCATAACAAGACTAGAAATTTGCGACCAAAAAGCCATTAGGTTTCAGGTTCCCCTTCAGAAAAGGATCAAAGAGAAATTGAAACGATATATCATAAAAAGAAATAACAATAGATGGATAACTTACCTGTGTTTGTGCCGAAAAGAGGAAACCCAGCTGATGGTGAGCCTGTAAAGCAAATTGAAATAAATGTTGGTTTTGAACAAATCATGAAGACAGCAGAGAGTTGTAAAGGTCAGGCCAGAAACAGTTTCAATAAATTATGCTCTGTGCAACAAATATTTCATTCAGTAAACACTCACCATGCCAAAGCAAAAGGGCCGTAAAGAACGAGATTGAAAGCTGCAGTAGCATTAACATGATGGCTGCTCCTTTCTATCAGCAGTAGCTTCCTTCATCAGCGATTCAATTGGTATTCATTCTTCTGCTGCCTCCCTCGGGGACAGTATGGTTTTGCGGCCTTTGTCCATAGGCCGCATAAGATTTTATGTGACAAAAGATTAAACAAATTGCGATTGTTGAACAAACTTTAACATAACGTGTCTTTGCGAGGATAACAGGTAAAAGATAAAATTCAAATGGAAGAATAACCTTCCTGTTCTCTTATTCAATTTTGTTTTACGCCTTCAGCTAGACAATACGTAGTGCAAACCCCTTAAATAAACAGACGATGTTATTAATCATACAATCACTCTCGAGAACAAGAAAGGGAAACCGTTAAAAGGAAGACTTAACATTAATAACTAATTCAGACATTTCAGTCAGTAGCTATCTATGTAGGTAGCATTCTTCAGGGCAAGAGTTGTGGTAAGGTCGGTCGCATCAGGATTTTACAGAAGGGGTGTAAGGGAAGAAAATTGCCGACAAGATAGGCTTAGTGTTTTTCTTTAGGTATGACCTTAGAGCTAAAGTCTCGATCAAGCGTAGATTTACTTGGTTTACCGAGGATGGGAAAGATTTGCCGATCGATTCTTGATTCTGAAGGGGGCGTGACCCTCATCTCCTCCACGATACGTACACTGATCTGAAAAAAGACTGGATCGAACAACCTATTGTTCTCCTACACAGCACGATGAAGCTGATCGAGCCTCTCCATCTTGAGACCTCTCGTATGACGTTAGATCCTTGAAAAAAATATCGAGTTGTGGTTTCGGCACCTCACCACTGTGTTTCGTGGATTCTATGAGTTGTTTAGTCATTCGATGCACCGAATCGCTGCACGACAACGTTGTTCAGCGCGTTAGTCCCCTTGCTTTTAGACGAGTCGACGCACAAGTCGACGCACAAGTCGACGACTCGACCAACAAGTCGACGACTCGACGCATTCCCACTATCTTAACCTCATGCGTCGAGGCGTCGACCTCGTTTTGGCGAAGAGACCTTCCATATCATTGTGAATTCCCGCCAAATGTAGCAAGAAGACGAAATGGAAGAAATTCGAAGCATCCTTCAGAATGCTTTGCAACGTATCGATTCAATATCAAATGTGCCCACGAATTCAACTGATACACGTACAATAGTCACGACGATGCACGCATCAGCAGCAGCATCAGAACAGACTGCAGCAAGTTTTGCCCCCGTAGGCCCTAGGCCGAGTGGTAGTAGGGCAAACACCGATGCCACAACTAGTAGTTTCCTCAGTTGAGTCTCCATAACTTAGATATACTTCTAAAGAACTCTTGAAATAAGTAAAGTAGGGCGACCTCGACTTCCAGTGTTTTCAAAAACTTGCTCGTGTTCAATATCTCCTGAGGATGCGAATGTCTCTCTTGCTATCTGCAAACTATTCTCAATCTCTGGTGGGATGTAATTACAGAAAAATAAATTTACTTGTGCTAAAATATATAATAGCCTATCCATGTGGGTACATGGAAAATCACAGCCTTCTGGATTCTCGTGAATTCCTTGCTCCATTCAATCCAATACTGACTGTATTCTATTCCGAAGGAAGCTCTTCAAAATTTCTATGTTTTGGGCTTCCATATTGAATTTCGTCTTCGCCAAAACGTGGTCGACGCCTCGACGTTAAGACAGGTTAAGATAGTGGGAGTGCGTCGAGTCGTCGACTTGTGCATCGAGTCGTCGACTTGTGCGTCGAGTCGTCGACTTGTGCGTCGAGTCGTCGACTTGTGCGTCGAGTCGTCATAGGTGCAATACAGTGCGTCGACTCGTCTAAAAGCAAGGGGACTAACGCGCTGAACAACGTTGTCGTGCAGCGATTCGGTGCATCGAATGACTAAAACGACTCATAGAATCCACGAAACACAATGGTGAGGTGCCGAAACCACGACTCGATATTTTTGTCCAGGATCTAACTTCATACTCTCGCGCCTAAGGCTTTGGGCTGCCATTTGTTAAAACGGTGCACACACAGTGCTGCCTTAAATTGTGCATTAACCATTAAATTCTAAAATATTCTAAAAATAAGATACAACAGGCCTAGGAAAATAAGTGAACAGTGAATTCTTTGCTACATAAGCTTAGTACTTTGGCAAACATGTTTAACGTCACTTACGAATGATGCAAGTTTTTGTTCCAACGGTTATTTTAAATTTTGCTATGAAAAGTTTAACTGAAACCAACATGATTGCTCTTTAGTCTCATACAACACAGGGGATCTCAAGATGGACGCTGCAATGTGGAATCAACGCTGGGCTGGAGAAGCTCGATCCAGTCTTTTTTTGAGACCAGTGGATACGTATCACGACGGCTCTGGTTCTGGTGACACAGGTTTGTTATTGGATTCAAATGGTTGCGGGATAAATAGGTCAATTCGGTACAAGAGATGTAAAGTGAAACGAAGGGGCAAAGGACCGGACCGAGGGCTACCAAGAGATGTTGGATTGATGTGCCAAAGGGTCTCAACACAGTTAGAACACCCCGTAGTGATTCTAAGATGGTGTTGAGTTATATTGCGGCTCTGCCATGAACGATGGGGGTGAATCTTTCCCAAAAAGTTTCCTTCAGATCTCACAATCTTTTGCAATGCTGAAAGGATTTGCCAAGTTTTTCAATATTCGAAGCCAATCTGAATCCTTGACCGACCAAATCTGAACACTTCACGAAGAATAAATGAACATAACCAGCCTCGATCTGACTTCTATTCTGTGCCTCAATCGGAGCTTTTGGCTTGGCTTTAAATAACATTCACAAAAGATACACGCTCGCTTAAAAATGCTTGCTCTAGTATTAACGCAGTTGAGCTTCAACATCATAGATATATGATTGATATCAAACTCAGCTTCAGATTGTTCTTAATTTTCATTTCATATCTAAACATTTCCGACGCTCGTTTTCTTAGCTATAAATTGTTCTTTTTAAAAAAAGGGTTACACAGAATGACAAAATTTTATCAAGGGATAATAAGCTTTATGTAATCGGGGTTGAAATGGGGTTATTAAAGAATTCAAGTCGGATTGGGTAATGTCTCTAAGATAAAGCTTGGGAGAGCATATTAATATTCTGACCTGGAGCTCAATGTCTTGCAAGAATTTGCTGTGGTAAAATAGTTTCATCGACTGACAAGCAAAATCCAGTCTTAACTCTTCAAAATAATCCCCTAGACTTTGCAATTGCCCTTCCAGATCCAGAAAATTCCACAGATATCTTGTCAGGTTTGCGGGCTGATTTGTGGAAAACTAACTGATACCATATTTGCGATCTGATTTTTCTTATAATGTATCCAGTGTCAGTTTTAATTAAGAAACTGTGCTATCTTTAAGATTAGCGGTGACTGGATAGCGGCCATATCATTATTGAAAAATCTCTATTTTTAGGGTGTGCATCTATGTAATGGTGAGGGTAGACTGGTAAGAGTAGCATTGGTTTTAAAGATCAAAAGGTTCTTTTTCGGAGAGCGATGGAACGGGGTTATTGTGCAAAGATATTATTTAGATACTAAATTAATATCGGCTCAAGAATCTCTACCAGGAAAGAAGGACAAGGAAGGTGGCACTGTACTTGGCAGCTTTAAGGAATCATATTCACATTTTTGTAATAGTCAGGATTTTTAAAGAGAGGTACTCTTTTTCTAAAAGAGCAATTATATCAAAATACGAGCATCAAAATTTGCCAAAATTTGCAAGCTTAGTTTGAAGTATTGTAACGAGGAGTTTTACGGCCTGCATCGTCAGTATATTTTCAAACTTGTCGGCAAATCCCGATTTCTCACTGACTATGTTGACAAGTAGGGCATTGGTAGTCCCCTTGAAAACAAAAGCTAGCAATTGCACTGATTACACCCTTGTAATTTAAGAAAAAATTAAGAACAACCCAGCCCGAAATTTTTTCGGCAAAATGAAGAACAGCCAGCCTGAAATTCAATTTACTGGTTCTTTTAAAAAAGGCTATAACTGGTTGTGCATTACTTTAAGCAGTCACGACATTTGGATGTATGCATTTGGGTGTAGAAAGGTAACGATCACATCTCCCGTTTATTGATTGCAGCAGTATCAACAGCACCATCGGATGTAATTACTTCTCGATCAAAGTGTGTGGTCTCCCCTATCGAATAACATGTCAATGATATTCATTAAAATTTCATTTTAATTAAAATTCAACCAATAATATACCATAACGTCAGTTCTTGACAGAAATGGATAAGCAATAGCATAGCATTATCTCCAATCCAATGAAATAAACTAAATTCATTTACTTCTTATCTATATAATTCATGAAATTCATGCAGCCACAGGTAATTTTAAGTTCACAACGTTAACCGCTTCATAAAGTTGAACAAATAAAAAGCTCCTTTTATTTTATTTTTTTACTCTATAGTCGTGGTGTCCCGTTTTCATTTCGATCTATTTTCAAACGCCTTCCTTTTACACTACTCCATATCCATTTGAAAACGATGCGAAAACCACGGATGTTCACATTGCTAAAGCGTTTGAAGAAGACCCCACTACTAGAATCAAAACTGTCCCTATTCATTTCGATTCTTTCGGATTGCTGTCTTTTCATAGTGGAGCAATATGTGTGACCACACCTAGTGTATTAGTGTGCAGAAGTCATTCCTATCCGATAACACAAAAAGACTGATAAGAAATCACTCATTTATGAGAAATCTATAGTAAAATAAAGAGTAGCCAACACAAAATTCGTCCAACCAAAAATATTCTCACTTGTTAAGGGGGGTTGAGCCCCCCTCTGCGGCACCACTGGAAGAGATACATTTTGATCCGATTTTAAGTGAAAACGAATTAGTGTGAAGGGGACATTAGTAGCAATCAGGAGAAAGCCAACCTGCATTATCATCCACGTTGAAACAAATGATCTGACATGCAACTGGCAATGTGATACACCAACAAATTTCTACCCGATAACTGAAAAAGACATGAAATCCAAGGAAAAGGTTTGGAATATTGACAGGAGACTTTTATTCCAAATGAAATCAACGAAGGAAAATGCCCCCAACTTCAATGCCTTGATTTCCTCTTTTGTAACGCAATTTGACGTCATGAGCTCATGAACGACAAGGAAATGTTAAATAAAATTAGAAAATGGGGGCAAATGCTAAAGAGGGGTTGTTTGAAATTTTCGAAAGGCAGGATTAATTAGAAACAGTATACAAGATTAAATAAAAAAGGAAATGAAAATGGATTTAAGATAGAAACTATATGATGAAGTTTAACTCAAGAAAACCACAGAAGTAAATATAAAACATACTTTTCAAACTTTACACCTATAGATATTCACGAAGGTGCAATTGTATCACACTATAAACGGTTTACAATCGAAAACTAACGATAGGCCAATATAATATTCATGGTTAGCAATATTCACCAATACCATTCTAATGCACCTTCAAATGTTAAAAATGTCTAATTAGGCAACTATTAATAACAAGACATCATTATTACTACTGATATAACGAGAGTGAGGGATTATAAATTAATTTGATTATTTGGCACTTGATATGCCAACGCAATATTTCCAATCATATTTGGTAAAAACTTGACGAAAATGACTTTGAATATAAAACAAAACTAAGAGGCTGAAAGAGCAGTGAGAGAAATATTGAGTTAAGAGATTCAAACACAAAAGATTGCAGAGGAAGAAATAACATAAAGGTTTACATACACGTATAAATATAAGTAGATAACTAATTTCAAATCAGTCTAATTTTGAAATTTAAAATAGAATAACCATTGTGGAAAACTCAACACTTTCCAGTAATCATTCTTATACAAAACACAACAGCACCAGTGCACATAAACTAGTACACAACAATTCATAAATTATGCTTAAAACGGCATAAATTAACGGATAATATATGTTTGATATTAATAGCGGGGTGATTGGTTGTTCATTGTGATTTCAAGCAAAGTCATCCATAACAAAGGACCAAAGCTCAGATGGACCAGAATTTGACATTAATCCAGTGACCACGTTTATAAGCTGCTCTGCACTGTCATGGAAGTGACACCACTAATCACATAGGTTGAGTGGTCATTAGACAGCAATTTATTTTTTGTGCTTTTATTTCTAAACAAATATTTCCTCGAATATTTATCACTAACAGAATATTACCAAGTAAGAAAACTTGGTTAAGCTTTGAAGAACATTTGAAAGGGATTTCAAATTGCAAATACGGCTACCTAAAAAGGCTAATTTTGAAAAATTGAAATCATTTAGATATTGCTCGAAATTAATATCATGGTTGCTAAAAGAAAATATCCCAATCATATCGAAATATATAAACATGTTTAATTGACAAACCATGAAAGACAGACTACTGGACTTACAAAGTCCAAACTGTTCACATTGTAAATGTTTAACTTTCCAGCACTGAAAACTTCAGATATCTTTTCACTTTCTGCTTAAATACGAACTAATTATAGCAAAAACTGATATTATCAATGTATTTTGAAATCATAATTATACTTATTTATTTTAAGTAGTAATAGGAAGCATGCAGAAGAGAACCTAAAATGTATCCTACGCCTACTACGGTCATACAAGAGTTAGATAGCTGTTTTACCAAATCAATGTTACTTCTTTATCTGTGACTGAAACAAACACACAATCGGCCTTTCAAAAGAGACCCAACTATTAAATATGGACTGGTACAGGGAAGCTGGAATCTTACTGAAAATGGGCACGAAAACAATACATGACCGCAAAGAAATGCAGATCTGGAATTCTAATAAACAGTGATTGCACTTGTTCTATGCATATATTGCTGAGGCTAAATGTTCCTAACATCATTTATGGGATATCTCCCCGCCTGTACATCTTCTGCATGCTAAAAGTAATACAATTCAAACCAATATTTCAAATCGTAGAAAACTGTACCAGGCTTGATATAAGCGAATATTCAGATATGTCAATTTGAAGCTTACTAAGAGTTGGTTTATCGTCTTCTGGAATTAGCAAAATTCATACTCCAAACGGTGGCAGAACGTGAACATGTGAAAATCCGGGCAGAGTGAATAGACACCTGCTTAAGTAACTGTGAAGGGATCATTGGCCAACCATCGATCGCTCTGATTTGCCATATGAAAACATCAATGTGGAGGAAAATGTGGTTGATTGTTTATGGTGATCCAAAATTTTCATATGCTTGAAAATATGGCCTTTATAGAAAAATTTTCATGTCTGCTAAGATGATAAAGATCTTCCGTTTCAATATCCGTTTTCAATATATGGTCTTTATTTTCCGCTATTGCTGAAGAAGGAAAAAGTGATGATAAAAATGACGAAAGTTACTTTTAATTCACTTTATTCATCATCATCAAGGAACAATGTGTATCTATAAAATTAAATCTAGAACGTCAAACATTTTGTTTCTTCGTATTCGTGCAAGATAGTTAATTAATCGCAATTACGCAATGCAAAATTAAGCTCAACAGCTTCAATTCCAGTCGAAAACAAGGCAGTTCGTAGATTGAATGGGCCTTTTGCCTCGCGAGAGCAACAGTACATGCATCTTCAATGCAACAACTCCACGAATTGCTAATTTAATTTGAAGCTGTGGAACTGTGTTTCAAACATTGCAGGAACAATGCATTTCTGGTGACAACTGATCCTAAGAATTGCAGGGAAATTAAATCTCTGGTAAAAATTAAGATTACATGCTTGTCTAAAAAATCATTTGCATAAACTCACCGAATTTCTTTTTTTCATAATTAAACTAGCACCTCTCCTTCTACGCTTTTGATTTCTATTTGTCGTCCATGATGCTAAGAAACCTTGATCATTCGTTGAGCTGTCAGATTTAAATCTTATCCAAAAGGCACCCCTTCGAGAAACCAAAGTACGTGGAAAGGATGGGCCACAGAATCTTCCCAGACTGGGCGAAGAGCGAGAGTCACCTTCTTTCACCTGCAGAGAAAGAGCTTTGATTTAACAAACAAAATAGTTATGTAGTACGACTTTATTAAACAACACTACTTTAGGCATGAAATCAATACAAGTAAAGTGGTGAAAATTTTTTACCTCGAGAAAATCGTATCCACAACGTGACTCGGGTTCTAAGCTAAAGCTTTTGAACCTTAATTCAATTGCACTCGCTGGAGATTTGGGCTTGATCACCCATATGCATTCAGTATTGGATGAGTAACGGGAAGGATAATTCGGCGTAGCGAATTCACCGTCTTCATCAATCAAGACACCACCGCAACCTGAAAAGCAAGGTTTGAAAGTAAGAACTCATCAATTGATCAGAATTTTCTTAATACCTTACGAAGGAAGTACATGAAATTGCACCAAAGACCCAATAACACTGAATTTAAGTGCCTTAGAGACATCTTTGGTGATTTTAAGTTAAAGGCAAGAAGTGCAATTAGAAACCTCACTAAAAAGTTCTAATTTACATTGCTTCGCACAAAGTTATCTTTGGAATACTTTTTGTTTACTTGTTTGTTTAAATAATTCTAATGGAGATGAAAGGAAGTCATTGGAAATTTCCGAAGTAATCAAAGAGTAATTATTGACATGGTATAACTACCCTGTCTCGGCACATCACTAGTCGGCCTATCTTGGAAAACTAGGCCATGAAAGTTTCTATTGATCATATTTTATCTATTACAGCAAAAAGCATCGCTTAATAATGTTATGAAATAGTGAACACATTGTGATATCCAAACAGCCTGCAGTAGCTCCATTAAGGCTGGTTTTGATGTATCTTCCATTTCATGCAATTTTCAAGCGAGCTTACGATCAAACTTCAAAGTACTAAACTTAAAAATACATTTATTGTGTGCAACTAACAAGATTTAAAACGCCAGTAACACTGACAAAAGGAGATCTAATCTCTTGGTTCTAACAATAATGTTAGAGACGATACCGGAGCTTGGAACTGTTTCCGTTCCTGGCGATGGCAGCAGGGCTCCTGACGGCAGCCAGTTCCATTCAGCCTCAAAGCCTAAACGATTTTCGGTGCCATCTGACATAAATTTAACCCAAAGTGCATTATCGGCTGATGTGTATGTAGCAGGAATGTTATTGCCACAGAATTTTCCAATGGATGGTGAGTCGGAAGCAGGACCATCTCGTAGGTGCACGTAATCGTATCTACATGCACTGTCCTCTTCAAGTGCAAAGCTTTTAAATGTTAAAGCTATTCTTCCAGGAGCCGGGCCTTTAATAACCCACACAATATCCACATTATTTGGGTACGTTCGTGGATAATTAGGCGACTGTATTACACCACGCCGTCCTGTTATCAATCCCCCTTGTGCATTAACTGTAATTAAACGAGTTTGATAATAATGTGTGCATCGTTAACAATGTTAGTGCAGTAAAATCAGAACATATGCTTACTTTTGTTACAATCATAGTTTTTTAGCAACGGTTGAAGAATATATTACATTTAGCAATGAGGGATTTTATTATATCAGTTTAAAGAACAAATACATTGGAATCCCGATATAATGAACTCTGAAGGGAACCAGAAAATAGTTCGTTATATCGGGAGTTCGTTAAACCGAGTGAAAATGTTGTTTAGGTCTTTTCGCCACTCATGCATAAAAAACCTTCGATGGGCTTGTTTAGGCTATCTCCAACTTCTGTCCACATTTAACCAGGTTGAATTCGAATAATGCTACGGGTTGGTCGTTGAAAATGAAAAACTTAATGTTCTTATTATAATTTTGGACCAAGAGAGTGGCAAAGTTGGTATCACTTCACTTCTAACTGGTGGCTGATGCCGTCTTTGATTATTGCCCCTCCTTATTTGTCTTCTTTTGCTTCTCCGTCTGGGTCTCTCAACAAATTTTTTCGTTGCTCATTGCCAGTGTCTCATATGTAAGGAGGTATTCGTTAGTCTCAGTGTACTCATTCGCAGTAAATTCCAACGCAATCAAACTTTCCTATCGTGCTCTGAGTCTACCAGCCAATGCTTGAAATGTTTCGTCAGCATGTTTTGCCGATTAAAAACATGATTTCCCCCAAAGACTTAGTGATAAATGAACACGGGGAATAAATGAATAAAAATTGCAGATGAAAAATTTATGAAAAGTTCGTTTGAATTATGATGAAGGGGCCTAAAATTTGGTTTGTAATACCGAGAGTTCGCTATATCCGGGGTTCCTTATACCGAAAGAATTTTTAAGGTGTTTATTAGGCAGAATCCAAGGAAGCAGACATTTAGTTCGTTATACCGTGAAGTTCGTTATATCCGGGGTTCGTTATATCCGGGGTTCGTTATATCGGGATTCCACTGTGAAATCATACGTGTTATCAACTCTAAGAAATATTCATATGTTAACAAGGGTGCCACTTTGAATCTCCACGTGTATAATGAGAAACTGTTTTGACTAAATTTAATAACCGATTGCTTATATGGAGGAAATTTTAACAATTCATCACAAAACTGTCTCTCATCTTTTCATGAAAAATCTCCGAAGTCAAACTTTCAAGTGGTCCTAAGGCTGAAAATTATATTTTTGGGTGTATTTTCAAATGCATCTATCATACTATTTGATTTCCAAATTTGGTTTATTTGTTTAAAACTACTGTTTAAAAAGAGTTTGTTTCTGCGGGCAGAAGAAATTTAAAACGGCATTCCTTGCTGTAATGAAGTTTATGAAATTCTATGACATACCAGTGTTTCCAGGAGTCGTGGTTTGCTGAGTTGGGTTGAGAGTGCTTGATGGCATCAATCTTGTAGATGTTTCTCTAGTCCTCGGTGCATCTGTTGAGGGCATGGGTGTTCGTTGGGGCTCACTAGTCTTAATGGAAGAAGCAATAAACTTCCAGTTAAGCTTGAAACCATTGTTTGTATTCTTGCAATCTGTCTGCAATTGTAACCAGATGGAATTACCACGTGACATGATTGTGCGAGGAATATTTCGGCCACAATAACGTCCAACAATTGCTCCGTTCGATGTTTGTCCATTTCTTATTGCCAAGTAATCTTTCGAGCACCTTGCATCTTGTTCCAACTCGAATGCCATTATATCCAAGGAGATTCTCTGTCCTTTAGGTGCAAGTATTACCCAAGTGCAAACAAGATTACTTTGGTATTGTGATGGATATTCTGGTGATTTTATTATACCCATTGGTTGTGTCCTCATCCCTCCACACTTAAACTCTACAAGAAAAAAGAGTTTCTTAACTATATATAAATCAAAACTCTTACAATCACGATAAATAAAATTAACTTGCAATAAATGACTGCCAAAAACGAAATAGATAATTGGCGACAAGCAGATAAATACCTTTCAAAGACTGAACAGATTTTTCCTTCCAGTTTATTTTAAAATCAACTTCCTTGTTTTCATCAATCTTCAGTTCAATGTACAGCGTGCTTCTCTCTGACTTGAAAGGTAACATATTTTCCTCTTCACAAAGTCTCTTAAGTGGACGTGAATTTGAACTGATACCGTCCCGGAAAAGCAAGTGGGATGAGGAGCACTGCGAGCCATAGAAATTTGCAGACACAGGTCGTATTTCTATTTCTGATAAAGGTCCGACTTCTAAGATCCATGTACAAGTTATTGAAAAGGGGTATTTCCGGCTAAATTTGGGGCTCTCAAGAACACCACTGCTGCCATATAATCTCCCGCCACATTTCGGTGCTGCAAGAGAATCGATTTCCTAAGTAAATCTGCAGTCGCTCAATCTATTGCAGAGCTTATGGAGATGAATAAAAATGAATAAGAATTTGTTGGCGCATAAATAATGTATAATGATAAAAATAATGAAAAAATAAAACCGCATGTAGCTCGAAGTTGCACGAGTATGATAATATTTGCATGGTGTATAGAACAGGATGGTTCTAATTTGCAATTCGAGTTTCCCAGCTCTGGGTTTATGGCAACAAGCACTATATGACAAAATGGTAAAACAGCATTTTTCATTAATAGTGCTTATTATATACATTTAATTATCAATAAAAAAGAACAGAGGCCTATCTTCTTCAAATAAATGCGCAAGCTGGCACTACAACAAAAGATGCACTAGCTACAGATCCAGGAGATTTTTACTCAACGAATTTTGGCTAAAATCCTTGCCAGCGGTTTTGAACTAGCTGCGTCATTCGATAAAAAATTATCGAAAACCTTTTTTGAAACGATAGTTTGTGGTGTCTGGAAACTGTTAATTTTTCAAAAGAACACTTTAGCTGAAGTGAATCTTTAGGAACTTTGGCAGGGATTTTACAATGGTAACTAAAGGCTGATTATTTGCAAAACAGTTTGCTGTGATAAGGTTTTTGTTAACCTACCTTCTGGGTAAATTGGTCTCTGTGTAGGCCCTTCAATGGCCATTATGTTCCATTTCAATTTAAAACCACGGGGTCGTGGGTTATCAGTACTTGAGAAATCTATTCTCAAATAACGGTCAGTTGTTGAAAAAGTAGGAGGGATGGTGTCAGTGCAGTAGGTTTTAACAGTACTATCAGTCCTGAAAATCACTGCATTTTTTACACAGCCGGCACTTGCTCCAATGGCAAAGTCCTCAAATGTTACAACAAGACGAGTGTTGGTAGGCACATCTATGATTTTGGTACACTGCAAATCACCAGCTGGGTAGCTGAGTGGATAGTTTGGCGAGGTAAGCTCGCCACTGCGGCCAAAGAGGTATCGACTTGAATGGCAAACGTCTAAAGAAAAAGTAACCATAATTCCTTAGATATCGGTTAAGCACCAAACAGTGAATTCACCTACTTTTCTGAAGGTAAATATTTCCATAGACGTATAATTCCCAACGTTTACTATTGAAACGGAAACAAAGACTCAGCGCCTGATTAAATAAGGAGGGCTGGCCTTCCTACCCGAGAAGGATGATCCTTGTAGAGACCTCAGTATCAATAGGAAAATACAATGTCTAGAGATTGTGGTTAAGAGGGTTGGCCCTGATAACAAGATGAAATGGGGGTGATTTTCTCATGTAATCTATCATAAAGAGGGCCGGCCTTGTGGCTGCAACTTGAAAGCCGAACTGCACAGGAATGAAATTTAGGCCTATATATGAGTTTCCTTGTGCAATTCTCTGAAAACCACCCGTCTAGGATACCAGACCAGCCTTTCTCATGTAATCTGGCCCTTAAGGGTCATGTGCAGCAGGACTGGTGCTTTCAAACGCGTATCAGGGATTTCCTGCATAATTTACATAGGACAATAAATGTTGTCTAACAGTCGGCACAGTAAGTGTTTAAAGGGTTTTAATATAGGGGATGCCTGAATCATTGACAACTATTTCCAACTAAAAATGCAAAATGTAATTCAATAATTCAAGCTTACGTTGAATGTTCATCAGATATCAGCATCCTATTTCAAAAAGTAGGCCTTTCGGAGAATATGCGATACTTAAAGATCGAGAGAAATGGCTGTATAAAAATAGCTCCAGCATTATAAGGCCAGCACAAAACAGAAAATATAAACAGAAAACCTTGAAGCCGAAAATATAACGCAGCGTGAAAGGGAAAAACGAATTAAGTTTACCATAACTATTGACAGAAGCAGTAGACGGGGTGATCACAGGTCGAGTTGTTGTTGGTTGGGTTTCAGACCATCGTAGTTTGAATCCACGAGCATTGTTATTTGCATCGGCTTTGAACCGCAGCAGCAGCTCATTCCCAGATGAAATGATTGGCTCTGGTTTAGAATTACCGCAAGAATTCATCAGCGTAGGCGACAAGGAAGTTGATCCATCGTGTATCTTGAAAAAGTCTTTGGAACAAGAACGGGATGCTTCAACTTCGAAAAAATCGAATTCAACTTTGATTTTGTAGCTGTTTCTTACTGTTATTACCCAAATGCAGTCTTGGTTCGGAGAGTAAAAAGATGATAGGCTACCTCTACTGATTTCTCCACCAAAACCATTAAGTCTCTGGAAACATGCTAAAGTAAAGAATAACAACAAGTTTAGCAAAGCGTAACTGATCGAGACCCACTTAATCAAATGAAAAATTTTAAAGGATGCTATGATCTCTGTGAAAGTGTCCGGCTTAAACTATTAAATAAATGGAATTAACAGATAGATCAGCAAGAAATTTATTTTTAACCTATTATGATCATATACTTTCTTAATGACACAACCATGCCTGGCAAAAAAGTCAATCCTGGAGTTTGAAACTGATAAGGACTTAATACGAAACACAGGAGAAGCATTTACGTACGTTACTCAAATAACAAGTTATGTTACAAACAAATATAGAAATTTTTTTACAAAAAGTGTCTCAGCTTAGTCTATTAACATTAGCTATCTGACCGGATTCCAAGCATTGCAGCGATTGCCGAAAAAAGAGGCGACAACGAATGTGTATGCTGTTACAGAATAGTTAGGTGTCATAGATAGAAAAGGATAGTATTTGAGCGTACGTTTTTCAGTTGTCCTTGCAGAGGGAGTCGTCTGCATCATTGCGCCTTCTGCCATCCATCTTGCCACAAAACCTTTTCTGTTTCTTGCATTGTCGCTGTGGAACAAAACTCTCAATTCATTTCCACTGCTCAGAATTTCCTTAGGCATCTGATCGCAATATTTTCCAAGACTCACATAAGAACCCCTTCTTCTATCTGCATCAAATATTTCAACATAATCATACAGACAAGCACCACTGCTTTTTTCAATATCAAAAAATTCAAAGGTCAGTTGAACGACCTTCTTCTCATCCACGATAATTGACCAGCTGCAGTCTAAGTTTGAACTGTAATCGTTGGGGTAACTTGGCGTGGCAAAAAGCCCATCGTTGGATCTGAATACACCACCACAGTCTGTCAAAATCAAGAAAATAAATCTTTATAACGTTACAAGAAGATAGGAAAAGAGGGTTTAATATATTGGTTCAAGCCAAAGAGAGGTTAATTCTAGTTCTGTATGTTAGGTATCAGTTAAGTTAATTTGTAATGCCTAGTAGAGAGATTGCTTTGAAAAATCGTAATAAAAATGATTTTATGATTATAACTAATTTAAGGTTTCAACGAGGACCAGGCCCTTTATTCTCGATTTTATCTACATAAGCACAAAAAAACCGCTACTGTGTAGACAAAAGGAGTTCGTTTTCACCTTAGGACTCCACTGTTAACATTCTAATAGGCAAGCGGCACTGATTGGTCAACCTTTACAGTCATGTGCTCTTGTTTCTGATTGGCCTATTTCGATCCACAACTAGGTTTATACATTTCTTAGCGTAGAGTTTTCGATCTATGTTCTGACGTTTTAAACTCTGAAGAGTGTCAGACGAAAAGCTTTAGTTTACTAAATGTTTGCTTTTTTCAAAGCCATTCTCGATTTTCTTCAATGAACTAAACAGCATAGTTATCAAAAACCTCTGCAAAAAATTACAATCTTCTCTTGATCATGAAACATCTTGTTATAGGTGTGACAGATTTTCATGCCTTGCAACGTAGTCTTAGCTTTAAATGAACTTGAAAAATTCCCTTACATAAAACAAGAGGACAATTTTCTGACTAATGGCATACATATGAAGAATGTAAGAGTTCACAAGATGACAGATTTGCATTTTTAATCTGTGAAACCAAATTAAGCGTATAATTGATTTAAAAAGGCCAACCTACCAGTTATAGGTCTACTGTCTATCTTTGTGGTAGCTAAAACGGAAATAAGATACATTAAAGCAATAAATGAATTAAAAGTCAGTTTATAAATATCAGCTTAATTTGTACTTTAATCCGGGTTAACAACGGATCATGTAAGCCTTCCTGGTGGATTTAGACTTCATACAAGGATTCTAGGGAAATCAAAATGTAAGCTTCGGGTTTGCGGCCGATTTATTACTTTACAAACAAGAACAGGAAATACATCAAATAAAGCTAACTCTTTAAATTAATACGTGTAGCTTGCTGGATGAATCCGTTTATAAATCTTATCATGGCCAAAGGCTTTTTCCCAAGAATAGAATGGAAGGATTTGCAAAGCTCTTAAAGTTAAAAGATGACAGAACATTTTATGGAGCCGTCTCGTTCCACTCTTTTCGCAAAGGCAACTTACTGTTTAAGATGTTTGAAAAAGAATATTGTTGGGGAAACGAGTCTAAATTCCTATTGTTTACGGCCATTATTCTATATCCTTGTCTGAACCAATGAGAAAATCCATCATATCAGCATGCGCCCTAGTTTATATCATAGTTGCATATGTAAACTAAAGTTTGGTATCACTCTTCTTATGACATCCTTTTCTCTAAATTTTCTTCGTCTTTTGATACAAAACAGACTAATTCCTCTAAATGTCACGAATGTTCCTACTACCACAGAATATACAATGGGTTGTGAAAAAAACGGCATCGATTTTAATGCAAAACTTCTAAAAAAATTTAACGGTCCTCCAGACAAATGCTGGTTCGTCTCCCCCAGGAAGATAGGGAACGAAAAAGGAAGGGGTACATACATATACTTGGTTTCAATGTCGGCAGTGTGTCTTCTTTTTCGACATTCCATTTGATTAAAAACCCTGCATCATCGATCGCAGAGTCTGTCGAGAACGTTATAAAGAGCGAATTGCCACTGGATAAAATGTCTTTGGGATTAGGTCTTCCACAAAATTTTCCCAAAGACCTAGCCTGATTGCTATCACCATCATGCACTTCAATGAAATCAAATTTACAGGTTTCATGCGCCTCCAGAGAAAATTTACGGAAAGTTAACCGTATCCTGTCGTTAGGCTTTGCCTTGATTCCATATCTGCAGATTAAATTGTTTTTGTATTTATCAGGGTAAGAGGGATGAGCCAGGTAGCCGACAGACTTCGAGCTTGCATCAACAGTTCCGCTACAAGCTAAAACGAAATTTCAAAAGAAACATCAATTCCGTAAAATTGAGTATCAGGACAAACGTTTACCATACGTAATATTGAATGTTCAAAATCATAAAAAGTGTTCCCTTCAATTAACAGAAAACAAAATATGAAACTACTTCAGGAAGTTGCCTAAAGTCAGAAGAAAACTCACCTTTGCTGATTTCAGCAATACTAGGCCCCTCAAGATTGTTTTCTGTTGTCGTTTCTATAAAGAAATCAAAAGCTTCTATTAAGATATCACATATTTTACTCAAATTCATTTACCTACTGCAAGAGGATAAGCTTTTCCAAAATTACTAGTTGAAGTAAAAAGAGATGACCGTGTCTGTATCCTTCAACGTTTCTACCCACCTGTTTGCTTCCCCAAAATACTTTAGACCATTTAAAAAAATACCTTTGCTAAAAACAGTTTTTGAAGAGGGTTTGAGCATTGACATTATTGCCAAGCGCAAACAAACGTAAAATGGTCATCAGATTGGCAGAACAAAAAGGCTCAGGGCTCCCTCATACGCTTTAAAACTGCCCTTTATCATCTACAGGCAGCACAGGTTTCAAATCATTGATTGGTCGAAAGATTCAAATTGTATTGACCTTATAGTTCAAACAGAGTTCAGGAATTTGACAACAAACATGTTTTTTCCCAGATTGGTATTTTCTGTAGACGCATGGCACATGTATATCGATGGTTTATTTGTTTATTGTGTGTGTTTGTATTCTGAGATTTAGTTAGATATGATGTTTGAATGATGAACTTCAAACTGAAAATGGAAGTGCAAGAAGTAACTGAACTGGGCAATCATAGTCATGTGAGGATATGCTGTGTAAACATGAGTTAATCTTTTCATAGATATATCTTAAATTAACTGGACAAATTTAGACGCAAGATTTTCTCCCAACTTACCAGGTTTCTGCGTGGTAGTGAAAAGATACTCAACACGCCAGCTGGCACGATAGCCTTTGAAATTACTCGTTTGGTCACTTCTGAACCTGATGTTGAGAGAGTTGCCCGTTGATCTTATGCCTTTTACGTCGTCCTTGCCGCAGTACTTTCCAATGAGCTTATCACTAGGCAGCTCCCCATCACGTATTTCTATGTAGTCATAGCGACAATCGCTGGTGATTTCCAAGTCGAACAAGTCAAAGTCAAGGGCAAGTTTTCTGTTTCGACCAGTTCTTATGATGTACTCGCAGGACTGAGAGTCTTCATAATTACCAGGGTAGCCTGGATGAGCAAACTGACCAGATGACCTAGATGTAGCATCTATCAATCCACCGCACCCTGAAAATAGGTTTCATTTTAACTCGCAATATTCACATGGTGAGTATTTCCTGCCAATTTAGCAGAGGTTTTATTAGGAACAATTTTATCGTTTAATCGGAAAATTTGTTGGCTTAACGATATCAATACCATTCTGGAAAGATCTTCAAACTATTTCGATATAATGATCTACAGTAAATAGGTGTCTTAAAGACAACAAAAATAAACGAAAAGGACAAAAAAGCCTCACCAGTGAATACATCCGGTTGAATTGTAGTTGGCATCCTTGAAGCTAGAAAACAAAGATAAAAACATAGGTCGATAAGGATTCAAGCTAAAACGTGCAAAAGGAATAAAAACACAATATTCAAAGGTTCCTGAGAAATGCCAACTTCTACCTCTCAAAACAAGATTTCACTCTAAGTGGGTGTTAACATTTCAGTCTGTGCGTCGAAATTCTCATTGGTATCTTAATAAAAGGTTTTGGACAAATTTTCAATAATTACCTGGGAGGCTTGGTGTCACCGGTTTTTCTGTAAGTCTACCCGGATCAATAACTGCTGTATACCGAGCAGAGAATCCGGGGAAATTGTTAGAGCCGTCCGAAATAAACTCAACCCAAGCTTTGTTGCCTTCGAACAAAATTGGAGTCTTGTCATTTCCACAACGCTTTTTGGCGCCATATGCTGAAGGAAATTCCCCGTCTCGCAAATATAACAAGAAGTCTTTGTTGCAGTTTGAGCTGGGCTCATCCAACCTGAAATCCAGAAACTCGATTACCACCCTTCTTGCTCCAGGGATCCGTAATTGCCATAAACAGACTGTGTTTGCAGGGTAATTTGAAGGATAGTTGGGTGTCGAGAACACACCCGAAGGTGATGTCAAAATAGCACCACAGTCGTAACCTAGAACGACATAAAGATATATATATATGAGTTACCTTTCACAAAGAATAAAGTTCTAGGCTATGGCACGAAATATCAGGCTAGGAGATAAAACATTGAACTGTCGAATTTAGCAAGTCCAGTTAACTTCAAGATAGTTTTTTCCTTTAAAACTTAGAGGCAACGTATTTTAATGAATTTTCAAAGTCAGTTCACAAATACCAAATTTTGTTGTCGCGGGTGTACCATAAAGCAACAAGGGAAACAAGATATTTAAAACCGATAGTGAAGGACAGAATAAAACTAAATTCTAAACAACATGCCTGACTTTTTAATGATTTCATTTGTTCCCTGTAAACTGGCAAAAACGCCAGACATTCCAGCGGTAATCCCATTTGCCTTCAAGTTCCCTTCCTTCTCCCAAGAGACCCCCGAAGGAATGATGGCTGTCACGCCCTTTCTCTGATACACATCCCCATCTGGTGTAATCCCCCAAAGTGACCCACCAAATCCAGCCTTGACCTGTACGAATTTCTGGGATATGGGTATCCATCGCAGATTCTCGGTTATCTGACCGGGCCTTGACAATGGCGCAAAGAAGACTCGGTTCAGCGGATCAATGGCCCAATAACCGTAAGAACCAACAGACATATGCTTGTATCCAGAGCCAACTTGCTTCCAGTTACTACCCTTTGGATTCTCAGGTGTCAACCCTTGACGGAGGTACAGATTACCAAAATCATCAAGTGCCAATAATGAGCCAATTGGACCTGAGTCGATCTTTTCCATTGCAGGTCCATCCACTCTGTCCCAAAATGCACCTTGTGGGGCTAACGGAGCGACGCCACGACGCAAAAAGATTCTTCCAAGTCTATCTACAGCCCAAACACCACTTTCTCCAGAAGTAACCCATTTCATTTGTTCCAGCCCTATGAGTCGCCAGTTGTTACCATCCTCCATGTACGCTCTACCTTGTTCGTCTATTGCCCAGGCTCTAGGACTAATACCACCGTCAATATGGGCAATATTTATGTCAGTAGGTACCTTGGACCAGTCAGCTGGTATCTGAGGAGCTAATGGAAAAAGAAAACGTTATTTCACACACAAAACCTATTATCATAGAGCTATAACCATCTAAAGCTTTGAACTTTTCAATCCACAACTGATATCAGTGTGATGAAATAGGAAGTTTCTCCGCGGTAGTCTAATTCATAGAAAAGATGAGGAAAGTGCTTATGAACCATTCCTAGTTAATAGATTAATTACCTTTAAAGGTTATGCCATCTTTCAATCCAGTAGGGGCTACTAGGATAGTCTAAAATGATATATTTTTACCTGGGACTGTCTTAGTTCCACATTTATAAGCAAAATTGTAATGGACTGACAAAATAAGCCCAATACAACATGCATGTTAAGTTGGGATATATTCGACCGACACTGATCAAAGTATGTGCTTATACCTGTAGCCGGTTCGGGATTTGTTTGCTTGGTCGTAACCTCTCGTTTAATTTGCGTTGTGGGTGCCCGCGTTGTTGGTTTCGCAATTACACCAGATTTCTGTTTCGAAGCCCAGGTGACACGGAATCCCCTCTTGTTTAATGTATCGTCTGATTTAAAAAGGATCCAGACTTTGTTTCCGCCGACCTCTATGTTTGCTGGCAATCTGTTTCCACAGAATTTACCGAGCTCCCTCCCAAGGTTTCCTGGCGCTTTTACAAGAAGAAAGTCAAATCTACATGTGTAGTCTTCCTCTACATCAAACGTATCAAATTTTAACACAATTTCGCGTGAAGGATCTAACTCTATTGTCCATATGCATCTATGATTTGTAGAATACTGATTTGGGAAGTCAGGGCTTGTCAGTGAACCATAGTTACTGGTGAAGCGCCCACCACAACCTGAAAATAAGCGAAAAAACTTAGCTTAAAGACTAACCATACATTAAAATTACATTTTCCATACAGTTGGTAATACAAGAAGACAGGTCCCGTGTAAAATTCTTGATAATGATTAAAGGTAATAAAGTGTTCGTGCAAGGGATAATTACCTACAATGAAATATCGATACAATATAAATTATGTGTGCTGAGACAACAAACCTGAATAAGGAACTGTGCTTATTTGAAGAGGAGTGTTATTTGGTGCAGTTGATGTGCTGACTGGTGCAAACAGAAAAAAAATTGTATTAAGAAATTCGTGCGACAATCTGTAGTGAATTTGATCAAGTTAGTAAAAATGGCATTTGATTTGAACTCTTTGTCCTGAACCAGGGGTATACAAAAGAAAGCTATCTTTGGGTTATTAATAATGATTTTAAGAAGATTGCCTACTTTGGATCCAACTCAAGTTAATATTTATCACTAAGGAGGTTACGCTGATCGCAGAGAAAGTATTTCACCGGGCAGAGATTTGCTGAAGATACTTCTAACTCATCAAAAGAATTCAAAGCCATTTTAATTATATTTCTTACAGTCAAGAAATACCTGTGGTTGAAGGCTTTATGGTTGCTTGGCCAGCTTCTGAGGTGTATCTGATGTCAAAACCACGTGGTTTGCTAGCGCCTGGTCTAATACCAGCGTTGAATTGAAGCCAGACCTCATTTCCATTGTATGTGAAAGTATTGTTAATGTAACTGCCGCAAAACCTGTTGCCACCATATTCCGGAGAGTAGTAACCTCGTTTGTATAGAAAGAGGTAGTCTTCAGCACAACCATCGGACTGATGAACGTCGAACGATGCAACTGTGAGAGTAATCCTAGCCGCTTCAGGTACTCTGATAATCCAAAGGCAATGCGAATATATTGGGTACGACGTGAATGGATATCCCGGAGAAAAGATTCGACCTGAACGACTTGTTGTAATTTCTCCACAAATCTGGGTCGTATCTAAGAAATGAATGCAGCAAAACGTTGGCGAACATAACTACACGTTATTCTTTGAATGCTTTGTTAGAGAGGCAGAAATTCATAGAGTCTCCTTAGAGTTTCACAGCTAAGGAAAATGTAAGAAAGATACAGTGTGATCATTTAAAAAAAACTGCCTACTGCTTGATTTTGTATAAACACCAGTCATCATTTTTAGCCTAAAATACAAAAAAGGCTCGTAGGGTCTGTCTATGGAAAAGATACTGTGAAAGGGTAAACATGTGTCTCTATTGCTAAACGAGGTTATGAGGCTATAAACATAACAGCAGAATAGAAGAACATCAAAACATAACAGTCGTTATATTATGTGTTTCTGAAGCAAAGACAGCCTAATTACCCTGTCTCTGGAGTATTTTCTTGTTTATATCGATGCCAAATATTCCAGGAAGTCCGATGGTGACGTCATTAAGACGCAGGTTCTCTAGCTGCCAAAATCGTCCATATGGAGTATTCTGTGCTACACCAGCTCTTTTGTAGACCGATCCACTCTTTGCTAGCCCCCAAACACTATTTCCATATCCAGCATCAATTTCTGTTAGCAGCAAGCCTGGAAGGGTTATCCATGAGATTGGAAACCTTCCTAACTTTGACGGCCGTTGAGCGTACATTACATTGCCATATTCATCGATTGCCCACAGCCCGTATGTTCCAACGCTGATAGACTTGAATTTTCCACCAATGTTTACCCAGCGTGTTCCAAAAGGCAGTTGTTTCGAAACCCCATCCCTATATGCGGCAATGCCATTGCTTCTCACAGCAAAAACATACCCTTCTGGTCCAGAGTCAATTCGCACGAATACGTCACTGCCAACAACTTCCCATTTTGTTCCTGACGGGTAAGATGGCCGGACACCAGCACGAAACAAAACTCGCCCGTCCTTGCTAATTGCCCATATTCCAGCATCACCCGAAGTAATGTACGACACTTCTTGTTGTAGAATTGGAATCCATATACGATTAATGTAAATGTATGGCACGTCACTGGAATCTACAGCCACAATTTTGTCACTCATTCCAGCTTCTATTTGATTTATTTGTCGATCTCCAAGAGGCAATAATCCCCATCTTTTAGGAGCTATAAAACGATGACGATTAGTCAATGGTGCATATAAATAAATAAGGGATAAGCTTTATGAGCGATGGCTTTGAATTCAAGTGAGTTGAGCTAGATTTCGTTTTATAAAACGAATGCAAAAACACTTCCCCCAATACAATCCCGATTTAAAAAATTTTGTTGAATTTCGACAATAATGAATACATAAGGACTGTCAAAAACAAGTATCAGCTAGATTGATAATGAATAAATTATGTGCTGATATACAATCTTTCTTTAAAATAACCAGGTAATTGAAGCTCAGGCTGACTGTACTTAATTTCTTCGAAAGTTTGAGGCTGGATTGTTTTTAATTTGTTTTTAATACAATGACGGTTCATTGTGTGCTCTAAGAAGGTTTTCAGCCCTCATTTTCCAACAAAATGAGTGAGTCATACTTTGTTTGACCACATATTTGGAAATTAAGAACTGAAAAAGCACCCGTAGTTGGCGAAAACTCCTCGTTTTTTAGATGAAATTTTTAAGGGGGTTTCACAACATTGTTCAAAGTTACATTTTACAGTAGCTCAGTCTCAGCTTGTTCATAATTTGTTCTTAACTCGTGGCAAATTTTGAGGCTCATGTTCATGTAAAATTGTTTTTGTACAAGTGTATAGAGAATTTAGTTTCAAATTCTACTTCCCATTATTGAAAGATAGTAGCCCACAAAAATGGAAAATCTCTATTTTGTACACAGAATAAGTTTGTTCTCACCTTAGGACTCCACTAGTAACATTTTTAATAGGCAAGGGGCACTGATTGGAGAACCTTCACAGTTACGTGTTCGAGTTAATGATTGGCTTATACAACTAGGTATATTTATATCCTAGCTTAGGGTTTTCCATCTATGTTCTGACGTTTTATACTCTGAAATGCGTCAGACCAAAGGTGTTAGCATGTTTCAAAATGTTTACTTTTTACAAAGCCAGTTTCATATTTTCTTTGTGCCTTAAATTAACTACAACTGCCAAACACTTGGAACGACATTAAAAATTACAAATCTCTGCAAATTTTACTGCAAATGTTTAAAGTGGTCCTTGATCTCAAGCTAAGTACGATTTAAGGACAAACCTGTCTGCTTTGTTGTTGTCATTTGTAATGTTGTTGCCATAGTTGTTGTTTCCACGACAACTGACCATGATGCCTTGAACCCGCGCCCCTCAGAATTTGCATCACTCGACAAGTGAATCCAAAAATATTCTCCTTGAGAGACAAAATTCAATTGATATTTATTCCCACAGAATCTATCTCGAGTATTCTCGTCCACCCGGGAGCCATCGCCGACTTTTATGACGTCAAATTTGCAAGTACTGTCATACTCGACATCTACTTCACTGAATGTCAGTGAAATCTTTTTGCCAGACCTTGATCGAATGACCCAAGTGCAAGAAAGGTTACTGTCATAGTTTTTAGGGTAGCCAGGGCTTGTGACAGTGCCACTGTCCTGGAAGAGTAGGCCACCGCAACCTGAAAACAGAATTGAAATGCAAGCGTCGGTAATACTTTCGTGACAAGGCAAACAATATTTCTTTAGGATCCATCATTGCCTTAAGCGAAAATCCAAAACCTGTTACAAATTATTTTGAGACAATCACACAATTGCCAGAACCGAAAATTCCCCCTCCTTTCCGTCGTAATACAGAAGTGAAAAACCCTAGCTTATTGCTACGTTGCCTTCCAAAATGACATCTGAGAAACGAATCAAAACTCATTTTTACCAACATCTAAAATACAAAGAGCTTTGATTAATACATGAAGAATCACTGCTTGTTAAAAATTGGCATCAGAGGTAACCTCAGAGTGGCAGTACGGCATCCACTCCTTTTTTAAGATATTAGCAAATTAAACGAGAGAGAAAAAAGTTAATTTATAAGCTTTCTTAAGATTAAGAAGTATTATGGGCGGCATCAGCTATAAGCTAATGTAAAGCGAATATCAGAACTGGTTTACATCTGACTCTGGAAATTTATCGTGTTGAACGTCAGGGGACTTAATGGATCTGCTAGACTGTGTGGTCCAGTGGGACAGGACCATGGTTCACCACTAATACAAATCCCGAAAACAAGTCCTCGTTGGTTAGAAGAGGAAACATTTGTTCTTAATACCACTGTCAAAGTCAACACAAATGGCTCCGAAAGCACTGCTGCTAGGAAACTATTGATATTTGGGCCTATGCCTGGATTTAAATGATTTCCACATGAACGATGCTACTCTTACCACCACGGGGAAAAGCTTGAAATCTTTATTAGTACCAAACCAACCGACTAGATAATATTAACACCGCACACGCAGTTTCTAAGGAGCTTAAGTTCGTGGGCAGCCATTTTTCAAGGGTTTTAACTTTTTCAGATGAGACGGATTCCTAATAGTGTCTTAAATCTTCTGCAAGTGTAACGAACAATGCGATTATCAACAAGACCTTTTAGGTAAAGAAAAGAGCTTAGTTAGCGTGGCAATTTCGGAGTGCTTTCAAAGAACAAGGCGTGCATGTACGTTTGCATTTACAACAGTGTGTTTCAGGGCTAAATGGTAGCTTTGGGTAAATCTAGCCGCGTCTCTCGTTTCTGAGGAAGCGTAAAAGCTCTGTATAGCTATCGCATTGCAAATCTAAAGATATTTCACCAGCTGCTATAAAGAAAGTACTAAAATATTGGAAGAATTTGTATAATTCTTCAGCCAGATGATACTTGCCAATACAATGTTTACAACTTTTCAAAAAGCTGTAAGTCATTATTGTGCTAGATTCCACGAGTAGCAAAGCAATACCAGCAAAAAAATTGTAAAGACATTGATGGGCTGCCTTAAATACTCTTGAGGCCCTGTAATATTCCAAATACTGATGAATTGAAGTAAGTTGAAAAATAACGGCCATATTGGTGCAATAAGTGCAGGACTAACCTGAATGTGCGATGGTGGTTGGCTGTGTCGTAGGCTTTTCAGTTGTAACTATATGAAAAAAACAGCCGTAGCAAACTAATGAGGGCAAATAATTGAGCCAAGGCAAAAAGGGAGAAATGAGAACAAACATGTTTAACTTAATAGCATATGCAAAAATCATACTTATATCTATAAAACAGTTCAAGAGAACCGATCTTATATAGCAATAGAATGGTAAAAAGTATTGAAGAATCGAAAAAGTTTAAGAAAAGAACGGACTGATCTGAAGCTAATTTACTGAACAGGGAACTAAATACTGCAAACGAGATATCTAATTGCTATTAAACACTGTAGCTGAAGTCAAACTCAACTGCCTGAAACTGCATTGACTGGTTCGTGCTGTCAATCATTGTAACTTACAGTTTCTCAACGCTTTAATTGATTACAACTGATCCTTGATACTACGCCTGTTCTCTGTAGGATATACGAGAAGATCGTTCACAAAACCCACTGAAGAAACACAACTTTGACGGTGCAAATAAAAAAGCTTTGACAAGGTGCTTAGTTGCAAAAGGGAGCGACAGCCAGGGTTGCTGTTGTTTCTAAACAACATGTACTATAGGAATTGGCAAATGAATACCACCGCCCCTTTAGGTTTGTTTGTTTTAAAAAACGTGCCACTTTAACCTTAAAATGCTATGAAACGTGGCGGTAAAGCATCTGATTTCTTGCCAGGACACGTTACTCCTGTCAACCAACCTGCCGCGGAGCCAACAGCAGAATGAGTAAGGCAACGTACTCACATCATGGTGTTTTCCGTAGTTCATGCACATATATTGTCCTTTATAATAATTATGGAACAAAGAACGGAATACGGATTTCCCTGTTATTGGTGAAAATGAAGGAAAGATTCTAAGGAATCAAAGCATATAATATCCGAAATAAAATATTTGATTCTCAATAAAATTAATCAAGGTTTGATTGAAAGTTTGCGGAGACAAAAAGAAGGAAATCTCTGCGAAAGGCGACAGCTAGAGCCATCTCTTATAGAAAGTGCGAAAGGGAGATTCTCCTAAGCCTACAAGAAATGTTTCCTGTTAACGGTCAAGGATAAGAGAACTAATCTTCGCAAAAATGACTAAACGGGAGAGGTATCCGAATTTCTTCTCGCTTTTCTATTAACAGACTGCGAAACTCCCTTCATTTGAATTTGATAATGTTTAATGTGGTAATATATGGCAGGGAAAGTAAAGTAAAAGTTTTTGGTTACTTTTTTATAAAACGTACGGGCTGTGTCTGGTCTGACACTGATAAGCATTAAAATGCACTGCAAAATGCACCGATGACTGAACAGCCTGCACTGAATTGCAACTAATAAGGGATTTGGACCAGCAAGTTATCTTACTTGATCTTTTGGAGTGCATGGAGCAGAAAAAAAAATATATTATCAGATTAAGAAACTATTTAGTATCACTGCCTGCCATCCAAGAAACATCTTTATGCCCTACCTTGGATGTTACGCTTGAGATCCGAATCATATCTAGCAAAAAACCCTTTCGATGTTTGCTGTCCGTCCGAGACGAATTCGAAAAGGGCTGAGTCCCCATCAAAAGTAAATTGTTTTTTGCTTTCGCGAGTGATAATGGCAGGCTTTTCATTGGTCGGGTTTATACCGCCTGCGGAATATGCGAGGAAATCGCCACTACTTTGACCAACATCAAAGCTTTCCAATGTTACAATTAAACTTTTGGCTTGAGGTACGCTGAAAACCCAGAGGCAAACCACCTCGTTAGGATAAGGATTCGGGTAATTCGGACTTGCAAAGATGCCGCTGGTTTCTTCCAAGAGTCCTCCGCACTTCCGATCTGCAAAATAACAGAAAGAAGAAAACCAGATTATTCCTAATCCGCTTAGTTGGCAGACCCAGTTAAGAAATTACAATATTTAAAGGCTATCTGACGTGCAGTTACAACCAGTCAACCATTTCCTTTTACATTTATTCGTTCGTATTTTATCGCACGAAGATTAAGTCCAGTGAAATGGTTTGCCGCAAAAAGTACAGCATTTGAATACAACCATAAACACACTTTGTAGCCGAAAATGCTTTTTATCAAATATTGCAATTAGGAAAATAAAAATCTCAAAAGAAATGTAAGATCAATGGATTGAAATTCCAAACAACAAATTCACAATAAACAAAGCATAACAATTGTCAACTACTAATCCAGATCAACAGCAGAATGGGAGAAAACGTTAGATATATACAAGACCATATGGCGAAGAGATCTTTTCGCGTTGATGTCGACAGTGATCGCGCACTGTGCCACGTTGAACGATATAACCGAAGGAAATCAGGCGCGTGCAGCTAGCAGTCTGAGCATATTTTGCTACAAAAGAACTTTCTTTCTTTCAAATGTAAAAGGTATTGAACAAGAAGTTGTAAGATTTAATGGGTGTCTACATTGACTGTGGTTAGCAGATATGGCAACCATTAAACTGACGCGTGATATTAAAGGCAGAATATCAAATACTGTTAACCACTTTGTCAAAGGAAAATAAAATATATTTAAATAAATTGAACAAGTATTTGAATATTCCGTTTTACATAAAAGAGGCTAGAACCAGCAGTTTATAGTGACCGGGGCGATGTGCAATGCGTCTGTCTTCCTACCCTTGACACACGTTTTTTTGGGAATCCTCTTTTTGGTGACGAGACATTTTCCTATCACTGTTAACCGCAACGGGAAGAAGACAGGGACAATTCTGGAAGGACATGGGGAACTTGCGCATATTTGAAAAGTAGAAAAATGCATAGAAGGTAACAAATAACTGAATAGTACTACAAATTTGACGGTTAGAATAAAGAAGCTCCGATAAAGCAAACATTACTGCGGCATTTAACCCTATAAAAGCCAAATAGCGTTCTGCTTATGTTTAACATAAGGTATTATCTTAGTTTAACTATGGACTGACGCGCTGTTTTCGTCCAAAAATAGTTGTAATAACATCAGGTGTTGAGAAACACAGCAGATACAGTTATCTACTCCAAATAATTCAGAAAATGAAAACCTGATGAATGTACAACAGTTATACTATTATTTGGAATTCTATTTATGATATGATACTCTAATAACAAGCATGCCAAGACAAAATGTGTTATCAAACAGAGAAGATGCACGGCCATGTAAGATATGACGGTACACAGAATGTTTAGGTTTACATCCCACGTTAGTTTATAACAATTCATGTTTTCTTATTAAGAAGAGAATAAAGGACCACACATGCTTGGCATTGACTCATGGGTCGGTGCCCAGGGACACGCCCGGTAATATTGTGTAATCGATTGATCAAGGGTTCTGCTGGTAAAACCGAAAAGAGGCCGCCCTTCAAGTATGTCATTGCCAGACAAGATTGGTATATTACCACTGAATATTACTACGAGAACAACCTATTTTGTACTTTGTACTACGTTTTTTAATATTTGACTAAATTGGTTATGGGATACGTGACTTTGTCTATGAAAAGGATTGTCTGATATCGAAGTTGTCTAATGAAACCTTATGAGAACTAAAAGAAAGGGTCCAGTATTTATTCACCATAAATTGTCCAGAAAAAGATTAAATAAGACAAGGCTATTCTGTTTATCATAGGAACACATACTGGCAGTGAACAAACTTCCCAGCATATCTAATATTTATGCAAGCATAAAACCAACAGAATAAAATTAGATTACAAAATTAGATCATTGTCGAAATTTTCCCAGGAGCTGGGAATCTCTGCTGAAGTATGGAAAACGCAAACATTTCGGGGACAAAAGGCGTACAGACGTCTGCAACCGTTTCGACGATTAAGCACGATACACTGAGGTCTCTCACTAAAAGCAATACGAAATACTCCAGAAATAGAGAGAGAGAAGGGGGGGGGGGCGGTTCTTGGTCAACTTATAATTACCGTGATCCCTCGATAATTCATCCTTAACGGTGCAAGGAAACTTTTTATGCTCCTGGGGTATGTTGAGATATCCCTGGAGCTGAATGGAAAAACACTATCAAATTATGATATCTTTGATTATGTTATGAAACATAGGAATAACTTTCAATGAAAAACCAAAGAATCTTCTTTTTCAAAAGTTACTGCTATCTTAATATGTTAGTAAAGAACTAGCGATATTATCAAAGAACGCGTTTTCATAATCTAGATTTTGTCTCCTTCAATGAAAGATCCATAGAAAAATCTCGATTACCTGAGGTCACGTGGAAATCTGGGAAATAACGAAATGACAGATAACAGACAGACTACACCAGTCTTATAGATCGATGTTGTGAAGGCAAAATCAGATTCGACAAGATCTCAATATAGACCTTTTAATGTCAGTTCAGTTGTGGGAAACATAAAATAAAAAAAGACATTTGCCACCGTAGGCTCGACAATTCACATATCTAAAAAAAGACTGATCGAAATATTCGTGAAGACAAGATGGGTAAAACCAGGCAAAGCGACTTTATGTATTGGCGCCATCCTGGTACAGGTTTTGAAGAAAGTGGGATTGGCCATCAAGATACGAAGATGCTACACCCATACGGCAAGCATAGTGGAACGATTTTACTCTACAGTTTTCACTTCCCATAGCTCTCATTTTGCTTTGCGTTTGGGATATATACTCATAGAATATAGACTGGTGAATCGCCGCCTTCCAATACGTGTCCTGTTCTCTTTAAAATAGACTCATGCAAATCCACCTAATATTTGTGATATGTAATATGATGAGGGGGATAAGAAATTGGAACCCAGAAAGAAAGGTACAGAGATTAGTGAAAAAGGATTTAGGGCTAAGAGACGTGGCACCAAAAAAGGAAAACCCCATTCAATACAACTTTCTTGCGTATCTGTTGAAGAGGTTTAACAAGATCAAAGCCTTATATGTAAATACAGCAGCAAACATGATTATTTTAACATCAGAGAGAAACAGTTCTAATAGGAGATACAATGGAAATTTGAAGAGCAATCTTATAAAACTGACAAAACTTCATTTTTGCGGGTGCTCGCTGGATTTGCAGAGACCTTAACCTTTTAAGAATAGGCTCAAGGAGATTCAAACGTTTGTGTATGCCAAAAGCTCCTCGTTTCATTTTTCTATGTTGCTTGACAAGTTTGATCACGACATGCTTCTTGAGGGCTAAAGTATAGATAAATGGGCTTCTTCGCATCACAATAAAGATTTCCCCGTTGAATTACACTATTTCTGATTCTAATCAACTCAGTCAATTTATCGAAGTGAACAAGTGGTAAACACATGGCGGTTGTCATTAAAAACAAATGTTACAGCAATTAGAAGTAATATCATAGCTTGGAGTAGATATAGATCGAGGAATTTATATCATTACAAGGGTTGTAAGTGTACACCACCAAATAAATCAATATAGAGTACTAATTGCACTAATACAATCGGACTGGAAGTATATATGGAAAACAGCGCACATCAAGCATGGTACTTAGAATCTGGACTCCATATGACCTTATACCAGACATGAGGCCAACCACTTGTTAAGGGTTGCGTGATTTTTTTTCGCGAACATTGACCATCTTTGAGCAACATATGCTAGTTTCCTGGCACAGAGGTAGGTTCCGGGAAAGGTACCGCTGCCTGTGCTTTCGAAAACAAGCTTACATAAAGAGCCCTGGGGTGCAACCCAATGGTGCGGCATATAAATGAGTAATAAATCGACGATTTTCCTCAAATTTCCTGTGTCAAATTAGACTGTGACCTTTGTGAGTTGAGAAATCTATTTGGTTGACCGACTGAAAAAATTGCGTGCCGTATATTTGTCATCTCAATTTACCCCTTAATATGAGTGGATATCACGAAAACCGCTAGTAAGACCTGTGATTCTTTGTCAAGACAACGAAACTGGCGCCAACAACACCGACTGAGCAAGACTGAAGTACAAGGTAAACAAAAGCATTGTTGCTGTTGCTGCAGTGACTTTGGAGAAGTACATTTGTCCATGGAATAACATGCTAAATCTACTGCAAAATAACAAAGAACAAATTCCACAGAGCAAAACCCAGAAAATCTTTTCGGCAGATGCCAGTCAATAATATTTTCTCCAATGCTAGGCGTCTCTAGAAATTCATAAAGTGCATTAATTTCCAATGTACGGATTTTTTTAGCCTGTGAGTAGGAAATTTCGTTCTTAATTTTTTCATTTTTCGCTAGCAAAAAGTGCAGCTTTTTAAAACTGATGGGTATTTTTCTGAGAAAGTACTGTATATGAATGTTTTTGTTATTAATTGGTTGTATTTTTATATATACCTTGGAAGATACTGCCAATAAGAGTTACCAGCACTGAGATGATTTTTAAAAGAGGGTCCATCTATAATTCATATAAAGGCGTTGCCTCGAAAGATTGATCCGGACTACTCCCATGAAGGGCACCGAGAGGCTCGAAGCGAGTTGGGTGCTCGCAGCATAAACAATCTACTACCCTACCCCTGTGATCTTTCAAGCATCCCTGGCACCCTTTTATCGTCCCTTTAGTGGGTTGAATTCATGGTAGCGAACAAGAATTGTTACAAATACATCCACGTGGTAATGCAATATTCCTTTTACCAGAAGCTTATCTGTAATTTTCGCAACAATTGTTGGCGATTATTATTAGCGATTAATCCCTCTTGCCCACTCACGACTTTTCGGTGAAGTTATACCCGGCTTTTCACTGTAATTGCTAAATGAATCCATTGATTGTCAAAATTACATTCATATCTTGACTATCACCTATTCTGTTCCGAACTAATTGAAATTTCGACCGAAAACAAAGGCGATCAATAACGTACAAATATGATTTGAATAAAATAAATTCATGTTAGGAGCCGTCACGATCTACATTAACTTATTCTTCGGGTCCCTTTGCATTTTATTGTACTATTTATACGGTTAAATGATACGAGGAATTTCAAAGGGTACTTTTCCCTAACATTATTGCAAGTAGTGCAATTGAATTAATTACACATTCAGCGAACACCGGTGCATTATTCCAAAGTTAATTTTATCAAACAATGCTCAGAATTAAGGCATCTACCAGTGGAACGTTACAAGTGCCCGAGCAGACATGTGCTTAGATGGGGGAAACCTACCCCGCCATTCTGGCTTATTGTGGGGGGGGGCACTGCAGTATGGTTTTGGAGTTCTTTTATGGGGGGGTCCCCATATCAAAGAAGAAAGAGGGGGATTGCGATTATTTCAGTATCATTTTTACAGTATAAGCTCGACACCGAATATTTTGCCTGTTTCTATAAATAAAGTAAGGATGAAATGGTTGAAATATCTAAAAAACGATAAAACAAAGATAGCTCTCATTCACAAAGCATACGGCCGGGATCGGTTAAATAATTTGATAAAATACCAGGGTGCACCAACAGCTCTCCGCAAAAACCCGGAGGACGGGCAAAAAACCAGACCCTTGGTGAAAGAACCGGATGCATAGTTCTACATGAAAATGTCACGCGGATGGAAGAAATTGAAACGCGCGTTGTGATGGAATACGTTGTGGGCTAACCTGGGCATTTATTGTATATTATATTATGTTCAAAGAAACAATGAAACATGTCGAATAAAATATCGTTGATCTGCGGTTTGCCAGAAATGTCTGCAGGTTTATCTATCGAATTCCAGTCAACTGAATACACGGAGTAGATGAGCCAACTAAAAAAACATGCAACCCTTAAAGCGATTAGAATGAATGTGCTTATAGGAAGACAGATAATTTACAAGTGGTTGAAGCAGATGCTGAGTGGCAATGATTTTCAAACCATCAGTGATTAACAGTGAAGTATTAAATGATCTGGGAATCACCTCTCTAATTCTGAAGGTTTTATGCAATGCAAATCTTTGACCAAACAACAAAAATATTCAAATACCTTTATGCACCACCAAGTCATTTGTGTCCGTGATCCCAACTACACCAGGCAACCCTGCTGTGATTTTGCGTAATTTCAGACCATTTATTCGCTTCCAACCTGAATTTCCAGTTGGCTTCACTATGTTTACATTTTCACGTTTGAAAACCTCACCGTTGCTTGTCAACGTCCAGACTGAGCCATCGAACCCAGTAACAACAGACTTGATTTCTTTGCCAGGTATGGCATCTACCTTACTCCAGTTCTTAATCAAGGACAGGTGGGCACTTGAGCCTTTGCCAAAGTAAATTCTGTCATAAAAGTCAATTGCCCAAACACCATAACTTCCCGCTGAAATGAATCGATAAGTTCCCCAAATTTGCCTCCACGATGTGCCAAAACGATTGGATTTAGTGATTCCATCCCGGTAGTACAGCTCTCCTTTGCGAGTAAGGGCATATACACATCCACGAAGGCCCGATTCAATTATTTTGAAGCCTCTTCCACTCACTGGCACCCATTCTTTGCCAACAGGTAACAAGGGCGAAACTCCGTCCCTAAAGAGCGGAACCCCAATTTTCTTTTGCAATCCCCAAACACCTGCAGCACCAGAGGAAACCCAGCTTAGCTCAAGATCTTCCAAGCTATTTACTTCAGTCCATTGACCTTTTAAACCAGTGTGCACGTGGGGTTTTCCTGAATAATCTAATGCCCATACATATCGAGAAATTCCTGCATCTATTTGTGCAATGTTTGCTCCCAAAAGCGAGTTACTTGGCAATTTTGTCCAATTTCCTGGCAATGAGCTTGTGTTTCCAAAAATGCTGAAGAAGAATGCACAAATAAATGCCAGTTCTCTAGGGATGCAGTCACGTAAATCCATCCTTGAGCTATGCTTCTCTCAAGTGGCTTATTCCTCAACCCAGCCAATCTGAACAATACGCGGGTCTTATCACCAACACACAATCAGTACGGGTTCAAGAACTTGTCTTGGAATAACAATGCAAAGCCAAGCCGAAATTACTGCAGTGAAAACTTTGCCTTGATTAGAGCGATTGTAATCCCCTACATTTAAGCAATCATGCGATTTATCACATCTTTTCTAATCGTCGGCATCGTAAATACGGCTGGCCATCCGACCTCAGACTGGAATGCCACAGCAAAGCAATCATCAACAGGACTCGAAAACAACAGAAACAGGGAATGACCAGCCCTGCACTTGCCGCTGGACGACAGCCTCGGGCGAGCACACAAACGAGGAAGCGAGTCACCTGCACCGGGGCCACTAATATAAGCCTTCTTGGGTTATATTTAGCCTTAAAACGTCGGAATGACTGCCAACAAATCAAAGCAAACTTTTCACAGACTGCAACTATATTGATAGATTTTTAAAATAGGGAATGGCCAAGATTTTGCATCGAGTGCCTTGGGAGGTCCTCGACAAGCGGGGGCAGGGTTCCCCTTTCGGCTTTTCTTTGCCTGTTTTAGTCATTTATATAAGCGCAAATTTCAAGCAGATTAAGAAAACCATCTCTTTGTTTAACTAATTCACTTGAACGTTTTGCGCGTTTTTTCAAGTGGCTGACAATTTTTCAAGTAATTTTACCTCGAATGGAGAAACATCTTTGTGTCATTCCAGCCAACAGGTGGGAGGCCAGAAGTATTCGATGAAGACAGGTTTATCTAAAACTGTGTTCTGTTACTAATTTATTTGTAATTCATATCAGTCAGAGAAACACTATACAACATTTTTATATCAAATTTTGCTATTAACCTTGCTGCACGATTATTGAGCTTTTGAAATCCGCTTGGCAGTCTTCCCTGTATTCTAGCAAGTAAACTTTGAGTAACGTGACCTTTATAGTGTCTTTTATTTACAAATATTTGAAAACCACATCAGAACATAGAATGTTAAAGCAACGGAACGGAGGCTGTTTCATGAATTGTAGAAAACTGTTCTAGAATAGTTTCTCAATTTTTATAGAAATGCAATGAGAGCTCGTGATGAGCATACAGAGATGGACCAAGAAGTAGAACGAGTAAAAAATGGTAGCTCTATTCTATAAAAGTTTTCTTCATAACCCTTATTTTGGTAATAAAGTTTAATATTCTTATGAAAAAAATAGTAACAGTCTTAAGCTTTCGGAGAAAAAATAATACAAAGCTGAGAGCGAGATGCAAACTGCGAATAAAAAATAACAATGATGTGCAACTACTTCTGCAGCAAAAAAAATTAAAGTTAAGAATTATAGAGTTAGGGGAGATCATTGTCATCCATGTAAGCAGAACGTTTATTATTTGAGATTTCCAAGTGGCATAACTAAAAGAAGATAATTTTTGCTTCACGTAGGGAGGAAGTCAGCTTTCAACATGGCAGGCGTGACGTCGATGGCGGTGCGTGACAGTTTGTGATAATAACAATAAAGAGGAAGATAATAATAATAATAATAATAACGATAATCATCTGTGATGACAAAGATGTTGATTGACGTTTGATGATCGACGATTGATTGTAATAATGACGATGCAATATTTCCAAAATGTTAAGTGGTCAGTAAATGTTCTGAGAATTAAACCCCATTTGTTGCTGAATTTGTTGCCTAAGTATCGTGTTGCAATATTAAGTTTTGTTCTACGCTGGCATAACTTTTAAACTCTGAATTTTTACGAGTTGATGTAAAGAAATTTCTTTATCTTATCAAGATATTTATGCAGTACAACTTGCCCCTGTTGGGCGTATTAATTGATTGTTGTTTGCTGATGATGATGATGATGATGATGATGATATTTTACACTCAATGATCGAACTTTGATTACAATTTTGCTATTTTGATTACCATATCAGTTTTCATGGATTAAGTGGAATAAATGCGTATTCTATTTACCCAAGGACGTAGCGGATAACACAGGTTTGAGGGGGGCGGGAGGTTGAGAGGGAACTTCCCAAATGGAGCCTGAATGCTATAACTTTTTCGCGATTAGATAGGGGCTGCACCCCCTGCCTCATGGTCTCCTATGTATTCAACTCACTGATACAGCCACTTTCTGAATGGCACATTTCCATATTATTCCCGTTCATAAACTCCTTCCCAGTCTTAATAGGACAATAAACCTATAAACTTTGCCTCGCCAAAGCTTAGACTGGAGAAGATTGACATGATCGTTGATGAAAACCAAACGATAAATCAAAATAATTATTATGACTAGACCTGCCAACCAGTTAGAAAGGTTATATAAAAAAGGGCGCCACTTGAAGCTTAAGATTAATACGTCTCACCAATACATACATCGTTGTTAAAATTAATTGTACTTTTTATACGATGAAACACATGTTGTGTTGTCTCGTGGAAATAAATGTAGTAGTATCTATACAGCTTTACTTTGGTCATTTCTTGTAAGTGTAGCCCATTTTCTGATTGCAGTATGAAGTTACATCATAATAAACAGCCAATTAGCTGACATAGTCATAAAAAAAACGAACATATTCGCTGTTGACCTCGAAATACTGACTTTGTATAATCGGTCTGTCTAGAAAAGACTGCAGTTTGCAGGTTGGCAAACAATTTTGAGTTCATTATAACTGTTGAACGATAAATTTACAAATATACCTGTGGTGAAATACATGTTACTTTGACATAGTTATAAAATCATATTGACGACCACTGTTCTAATTTCAGACTCAAAACGAGGGCTCTGTTTCGTTTTCAAATTGTCTTTAAGCACTTTAAAAAGGTAAATTAGGCCGCTTCTCTATCATTGGACTCAAATATATAGAGCGGGTACAAAGAGAGGCCGCTGGAAGGGGGCATATGTCGCCGGACGCCTGAGTGAAAAAAAACATTTCTTAAAGGGTGTTGAATATTGTTTACTGCCAGGAATGGCAGGGAAAATGCTGGAACCAGGGCCGTTGAGAAGATTTGGAGGCCTTGGGCAAAGCACAAAAATGGGGCCCCTTGCGAGCAGAAAACCTTTCCGACCACGCCCTTTAGATTGTCTTAAGATACTTTCAGAATACGTTTTGCAGTTTCTTGCAATCGTTCAAAACTTTTTACTATTTTTAGGCATACTTTTCTTACGTTTGCTTAACACCATTCTTATAATGGAATTCAATACTTTATGAGGCCCCCTAGACCCCAAGGCTCTGGAGAAATTTACCACCTCGCCCCCACTCAGCGTTTCTGGCTGGAACAAATGACAGATTTGATGTCATGATACCCCTGCTTGTATGTTTGGGAATCTTCACTTAAAAATTGGACTTAACATTAGCTACAGTAACATAAGTCGAACCCAGAATGTTTAAAGTAATATTAGATTTTCGAAATTCAATCCATTGTTAAAAACAGTATTGCCTTTCTTGACATAGCTTTAGTTACAAGATAACTATACAAATTAAAGCAGTGCTTGCAGTTTACCAGTTTATTTCAGTAAAACTCTTTTTCCTAATTTGATCTAGCATTACTATCATTTTGCAACCGTCCGGCTTTCATTAACTGCATTTGTGTATTCTGCTATAATGACTTAAATGGTTTATTTCTCTAAGCAAATACTTTTACAAAAAACATCTGCTAAAAATGCAGCAACAATGATCATGATGCCTATTTTGGCTGTCAGGTCTTATTAAAGAAGCTGACTCTTGACTCTATAGGCCAGCTTGGTTGCTTCCAACTCAGCAAAGATTTAAGAAGTTCAGGTGCACCAGTTCAGGTATATACCCGAAAACCTATTTTAACAGGTTACAATAAGTTTGTTCTCTCACGCTTTTCCTGTTGATCCTCCTTTAACCACTTCCCATGTCTGCGAAAGCTTTCTACCTTCCGCATCCTTTAATTCCCAGTGTAAACGAATCAATTGTAATAATTCAATTCGGTTTTTCTCAATTAATCCTTCGTTTCCGATATGCTAAATTTATTATTCAAATTGATTTTTAAAGATTCTCATTTTTGATCGCATATTTCTTGAAGGATGAGCAAAATTTGCCGAGGATTGTGTGCTATCACTGTCACGCAATTTCCAGCACCAAAAGAGAATTGATTTCATGCAAAATTACATTGAATGGGCCCTATAACGCATGGTCTGATGTCCCCTGGGTATAAGTGTCTCAAAAGTTGGAGCAGAGGAACAGAACATCAGTGACATCATTTATTCATTTATTCAAATAGACCCACTCAGAGCACACAAAGCTTTTTTTGGCCACCAGTGCAAAAGTGCGCAACAACAACTTGAATCTCTTAAATAATGAACATTCTAGGGCAAATGGCATGAAAGTGAGGAATACGTTCAAAACTCGCAATTTGAAGGCCCTTAATAAGCAAAAGCTTCAAGTGATGAAACTATAATACTCTGGACATGAGTCATATGCATACGATTGGAAGGCGAATAGAAAGTGTGTGGATCAATAAATACTTCGCCTTTTAAGTAAATCACAAGACATAGCTAAAAATGTACGGGAAACCTATAGATAAGGTGTGTCTGTGACTGAAATTTGGAAGCCATGCACATCCTAGTCCGCCCCGTAGCACCTGCAAAAAGCTTCGTAAAGTTGAAGGTTAGGCCGTTTTGTTGAGCGATTAATAGTTTGAAAAATGCAGTATAACCTCCTAAAACACATGTTTCAAGCAACTTAGCTTAGTCTGCAAATCAATATGATTGAGCAGGTTAGTATCTGTACCTATTTTTCTTGCATCTAAAAATCTGCATATCACACACCCATTTGCAAGTGTTTCTGAGCCTTTCCAAACCATACTACTATTGGCGGTTCAATTTCCTATCCAAAGAGGCACAACCAAAAGAGAGGTTAGTAATTATAGTAATGGTTTTGAGAGTTTTCTGGTGTCTCAACTATCAATGAAGATTACCATTGAGGATTTACACTCGAGGGCGGTTCGTACAAGAAGAATGCATGTGTCAGTAGCTGCGAGCAAAATCTATGGGCTATTTGATAAGCTAGCTAAGATTTCATAGAATCCCTTGGCGACGATGAAGTAGGTGATGCAAGAAACTTTTATATTTTGACCAGTTCGTATTTTCGGTGGCAAACAATTCTGAATTCAATTTAGGGACGTTTTTAAACTATTAGGGTAAACTCCTAAAGGGAAATACATCTTACGTGCATTCGTCGATGGATTGGGAGTCTTATAAAGGTTATTAGATATTAATTAAGCCTGTCTTATCTTGTTATCCAGGCCTAAAATAGTATTAGAATAAGATGATGATATCCCTGTTTTGAAAATGTCAGGATTTCACCATCTTAAAATATACCAAGATCATTCACTCTTTGACTACTGACATAAGCCGTGCCTTAAGCATGCCTTGTTGAACATACTCGTTTTAAGTTTTAAACAGATAATTTGCTATTGGAGATGTCCTTGTTATGCACATCCTTAAAGAAAAAGTTGAATGCGAGAAATGCAAGAAAGTAGGAAAAGAATAAATTAATTATTCAAATAAATCGAAAGCTAATCTGCGGGACGGTGAAAAATACCAATGTGCGAAGAAGGGCAAATTGCAAAGAAGGCTGGTTAAAGTTATTATCATATAAGTGAAAGTTCATACGGATATTGGAAGCAAAATGTAAAGATATGATGCAAAATGTTGTTACCCTGGTGTAGGTGAAATATTTTGAAATCGCCATGTCCCGAAAAAGAAGTACATAGCAACGAGAAATTAAAAAAATTTGTCCAAAACAAAAACAAAATTTCACATCGGGTCGGTAAAGAAGTTCATCTAATTTATTAGTTTGTCTTTGCAAAAAGCGATTGCTTTTTTCGGACCAACAAGAAGTATCAATGTCGTATTGAAAACAGTTTAATTGGAGAAAATTAATCAGAATATCAAGGCCAAAAAATACACTAAAAACAATCGCACAAAACAAAAATAAAGTATTTTTCAAAACTCTGTTTAAATAGACCACCTTGAGTCACAGAAAATTCAAGCGTTTCTTCATTGTGACATTCGCGGACATTCAAGTTAATATTCGATCATCAAATCTGAATTCTACCCTCAAATCATTAGAAACCGGTGTCAAATGCGTTTCGGTAGCCTTAGACAAACCAGTGGCGTAACGGAGGCGTCTAGGGCCATTTTGGAAAAACTGAGACAGGGGCCCTTATTCACGGAATGCAGAAAGTCCAATCCAACGATGTATCACATGTGAAACACCATAGCAAGACGTGAAAGTTATACTTTTTTCTCGTTAACTAGGGCAAGCTGTGTTATAAAATCTTTTGAAAATGAGGTGAATAGGTGAGCCCCTTTTTCGGTCGGGGGCCCTTGGCTATCAATTTAAGATGCCCCTAAATGCGTTACGCCACTGGGCAAAATGCATTAAAACTCCTTCTAATAAAAAACGTGACCTTATAAAAAATATATTAACTGAATTTTGCATTAAGAAACGCAAAACGGTCCGGGCTCAAAATTGCATCACATAATTAAACATTTTCGATGTAACATTGAGATTTTTCAGCATTGGGTTCCATGAAGCATATTCAACCGGCAGAAGGTAGTATTGCTTAGGTATATTGGAGGTTGAAACCGGTAGATTTGAGAAGAATTATATTCTCAGGGTTGATAGAAAATGTCGACTATTGTCATTCCTTGAATATAATAACTGCTGTGGTGGATGACATTTCCTTTTCCATTTTTCCCCTTCCTCAGAATGTTAATAATTCTATATTATATGTGATTTAATCAAAATTAACTTTGTCTTTGTGATAAATTTATCTGGTTGAGTGCAGAAGATATGGATAGGCTAGTATCAGTAGCTAACTGGATTTTAAATCAAGGGAATATTTTGGGAAAACTATTATGTGCGTATCTGCATATTTATGGTCTAGCTAAAAGTTTTTCATTTTTTACTCTTGTATAACCTGATTGTCGTAGTTTGAGATATGCTGTTGATTTGTTGTTATCAAAATTATGTTATGGTTTTTATGTTGGTAGTGGGCCATTTCAGCCTACAAGCCATAACTAAAAGAATATTTTGCCTGATTTTTTTAAACTAGCTGAAAAATTTCTGGTCTCAAAATATCTTCTGTACAGTGGCCATTTCAAATGACACTCTAAAATTCGGCTGAGCTCGTATTAAGATTGTCATAAACATGCTTATTTTGATATGAACCGAAACAAACATTTCTGATTAAGACATTGTTAATTATCATCTTTTTCTTTATTCTGACGGCAGGATGGTAGAGCGTTTAGTCGGATCTTTTGACCACCAGGTGTTCTAGATAAAGGAACTCTGTAAAACTAAGACTCTACGTGGTATGGTTTTAACTGCGTCATCTTTTCTTATTTATTAGCGAGAAAAATGAAAATCCAGGCGTGTCTATGAAACTCAGTGCTGGTCGAGTCGCTTCATTGTTGTACACAGCTCGAAATTTTTATAAATTCTGCTTAGAAGATAATGCATAAATAAGGAAAGGATGGTCCAGCAGAGATTTTTTTGAGCAATTGACGAAAAGTGAACAATGGGAATACAACTATACAAACATAGCTCTGTGTTGCTTCTGTTTAGCAATTATGGTTCCCACAAGATTTGAGTTGCAGAAAACATATTGAATAGCTCTTAAAAAGTGGGACATTTATAGATTAAGTACATTTATGCCTAGTGGTATTGCGAGTTTTACTGCAACTTTGCACTGTGACTCCAACAAAAGACCACAAAGAAATTCACGAAACCTAAGGATTAATTTGGGGTAGTTGTACACAGACCTTTATTACATTTAGTGACCGCCATTCGTTTCGGCATCGTTTGAATCACGGCACAAATTATAAATGAGGAAGAGATGTATGAAAAAGGCTGTTGTGCTTAGAACCTCGAAAACTGTTTTTTTATAATGGGCTTTCTGTTTACTGTACTTCAAGTTACAGCTACTACGCACCCGTCAAGATTGTTGGGTGAAAATTAATGTTTTGGATTTCTCGCCAATGAATGTTTGCCAGTTATCAACTCAACATATTCTCGCGATATATTAACTCCGCTGTCGAACTAAATCCTTTACCTACTATCAGTCTGGTAAAATATCCTTTTAATGCAAAATGAATCAAGGTAAAATACTATTCTAAACTGAGCAAAGCACGCGAAGAAATGGCGCCGCCTGGGTTGGTAGGGTTTAAGATTAACATCAGGATAAAATTCAAAAGAACCACGTCATGAAATAAAAGGGCGCGGTCTTAACACCATTATTGGAGAGGAAAAGCTGCTTGCATTGGAGGGGGCAGATATCTTCGCCGGCAACTTCATACCAAACTACTGGGAACACATATAGAGAGAGGCTCAATACGGGTAGACACGTCTGAAGTCAAGTACTTTATAAAAGAAAAGTCTCCAAATAAGTTGATTAGTAGGAGCTCTGATCGCGTCGTCCTTGGTACAAACGCAATGAAATGCTCCAACTTACGGAAACATCCTAAGCTAAGCTGCTTGAGTTCAAATTGACTTCGAAAATTCTTGTTGTTAAACCTATAAACCCGTTTCTATTCAATTGTCAAAAATAAAACATCTATGAGAAATATGTGTCCAAAACATTACTATAAACCAGGAGCTTAATCATATTTACAATATGTTATTCCAATTCAAAGGAAAAAATCTCCAAACGATCTTATGTAATTGAGAACGACGTAAAAGATTTGGGAGCTCAAAAAGACTTTTTGGGACGAAAATTAGACTAAATCAAAAGAGAAATGTTGCGGTTTTTAAAAAAAAGTCATTAACAAATGCTTGAGGTTTTGTTAGATCGTTTACAGGAATGCTGTAAGCTTGCATAATCAATGACATGGTTTGAACTAAAAACGCGATCACCGACTTGTACCCTGTATATTTGGCATATGAGCTGAAGCAACACTGAGGATTAAATAGATATGTTCGCTTTTCTTACATCTCTTTAATAAGGATTGACTCTTTTCGCAATATTTTTATCGCGACTATTAAATGCATTTATCGCCTGTACAACAATAAACTTCAGAACGTTGCATTGGTAAGATCCTTTAAGGCAAAAAAATTCAGCTTCATGCAACTATTATCTAAATTAATTAGGAAAATAGTGATTTCCTGTCATTGTATTCTTGAAAAGAACGGTGCAATTTGCCTGCGGAGATTATGATGACTCTTGAAATATGTTTACAAGCATGGCATTCTTATATGAAAAGATTAAGAAAAAAATTCCTTCTTTTTTCTTTCGATAAAAAAAATTACGCTAAATATTGTCAATTAATAGAAAGATATTATGATAGCTACAAAAGTTCCCTTTTCATTGTTCAAACTTTATGTAAATATTTGCATGCTCGGTCTTTCCTGTAGGCAACCGCACTGTTCTTATAATATTACAATGATTCGAAAAAAGAAGAAGAAAATATTGTGTATAATGAATGAAGTTATTTTATTTGTAGCTTTGGGCTTCGTTAGCATTGAATTAATAAAATATTCGAAATCTCCTATTTGAAGATGATAGCAGACCGTTAAACCATTTTGTGAAGTCTTAAATATGTTGGTGTATAGCCATAATATGACTAGTATTTCTCAGTATTTAATATACGAAGACGATGATTAGATAAAGAAAATTAAAATAGTAGCCACGAAAATTGAAATAAAACGTTTTCGGCATAACCTTTAATGATTAAAGGTTTAAGAATATTCAAAGAATTATAGCCGTACGGACAAACAGCGGAAAGGTTAATTCGGCCAATTGGTACTATGACTAAATCAAGTACTATATTTTTCAAACGGTTTTGCAAAGTTTTGGGCAAATAGAACATGAAGCAGAAAGATATCTTGCAAAGAGACCTTGCACAAGAATATTTTTTCTGGTTCAAAACAGTTTGGACAGAGAAGACATGCAGAGTAGGTTTACTTGAGAAGCATTTGAAGGTGCAAGAAGAAACAAATGTCATAATGTAAATAGACAAAACATTTGTACTCACCATTTTTGCTTCTTTGTGATAACATAAGAGTATTTGCTTTTCCATACGTTTTGTGTCGTCAACATTTGCTAACGCTGCCGGAAACGCTTCTTCGTAGCGCATCCTGCTTCATCTGTTGTAATATAACTCTTTGGCACAATTTTAGGTCTTTCCACATAAAATGCTGGTAGCAACTGCCAGGGGTTTTGGAATAAAATGACTGGTGTATGACGCCAATCATCATCGGAGACATATGATGTTGAAAGGTGGAACTTGGTGCTTCGTCGTTACGTAGGCCACCAGTGTGTCATAAGTTTATAGTTTTGTACACCGTCTTATGAGGATGTCGGTTGCTAAAACTACTATTCAGATTTGATCTAAACTTGCTGCTAGCGACCATCAGATTTGATCTACACTTGCTACTAGCGACCATCAGATTTGATCTAAATTTGCTGCTAGCGACCAACAGATTTAATCTAAACTTGCTACTAGCGACCATCAGACTAGTCAAGTGACTATAATTCTACAAAATTGTCTATCTAGGAACTCGTGTATAGAAAATGTTGTTAAATTTTGTAAATCAAAGTTAATGCTAAGAGGGGCTAACGACAATGGTAGGTACTGGGTTATTTAAAGAGACAGATTCAATAAAGCATGTTGCAAACATGCCTTCTGTAATGTGCTACCCAAGAAATGAGGACCCATGATTTTGACATTTGAGTTATGGCCTTAGTGGACGTGATAACGACAACTCAAATGAAAATTGTTTCCTATGGAACGAGCCTGAGGCAGGCTTCATACCGTCAGGTACTTTGAGCCATGGATATTTTGAGAAAGCATATGTTTGCTATACTAGGCTACCGATAATTTTTGCATTGATTGCTCGTTCTTATGCAATAGAGACCAGCAAATGCAAAATATTTCCCCATCTTATAAAATAGCACAAAAAATTATGGCCCTAAAAATATTAGTTCCTGACTTTAAGATCTCAAATCTTGGATCCCAATTTCTTAGGGCATGAATTTTCGGATTCTTGAACCATGGATCTCAAATATAAACTGCCTGCGTTTGCATGTTTTAAGTAGGCTCACATACTCTTTTACCAAGGTTCTGAGAATTCTAAGAAAACTATGTCGAAAATTTTTAACTGATTATGACCTCTTGCAGATATACCTTCTATTTCTATAAATCTAAGCACGAAATTGTGAATCTGAAGAAGAAGATCTATTCCATAAATATGATTTCTACAGTTGCTAGTTACTATCAACTGCTTCTAGCTAGTTGCCATTCTATTTTAAAGTACTGAGAAATATTCGAAAAACTATACACCAAACACTTTCCTCAGTTAGCAATAATACGTCATAAAAGATTAAAATGCACTCATACCTGGCAAATCAATTTTTTGTATTTCGGGAATCGATGACTTGCTTTCAGTGGCTAGAGAATAGATGGAGAGAGAGGTGCTGGTCCTGATAATCAAGTATTTAAAGGTAAAAATTTTTCAAAAATATCATTATTTCAGGGCCAGCTAGTCAAAGCAAAAATAACATATTGTCGATAGTATTATTTCTGCCCTCCACAAGAAAAATGAAGAATTTGATCAAATAAAGGAATGACATTTGTCAGAAAATTGTTTCTTCCTTTATTTCCTAGGTACTTCAGACAACTGGAAAATGAAATAATCTGGGGAGTCATTTATCATATTTGCATTCAAGGTGGCGCTCTACAAATCAATCTGCTTTCAGGTGTAACCACATTATAAAATGACATCATGAATATAAAACCAGTTCTAGACTTGGATGGAAATAGTGGCAAATTTAACGCTGCTGAGGGTTTAAGGTACTAAAGATCTACCCCTTGAAATAATCTCAGGCAATCGAATTATTGAAGCAAAATATTGAAGTCATCTTAAGCCAAAAAAATTGCTGTAAGCTTCTAGAAATCGAAACCAATAGAAATATTGCTCATCTTTTCCAACCCAAAATTGTTATCCAGCGGGAATCCTCTGCTAACACAAATGGCCACCTTTATATTTAAAAATAGCTTTTTAGTAGCTTTCTCTTGGGCTCGATAGTTTCAGTTGAGGTATCTAAATAACATATACAATTCTTACGAACTTTTAAGGATAAATGAAAAATTTTAAAAAACAAACACTGCTTGATGCATAACTTACTGATAATGGGTGCGGTAGTTCTAGCAGCTGGGGTCACCTCGATATTCATCATAAACAAAGTGGTGTATTTGGCTATGAACCCCTTTGTCTCTACTGTCTTGTCTGAAACGAACTCTATCATCGCTGTTGTGCTTCGAATATACTTTGTACTAGAGATCTTTCCACATTCTCGAGGAAACATCTGTGTTCCAGGAACAATGGTTCTAACATAGTCAGCAGAGCAGAATGTGCTCTCTTGAAGTTCAAAATCATCGAATTCAACCTTGATGCCTTTACCACCAGATACCCGTATCAGCCAAAGACAGTTGGTGTTTTTTGGATACATCATTGGATAATTTGGTGTCTTGAAAATTCCTTTCATGGAAGACAGAACACCTCCACATTTGTTGTCTATGAACACAAAAGTGTTTAAAGAACTTCAATATAGACAGTCAAAATTAAACATCGTCAAAACTATACAGAGTTCCATTCCATGAAATGCTGCTTTGAACAAAATGATTAAAAACGCAGCGATTATCACTTTCCAAAGACACAAAGTTACGTTGTTTTATTACAAAATATAATTTTGACCAACTGAATAAAGATTGTTCTCTTAACAACATGTTCTAATCTTTTTAAATTTGGTTTTCCAAAAATTTTGCATTTCTCAGAAAAAATCTTTCTTCTGAAAACAAAAGTCTTCCTTGTAAAAAAAACAGAACTTTCCGCAAATTGCCTTTTATTACAAGGAGCTGAAAAATCACTAGCAAACGGTTTTTAAGGCTTTTTACTAATATAAACAGTAATTTTTGACTGGTAGATACTTGCCTTGCTTTTTAACAACAACGCCATTAGATAACGTTCTGTAAACATTCAAGTGACCGGGACTGACGCTTGTCGTATGCCCACCGAGTACTTTCCATTTAGTGCCGACCGGAGAACTTGAATTGACATTTTGCCTTTGAACAACTGTACCATTAACTAATATCCCCCAGAGGGATCCACCATGACCTGCACTGATGGATTTTATACCTGTATTGACATTTCTCCATCTCAATGCAGCATGATTGGCGTCATCTCCTATTTTCAGGTCTGCAAACTGCAATTTGCCAAAATCATTGATTATCCAAACTCCAAAATTACTAAAAGACACATCTCTGGCTCTTTTACCAATGTCTTCCCATGACGTGCCAATAGGTAGATAGGATGTAATGCCCCTTCTTACGAGTAATTTTTGATTTCCGTCTATTGCTAGTATGCTTCCCATTGGACCAGTGACTACTTTCTTTATGCCATTTCCGTCCACTGTTACCCATGTCAATCCTTCTGGATGTGTATGAGACACCCCCTGTCTGTATCTCAAAGTCCCATCAATCCTGATCCCCCAGACTCCCCATTCGTCCACCGACAATGACATGAACCGTTCTGGGCCCATATACTTCCACCTTGTGTTTATAAGCAGGAATGGAATTCCAGTGAAGTCCAAAGCCCATAAAGTATCATTATTGTTTGCAGAGACCATTTTCATTTTAGGGATTGATGACACGTGTTCCCAATCTCCATACGTATCTAGATGCAAAGATGACTTTGTTTAAAATATACTTCATTGTGTACTTAAAAGAATTTATATTAAACACCTTAAAACTTCACTTTCTTTGACCTTATTTGTAATTGCAGTCTATATTGAAATATTAATGTTTTGTTTTGCTGGGAGTAGGTTAAAATCTATTAATTCAGAAACTTGACAACTACATTTATTTTTGGAAAAATTGATTAAGATTAAGCACATGGTAAAGATTCTACTTGGTCAATTCTGCAAAATAGAAAGAGCAATTTAATGACGGGAAGACGAAAAGGGAGTGTGCGACAAAGAGGCATACCTGTCCGCGCAGATGGCACTGCATCTTGAGGGGTCGTAAGGGGCCGTTGATCAGCTATCAAGAAAAGGTTTGCAAGTCACTACACCATAAAAATAGGGGACATCGAGGTGACACCCAAATTACCGTCGTTACTTAAACCAACAAACAAAGGGTAGTTAATGACTGTCTAAAGACACATTTCTACAAATTTTCAATTTTTATTCAACAGGCAAGCAACAAAAGTAGCAAGAGCTAGAGAATTATTCAAGATATTATGATGTTACGTTGTAAACACGAATTATTAAATTAGACTTTAAAGAAAAGTGAAATATGAATAAAAGAGAGAAAGGGAGCCAGAACTGAAAGAGTGATAGGTGCAATTTTAGCAAGTGTATGTAAGATACTGCAAGTAAGCTGTTAAAAGGGTTTTTATAATAATAACATTGTTTATACAAGGTACCATCTTTCAACACACTTTCAACACTCCTAGCAATGATGCTAATATGTTAACAATAACTTGGTTGAAAAAATAAAATCGATAAAAGCAGAAATAAAGAAATTCTTACGTGTTGTAGGTACGGGTTCTGGCGAAGGTGATTCCGTAGGTCGTGTAGATGACACTGTTTGTACAAAACGGAGCAAAGAGATCAAATCTATCAACAATTATATCTCTCTTTAAATGATTATTGAAAATAGGATTTATAAAAATCGCTTTGGATTGCCAACTGACAGCTTGCTCAAAAAGAGTGGCAAGTTGTTAAGTCAAAAGAAAGCTATTTTCGGACTATTTAAACATCTAAAAATTTTTAAAAATAATTGAGTAATACCTGTTGTTAGGCGATGTGTAGACGGTGTTGATTCTGGAGTTTTTGAAGATAAAACTATTTGAAAAGAGAAAAAAGGGGTCACAGAAACGAATGAAATAATCAATTGAAAAATGCTAAGAGTAGAATTCATGTTTTTCCACAGTTTAATACAAAACTTAAGTACAAATGTCATGCTTTTGAAGTCTCGTTTGTAAACTTCTTTGTGCATAGAACCTTCTCGGTATAAAATATATCCTTTAACACTTCTAGCAAGAACCGCGATGAAAAAGAATTAAAAAAACGATACAATGCGGAAATAACTGCTTCATTTTAAATTGGCACAACTATGATTTTATCGGTATGTTTCAATATGACGGAAAAACATTGCTAATTATAGCTTTAATACATTTTACAGATTAACGGAGAGCCACTGACCCACTGACTTAGAGGTTTAATCTCGTCCAGGCTAAGATAAAGGTTTGCTTAAGATACGATGTATCATGATAACAAATAAGTATTACCTTCTTCTTGACATTGGCCTTTGTATGCAAGTGAGACAGTTTGCCTCATTATGCATGACTCGGCTCTCATTACACACTCATTCGCATACGTCTTGTTATCTGATCCACAAAGAGGCTCGTATTCAATACCACAGACGACGTCACATGTTATCCCTATAATCAACCATAAACGTTAAGCAATATAAAAATCACAGGACAGGGCATCCCATTCTATCGAACTTGCAGCTTTAGCAATACAAATTCGGGTCTACTCGCAAAAATAACTGAACTTTAATCTTGAAAATTTAGCCTTGCAGTTTGATCACAGTAGCTCGAACCATCAAGGAAACGATCAAAATGGTTCAAGTTAGCGAATGGTCGAGTTATCAGGCGGTCAAGGGAATTAGTTAAGTTTCAAGAAGAATACAAAAGGGTCAACGAATGCCTGAGATATCAGAACTATGTCGAATTTTTGTATTTGACGTCCGTTGTACTTTACAGTACCTTTTACTCCACATGCTGTCGCTTAGCTAAACTGAGGTCGACCTTTAATTACTTTGCGATCAACCTTTATTTAATTATTCATTTTCTTCTACTCGCCTATACCATTTCATTGATGAGAGTCTCAATAAGTAAGTAACATGCTATTTTTGCGATTTTGCAGTGTCAACATAATTTTGTTTGGAGTGAGGGGGAGGCAGGGACTATGCCTAAAAAACTTCTAGCGGAAAATTTCCATTTTGTTCCCCTATGACTTCAGCTGTTGATGTCAGGTCTTTTATGGTACACTTTATACCTTTTACTCCACATGCTGTCGCTTAGCTAAACTGAGGTCGACCTTTAATTACTTTGCGATCAACCTTTATTTAATTATTATTTTCTTCTACTCGCCTATACCATTTCATTGATGAGAGTCTCAATAAGTAAGTAACATGCTATTTTTGCGATTTTGCAGTGTCAACATAATTTTGTTTGGAGTGAGGGGGAGGCAGGGACTATGCCTAAAAAACTTCTAGCGGAAAATTTCCATTTTGTTCCCCTATGACTTCAGCTGTTGATGTCAGGTCTTTTATGGTACAATAGAGGACCCAAGCCTATTGTTTTGAAACAAAATATTGTAACTGGGCCTCCTAGATTAATGCCCCCTTCGCACGTTAAAAACCTGACTCTAGAGCCTTGAGCTTTTTCATTTCCACGACTTCAGAAATCACAGGCTACAAGAGAAAATATTTGTACTGAAATGTCCCATTACATTGGTCTCAAAGTTGATAATGAATAAATCAAAATGATGAAACAAACTGTGTTCTTACCATTTGTATCACATTTTCCAGATTTCAAGATCTCGATAACTCTTTTAGAAAAGCAAGATTCTGTTCTTAGAACACACTCATTTGCGTATGTTTTTCCATCTGAACCGCAAACTGGTTCATAATTAGTTTCGCATTTTGTATCACACACTAGAAATAAATATTAACATGAATATAAGAAGCAAAAGGATTTCAAGAGATTGAGTAGTAGAAGCCTCGTTCATTCAGATGAAACTCTTTTAATTTAAAGTTTTGGGATTGCAAAAATACTTTTCAACACACAATTTAAAGTTTGATTAAATCTAAAACATTTTTCACGACACAAAAATTACGTACGATGTATACATTACGAAACACCAATTTAACAGATTTTAAGAAAAAACTGAAAATAGAGAAAATGATTTGACGTAGTAGTCATAGACTTATAAGCCTAGAGGCTTAAATTGATGGCTCTTTCTAATAACATCACTTATTCCTTAAGCTACTGGGTACATACGTTCCCTATTGGCCTGTGTTATTGGCAAAACAACAAATTTCTTTAGTAAAACTTCCAATCAGAATTGATCTTTGAGGTTGGTTGCGACCATGATTTTAATTTAAAATGATAATTACATTCGATTTACATGTAATAAATGATTGATAAAAAGGTTTATTAACGTGTTTTTGATCCAATAAACAAAAGTTTTGAACACTTTGAACAAATGATAGATAAGGAGTGATTGTGAATGTTGGCAACCATATTCTTGTTGTTCTAACAGCTAATGCCGTTAGAATTTCTAGTCTCTGTATCTTTATTTTTATCTTCATAAAATAATTTATTTTTTTCACATCCATCTGAAGCAAAAAAGGATTTTATTCTCTAAAATTTCATACATCGTTTCTTACCAAAAGGAAGTTCAGTAGGTTTCTTTACTTGCTCACTGGGGAAGTCAGCTCGGTAAATGATACTGAAGCCTTTAGTGTTGACTTTATCATTGGAGAGGAACTCAACCATGAAGAAATCGCCATCCACCGTTTTCGTTTTCAATGCTTTCCCGCAGTTATATAAAGGAAGACTTCTTGGAGCATAAATGATCATGCTATCTGAAATGCAATCTACCTCTGGCTCGATCTCGAATTCTTCAACTTCGAGATGGACCTTGACAGAATCTTTGACATCGATTATCCATAAACAATTAGTGTTTGCAGAATAGTTTTCTGGATAGTTAGGAGTCTGAATTAATCCAACCCTCGATGTTAGAACTCCTCCACAATAATTATCTACAAAATATAAATTTAGGTAGTCCTTCAATACATCGCAAGAATCGAGAAATACTGAAAGAAGAAATAGTTGTAAAGCAAATTGGTACTGTAATTTCTTACAAATGGTGAGCTCCTGGATGTCAAAAATTTCTCACATAATATAATATAACGATTTCGCAAAATAAATCCATTACTTAGACCATATGTGTGTTTTAAGAAAATCTACCAGCATCACATGCCACAGAACCCTTGTCAAAATTTATAAAAAATGTATTTTTCACTACCAATTGTATAAAATCAAATAGTTTAGAAGAAAAGAGACATCCTCAATTTAAGACTAAGGGGAAGGGAAGTGATTTAAATAAACATAAGAAATTTTCATTGTCAGAATGTCTCACCCTGCTTTTTCACAATTCTTCCATCAGCAAGAACTCTGTAGACAAATAATATACTAGGGCTGACACTCATCGTCCTTCCTACCATTGGTTTCCAAAATTCTCCAAATGGTAATAGCCCCCCAACTTTCTCCCTCCGTAACAATGCTCCATCAGATTCTATTGCCCATAGAGAAGATCCATGGCCTGCCATAACCGTTTTCAAAGCACCACCTACAGTGACGTCGTCTGTGAACGGAAATATTGAGTCCGTGTCTCTTTCCCTTCTAGCAAAATGCAACGAATTTTTGCTGTCAATGTAGAATAGACCAAAACTTCCTGCTGAAGCATCCAAAACAGTTTTACCAGTGTCAGTCCATTTACTCCCGTAAGGAATTTCTTCAGATATGCCAATACGTCGCATAAGTCGGCCCTCATTTGTTTGGGCGAAAACCTCATCTTTTCCATAGACAATAATTTTAACGATATCTTTGCCATCCAAATTTATCCAGCTGTTGCCTTCTGGGTTGCCTTCTGTCAAATTTAGTCGCACAATTAGACTTCCATCTTCTTTAATGCCCCAAGCTAGTTCTTGACCAATTGCTAGAGATCTGAATCGTTCTCGTCCCACGGGTTTCCATGAATCAGCAACCAAAGCAAATGCATATCCATTTTCGTTAACAGCCCATACAACATCAAAAATGTTCACAGCAACTTGAGACATCTTTTCTGTTGATGGAATCAGCTGCCATCCAGCTGGAATGGTCATTTCTGGTGCTGTCAAGATCACAAAGGGCAAAAATGATAGCTATAGAATACCGAAACCAACATAATATATCCAAGCCTTGGATGAATCTCATTTCCAAGAAAAATAATATTTCATTTCATCTGTTATATTTCATTACAAAACTGACTTAAAGAAACAGAAAAAGATGCTGGAAAGAAAGAACTTTTTTCCTGCCATGTTGAATTAAAAAACAATGGCATCATGGGTCGTTATTCTTTGCTCTGTTTTTTTTTCATTTGCAAAATATTATTTGCAAGGAAAAGGGTTTCGAATTTCAGGTGTAAACAACAAAGCGTAAAGAAATAATCACACAAAAAGGAAAAAAAGCAAAAAGCTTCCATACAAAGGGAAGGTGCTGTAGAAGATTCAGTTGGCAATGGTGGCTGTTTTGACGAGCCTCGACTGCTGACTGTTGGCGGCTGAACATAGCCTTGTGTTGAAATCGAGGGAGCTTCAGTTTGGCTGGAATATTTCATTGTCTCACGAGTCACTTGCGCTGATTCTGGGTTTACACTTGGTACCATCTTATTCATAGTTTTTGTACCAGAAGATATCGAGGGAGCCTCAGTTCGGGTGGAAGACTTCGTTGTTTCACGGGTCACTTGAGGTGATTCTGGGTCTACACTTGGTACCATCTTATTCATAGCTTTTGTACCAGAAGATATCGAGGGAGCCTCAGTTTGGGTGGAAGACTTCGTTGTTTCACTTCGTTGTTTCACGGGTCACTTGAGGTGATTCTGGGTCTACACTTGGTACCATCTTATTCATAGCTTTTGTACCAGAAGATATCGAGGGAGCCTCAGTTTGGGTGGAAGACTTCGTTGTTTCACGGGTCACTTGAGGTGATTCTGGGTCTACACTTGGTACCATCTTATTCATAGCTTTTGTACCAGAAGATATCGAGGGAGCCTCAGTTTGGGTGGAAGACTTCGTTGTTTCACGGGTCACTTGAGGTGATTCTGGGTCTACACTTGGTACCATCTTATTCATAGCTTTTGTACCAGAAGAAGAACTTGGTACAAGTGGAGCAGCTAAAATAAAAAAAGATTGCCTCCACTTAACAAACTACATTTGGTTGCTAATCAGATAAAACTTGTTTATTGGCAAAATTAGATCATAAAAGTATTAAAAAAAGTTAGTACTTTGGCCATGGACATGTTAAAATTTGTACGTCTTGTTTTCTTGCATCAGTTTTGCTGAAAAATAATAGAGAAATATGCTATTACTTATTAGAAATGCAAATACCTGATGAAGGTGCCGTAGAAAGATCCACATGCATTGTTGATTGTTCGCTCTTAAGCTGTGGATTCGTAGAGACAGCGTGCGTTGTGCCGTCATCATGAGTGGAAAGGATGCTTACACTGGGCATTCTGTTGGTGCTTTTGGCCATTCTAGTTGACGGTGCAGTGGAGACTCGCTGTGTATGTGATGTGGCTGGAATTAAAGGCAATACATGCTACTACAAAAACTAAATCACGAAGTCCAACCGAATAAACTTGTCCCCGAACGATACATTGTGGCTTTGCACTCGTAAAATGGAAAAATAGGCCTAATCGTTTTGTCTCGAATAATGTTAAGAAAAACTACACTTTTGGTCATATTTATATTCAAGGGTGGAAGGCTGTAATAATCAAATTAAAATTCAGATTTAATAGCTAGCTTCAACTTTTCTGAATTCTTTTTAAATGAGTTGAACTGAGCTGAAATGAATAGTGAACAGTTCACCTTTTTTCAAGTTTAGTAGATTCTTTCATGCAAGGTGTATGATAAGCAAGATAAGCTTTCTTAACAACCATAAATTGGAAATTAGTTATGGAAATTAATTTTTCCATCTATGACAAGTCAGTGCTAAAAATGATTCATTTCAAACCTTTTTAAAAATGATTCATTTCAAACCTTTTTAAAAATGATTCATTACAAACCATTAAGAATGATTCGCCTACCTTTCGTGGAAATTTCAACTAAATGTTGTGTAGACGGTGGCTGCAAGTCACTGTCTTTCATTTTAGTCTTTCCTTGTGTGGAAGGTTCCTTGGTCGTTACTGAGAATTCATTGTTCTTTGTTGTCATGCTTTTCTCACTTTTCACTACTTCAGTAAACATTGAACTAGGTTCCATTTTTGCATCGCTTGTTATTCCATATGTTTGAGTGTTTGCTTGAGAGCTTGCCCGTGTTCTCACTTGATTGCTGATAGTCCGTGCTATAGTTTGAGTTTGCTTTCGTATCGTTGCTGGCGTGGTTATCTTTGTACTTTCTTTAAGCGGACCTTGGATAAGAACTGCTTGATTATGAAAAGAAGATTTTTATACGTTATCAGTTTGAGGTGTTGTGGCTTGGGCAGGGCATAGGTGTATATCACAGAGAGAAACATGTTTTCAAATAAGAAGATACATACATATAATAGGATGATTTATATGTATATGATATATATATGATTATATGTAATGACGCTTACTCAAGAGAGAAAAACCTCTCTCCGTGCTTCGTGCTCCTTACTCTATATCAGTACTAACGATGAGAGGACGTAATGCGAAGAGTTCCCGGAGATTCCAAATATGGTAGGACCTTCTCATCATTTGTCCCGGAGCCCTGGACCTAAATGGAGGCTTTCTGTCTCCTTCGCAATATAGGGCTAAAACATTTGATGACTTTCAAGGTGAGGGTTTTAAACATATTTAGGCATTTGAGCAAAATGTTTTCTAGAAGAATTTATCATTAGGCTTGGCACGCACGAATAAGGATCATTTAAGCATCATCATTGTTGTGGCGAAAGTTAGCATCCACCTTATTCATTTTTTCAGTTAAGTTTAAAATTTTTCTTATATTGCAATGAAAAAATTTTATGTCATGGTCACAAAATCTATTGACACTAATGTCTCCTACGATTTCAATCGTTGTTTCGTAAATACGTATTTTATCACAAGGGAAACAAGAATAACATCAATGTAAGTGGCACGAAAGTTTAAATTGAAACTGAAAAGTAGTTTAGACAGTAATTAGTGGAATGTAGTTATTAGTTCAAGACACTTTTTATCTAATCCTATGATAGTTTATAAACAAGTAATATTTTAAGGAAACATTCAAAAACTGAGTTATACGTGAGCAAAATTTATTGCAAATATAATGTGTTATAAGTCTTGCAAAATGGTAATATTTAATAACCATTCAAAGGATTTTACAAAATATGCACTTGAAATGATACCGACATTATAAGCATCTTACAAAACAGCTTACACAAACCAGGTGAGCTTAATTTGTTCTAATAAATAAAATAAAAAAGTGCTCTCTCGCTAAAAGAGTGTGATGACGAGAAGTTTCAAAATGAAAAAACAAACAGATATGATAAAAGCAAAGACATAATAAGGAGACCAATAGAATATACTTTTCGGCTTAAAAATATGTTGAGGATAACAGAATAATTGCTAAAATGGTATTTAGAAAGTTTAATGAAGCTGAAATGTTTTATAACGCCTCAAGTTGCAGGTAGCATCAATAGGTCCAGTAAAGGTCCACTGCTCTTTTTGAATCTAAGTCAATATTGGTTAAGATGCTTTAATGACGAGGGACCTACATTTCAACCTAAGAAATCAGATTAAGCTACATTTCCAATAAGACACAACGTTGTTATTTTTAGTTTCTAAAATTCCTTTTTTCATAATAATGATGATTTGATGGGGTTAAGCTATTTATGCCTGGAACAGTCACCTGAGGTGGCACTAATTCATAATTGCTGATACATTTTGCAAATTTGACTTTACCTTGGCTTGTGATTGCAGAATTAAACCAGGCATCATAGACAGCTTGAAACCCGAATCCTCTGTTTGTTGTCCCTGACTTAAATTCAATCCAAACCTCATTTCCTGTGAAGTATTTATCCTCGACTTTGTCACCACATTCAATCACGGGCTCAGATTTCGAAGAGTACTTTCCATCTTCATAGGACACTAAATGATCATCACGGCAAACAGAAGTCCGGCCAATCGCAACCAGTTTCATGAATTGAACAAGTATACCTTCCGCATCAGGAACTCGAATTATCCAAAGGCAGGTCATGTTTGCAGGGTACACATTGGGGTAGTCGGGGCTGGCGAACATTCCTTTCTTTGCTGTTAAGATACCTCCACATTTGTGCTCTAGAATGAAGCAAATAAGATGTATTGCAGTCTAGCACTGTTTTTAAGATTTCAGAATTACTCTTTTTAGGTGTTAATCATAGATTCGATAACGTTAACAGTTAGGCCCTGACTCTTTTGGAAAGCGACAGTTTGTTAATGAATAAAAACCTACAACCTAGAAGAAAACAAACATTGCTTTTTGCATCTTTCACAAATGTATGTAACTTTCAGGCCAAGCCTGTCAATCAAAAAATGTTCACTTCTACTTTGGACCATGATCTAAAAGAAGAATTTCATTTCGTCCTATCTATATTGATCTAAAACTCAATCAAATCCTAATCTATCTAAAACTTACAGACTATTTACCTTCCATTGTGATAATGATGCCACTTTTTGTCAAACCATAAACACCCATAAGACCGACTGTGATTTGCTCGAATGAAACCTTTTCCAATTTTTGCCAACTGGTTCCTTCAGGTTTTATCATGCTTACTCCTATTCTTTTATAAGCATCCCCACTCGACGTAATTGCCCACAACGATCCATCAAAGCCCGCAGCAACCTGTTTCGCCGCGAAAGGTGCTCCAACTCTCTCAGGGCTTATCAACTGAGGGGACGAATCGGCTTGCTCATCAAATCCAATGTCTCGACTTAGATACAAAACACCCTTCAGCGTAGTAAACCAGCATGCGTAACTTCCACAGGACACATCTATTAAGGGATCGTTCTTGTCTCCATCCAATATTTTCCAAGCTAAACCTGTTGGTCGATTTTCGCTAATTTGCAGCTGATGAAGATTTCCGAGTAGATCAAGACCAACTGCAACACCGTTTCGCCCTGAAAACAGTATCACAAGAATGTCATTCATTCTGCATTTGCAAAATTCAAGAAAAGCATAAATTCTGTAATCGATGAATTGAAAAAGAGCCAATCACAAGTTTGGGCAACTGAAAGAATCAAATGGTTAAGAACATCCTTTTATTGTCTTTTTCAAATTTTCTCTGACATAAGATTTGTCGCAAACACAAATTGATGCAGCACAATTTCCCTTCTTTATTGATGTGCTATATTGACATGAAATAAGCGGCATTTCCCTAGTAGTGATAACGACGAATCTTACCCAGGAAAGAGAGAAAAAACACATTTAACGATGGCAACATTTCACGAACGTATTTAGAGCCCTGCTTCCTCCAGCATCTTTTATGGGTTAGATATTGAATGATGACAAAAAAGGCAAAGGATGAATAATTATGTGTAGTTCAGATTTGCTTAAAGAAAACATTTATCGCGTTGTTAGTGTTGGCCAAATAAGATATAAAATTAAGTAAGAAATTATCTGCGTTAAATTATCTGCGTTAAATGAAAAAAAATTGCAGAAGTGAAAGATGGCATAGACAAGACACACCTTTGTTTCCTTGCCTCCTGTACATTTTCACGGGCTTGTGAAAATTTAAACAACGATATTAATTGCTTAAAACATTTTCCATGTTGATTTTGGTTCTATAAGAACATTGACAATGATTAAATGATCAAAATATTCTCACCTGATTCGACTCTTTGCATTCGAATTAATATAGGTACCCTCTCCCATGCATTACCCTTTGGGAGCTCGGATGTAATGCCCTTTCGATACCAAACATACCCATCTTCAGAAGTTCCAATTACCACTGGACCAGCAGTGACGTATGCCATTTTGCCTTCGACTGCATCCCAGATTCTATTGGCATACAAGTACACAGTAGACGTCTTATCAACAGCCCATAAATGCTCCGTAATACCACCGTCTATTTGTCGTAAGCTTTTGGGCGTGGCAATACCAATCCATGGTGAGGTTATAGAGATACCTAGATCAGAGAGAAAATCAAAGGTGTCAAATTAATCAGTCTGCATATTCTATATTGGTTTTTAAAACGAGTACATTCCAAAAAGTATGTCTTTAAGTACTTAAAAATGAATATCGATGTTCAACAAACTCAATCAAAATACTTCAAATTGCAGAGACCTTTGATACAATAACACAGTCGCCTATAAATGGCACATCTGCCTGTCGTTTGACTTTAAACAACTCTTTCAAAACCTTCAAATATCACATAGGCTAATAGGTTTTGGAATAATCCTATTTAACAGACTCAACTCATTGCTAAAAACAGAAATAGCTGGAAGGTATATCAGGCTGACTAATGAATATCTCCAGATCTTCGGTCAGATCTCCTAGACAATTGATAGTAAATTGATACCTTTAACGTTTATGCAAAACATATATGTGGCAATGTTGACGATCATCCTCGCTTTCCGCATGTTGACTTAGCCAACATCGAGAGTAACAAAACAAGTATATTTAGACCATCTGGTGTTTTCATGCACAGGCCAAAAAACTAATTGAGAATTCTTTTTCCTAATTTGCTGCCTCCCTCCGATCTTTATATTAGAAGCAACATATTTCTCGCTATTCTCTCAACACCTCAACCCCAGATATGCGTTTTGTCCCAAAAGCACTCCCCTTTTAACGAATAGCCATGTACCTAATGTATTTCATGGCCCGTTTTGTAAAGACCATCTAGAAGCAAGAATTGTGATACCCAAATTATCAAAAACCAGCTGATGAGCAACTGTCAGTGGCATTGTTTCCTACGAAACAAGTATCCAATTCATCAATGGTTTTCTTCTACAACGAGTCGACATTTGTCCGTACAGTCCCTGCCTTTGCTAATTTTGTATCTTATTTTCTATATCATTGGCAAATATTTCATTTTCAGCTATGGAATATGTCTATGTAAACTGGATTAAAGCTCTTTTAAAGTTTCAAGGTATATATTGAAAATGAATTGAGTACAGAAAAGTCAAGATGCTTTTAAGTTCAGAAAAGTATCTTAATCATCTCAAAGTAAGACCAAGAGATAAAATGTTTCTTAAAAGTATTTACAATGAATTGGTAAAAAATATAGCTGAGGCAGAATTTTGTTTTACTACACCAAGAAAAGTTTAATCAAAATTGCATCAACAGAAAAATAGTTACCTTCTGGTTGCAGAAGAGGCATTTTCGGAACAGCTTTCCAAACCAAATGAAATCCACGGAAACCCGTAGATGAATCGGTTACAAACAGGACGGTCATTTCTGAACCTGTTGATTTGATAGTCGTTGTGTGTGCATGGCATATCTTTGCTAGAGCAGGCGATGTTGGTTCCAGTCCATCTCGGAACAGCAAATAGTCATATAGACACCCATCTCCAGTTTCAATTTCCACGTATATAAAATCAATATGTATTCTCGAGTTTTGACTAACTTTTATTGTCCATCTACACCTTAAATTATCTGCGTATCTACTCGGATATCCAGGACTTGTAAAATTTCCGTATGTCCCGCTATAAGTGCCTCCACAGCCTAAAATAGAAAATAGTAACCGTCAGAAGAGGGCTGGAAAAGACAGCGAAGCAAATACAAAAAAAAATGTCTTAAAATTTTATTTTCTTCCGAGCCTCGTTTTCCTCTTCATTATTACGATGATAATTATGACGAGGCTAGGCAAAGACTAGCAGGTCCGCATCAAAGGGTACGGGAATAGAAATTTTCTTGCAGTACACTTCTTTAGTTCTTTATCACATTCATACATGTTTAAATGTCTCTTGTTCTGGTGAAATTCAGAATGCCAACCAGCCGTTACAATAACTCGAAAATGGCCTAGTGACCGAACTAGCTCCTTTATATTTAGTTGTTTAAGTTGAAAACAAGAGATTCTGGTCGCAAATAAACGTCAAACAATTTTTAGATAATTGATGTTTCTCGTTAAACACAAGCGTTTTGAATTTAATCTGGGGTAAAATTACTTTTAAGTTGTAACTTAATGTTTACTTTCAGATATTTTCAAAATACAAAATCCGATAACAAAAGGCCTTTAAATTTTTGAACTTTGCTAATAAATTCTTACAAGATAACTTGTTACATTACAATTTTACAATACAATTCTCGTTGGCACCCAACAGTACTGGAACTTTTAAAAAACATGATGTCGCTTTACTATCTCTTATAATTGTGTTCATAAAGATGCTGATAAGATTGTTGCTTTGATGGGTGGAACTCTCGTAGCAAAATGTAATTAGGCAACCGATAATGCTAAGTGCCCATCAGTCTCGTGAAGAATTTCTAAGAACACCTCAGTACAAGTTGTCGACTTAAACATCAAGGAAATATTTATCAAGGAAGTTTAGAGAATCATTTTCCACTAAAATATTCAAGAATGTTTTTATCTGTTAGCATGCTTTGTGAAAAGACCATGTTCTATGATAAAACATGTAAAATAATAATAAGATCTTCGTAGATTGTCTTTAGAAAGTTTCAATTTCAGAAAAATATAGATAATTCTCCGTGAAGCCTAGCTGTAAAGCCTATGTATATCCGAATGGCTCCGTATAATTATGTGCAGCACTGGGGTAGTAGCACAAAGAAATCGAATAGAAAAGATAATTATGTAAATGAGTTATATAGGCATACCTTTGGTATTTGCATCAACCGTCACTGCACTTGTGAATGCTGCAGGAAAACAAGAATTTGAAACGTCATTAAAGATACCATTTAAATTGAAATGCTTAATTCATTTTGTCACATCACATCAGAATTAAGCAATTCTAACAGTGTTACAATTCGTTAAATAGATAAACATGAAAAGCTAGATTGCTTATATGTTTAATGAATATCGGCTAAACTGAAATGTAACTTAATATAGAATAAAAGATAAAATTGGCGGGTGTGAAAAGATTTTGCAATTAACGGACAAAGTAGGTCTTCTAACAAAGATCGCTCTCTTACGATAAAATTGGGGCTGAAAATATGTTGATGTTACCCTAAAACCGAAAGTTATACTTCGAGACAAAGAAATAAGTTTATGATTAAAAGGATAAAACAGATAATCTGAAAGAAAATACTGTTGCTTCATGGAAATTCGATTTAAAATCATTAATCACTCCAAAGTTTAGACGAAAAGGTTTTTGGAATTTTTCTCAGAATTTTGTTATGACGAAGCGATTATTTCGGCTAAAGGAAAAATGCGATTTTAAATTAACCGCAGGTACATAGATTTAATTAAGCCTAGATCAACCGCCCTGCTGTTTAAAGCAACCTGAAAACATGAGCGGATTTTGAGCTCCTTCACTACAGCAAAATATTTTGTTCATGAGTGGATAGCAGGTAAACTAGAAATAGCAACTTTGATTGACGAGTAAGCTGTTTTGAAAAAACTAGAGTGTGTGTCTCCGTTCCGGGTTGAGGTCAACGATTTGGCATCTTGCTATCTACAGAACTTTCTCAAAAATGGACTTCAGATTTGAAATCTTCATCTTGAAATTAGTTGAAACTGAAAACTTCATGTCGTTTGGACCGTTCGGTTGCGAGTTATGTCAATTTGAATACTTAGATATCTCTATAGTGAAAGCTTTAGTGAAAGCGTAATTCGCTGCTGTAGTGAAAGAATTTCACTACAGCAAGAAATTCTTTCGCAATGTATAGGAAAAGCTAAATTTTGAAAATGGGTTTATTCGCTGTCTGACGGCCCAAACAACATGAAATTTTCGACATAGACTAATTTTAACGTGAAGATTCCAATTCAATAATCCATTTTTGGCAAATGTGAAGATAAAAATTGCCCGGAACAGAGAATTCTGGCGACAAGTAACCGTTTCGGCGATAAAATATAAAAAACAAAAGTTTAAGACGTTCTCTGAATTCACTTGATCTTACTGAAATGTCCTGGTCTTAAAATGAGTTTAATTAAAATTGTAATAATCCAAAGTAAAGAAACAGGCAAATAAATCTTGTGTGACCTTCCATTCGATAAGCATTCAACCTTAGTCTTAATAGATTGCTAGAAAATGATGAGCAGACGCCTCATTACTGCCAAAGGTCATTTTAGCGCTTTCGATTGTTATGTTACGTAATTCTGAAACTAAACCGTATTTTCAGATGGGCTCTTTTGCATATAGTAAATTTTAGTCCTTTTGTTCTTTTGACCCCTCTCACCCACCAATCCAAAAAGGTTGCCCCACCCCCGGTCTGACGATCCTGTGGTATCTAGCGTTGCATGTATACATGCCATTGTGGTGCTCATGTGCCAGCAAGGTTGCTCCGCGAAGCAATAGTGAAACAACTTTCCGCAGAAAGCCGATTAGCCCATCACCAAAATAAAAATATGAAGCGTGCCAACCACAGACCAGTCGCTTCGCTTCCTTATACTAGAAGGATTGGGGCTAAAAACACAGCGCTACCGCAATCCGGCACAAAAACAAAGATTACCAATATTTTTTTTAAAATACAATGAGCTAATGATTCGCGCCGACATAAATGTCATTCCCGGTATTAAAGTGATTTTTTTGGATCTTGTTAATTTTGTCTGGAATTACAAAAATTTCAATACATGTCTCCTTGGCAGAACTTAAATCGTCAAAGATCTTGTTGCCGTCAAATTGCTTGAATAAAAAATTAAAAAAAAACAGCATTTAGAGACGTTAATTGCCACAAAATCAGGACTTTGCAATTTGCATCACAATTTTTGAGAAGATCAATAAATAGAAAGCATCAACGGCGTGCAGAATATAAATCAATATTTGGTGGGCTGTTTGAGTCGTCTACCGACAGCCTCAGGGTGTAGCTTTCCAATATCATTCTGAAACAAATTAACAACTGTGTCATTTAATATAAACTTAGATGACAAAATATGATTCGACAATACGGAAGTCTATTTATACTAACATTAACAAAGAATCGAAAAGAGAGCGGATTTCTCTTTTAAGAGTTTGTTTCTTGGCATGATTATTTATTGCTAAAGAGTTTGTACCATGTATTTCAGCTTTGACGTGAGATAAATTTCAAGAAATGTTTGGAAGGGGTACAACAAGTTCGAAACTTACAGCAGTTAATAAAAGGTGACGATCCATTAAAACATTTTAGTTTAAATACAGTACAAGTTTCTTTGAACTCTGACAATAGGAGAAGTAAAACATGTAAGAAAAATTATTGTGCTTATCACCAAATACTAAAAAGATTTCTGCTAATAGAGAGCGAGATTGTATATCGTTAGAAACTGGTCTTTTTACTTGGATGACAAATTGTGCTCTTTACAACCACAACTCATTCTATTGCGTTACTTTCTGCTCCAAGTCAGTTTGTATCATTTGCCAATTGACAAGGTTTTTTAGGCTCAGAGTAACGAAACTCATATCTGTGACCACGATTGCCCAAGGCAATTGGAACTCAGGAAATTGGCTAAGATTGTAAGCACGTTGCGACTTGAATATTATCAAAACCAAACGATTATTTATACGTCAGTGGGTTAAATAGGTGACATATAAGCTCAAATATGTAGGGCACAAACAAGCATGTGGGTCCCTCCTATGCTATATAGTTCAAATGCTTAGAAAGTTTTTTACTTTAGAAAGAGTCTTGGTGTGAGTAATTCATGCCAACATGCATGTTTAAAAATAAGCAAGATGAATTGCTAATTTCAGACGTGTGTGACAAACATTCCCAATACCCTTAACCTATCTGCCGGAAAGAGACTATACTGGCAAAGTACATTCTCTAAAGCATCCCTGCCTGAAACATTCATAGCAAAGAATCTACCTTTACTTTTCAGTGCTTTTTATCGACAATTGTAACTTATTTCCTCGGTATTAACAATCTGTTCACCTCGAGAAAAAAATTCTCTAAACCGATGGCAAAGAGGCATAACACACCGATGGCAAAGACTATCATCCATTGGTTGCAAAGATGTATGACAAATTGATGGCGAAAAAGTATGACATACTCATGGCAAAATAATATGACAGTGACACATTGTTCCATTGATGGCAAAGATGTACGACACACTGATGGTAAAGCAAAGTATTTGTAAGACAGTATCACAGTATCTTGATTCTCTTCGAAAATAGGAAATTTCTCTACACAGGAGAAAGCATGGTTGAATGCAGTTTAGTCTCTTTGGATCAATCCATTTGGATGCATTGGGCCGTATAGTGGAAGAAAGAAACTAGCTAGGCTAGACCACATCTTTGAGATACGTTCTAGTGGAAGTATGTTCGCACTCTCTATTCAAATATCTACTTGTTAGTAAAACGAGAATTGCGCATTGTTGTGGATTTATATATGCTTTTCGTTCACTAATAAAACCATCCATCGATTAACGTGTAATTTCCAAACAGTGCTGTGTCTTATTTTACGTGCAGAGAACACGGAGCCAGAGCCAAAGCCCGGGGGGGGGGGTTACTTGGATACCAAAATGACGGGGGTGTGCACTCCTAAGATAGTTTTTGTGAACCGGCTTTAGAAAAAAAGCTAAAAAAGATACCCGGCTTTAGAATTTTTGGATTCACTCAAAATTTCATTTCTCAATAATCATCCTTTAAACATACCTATATGCAAACTTGACAGTATCAATAGATTATTAAGAAAGGTGGCCAGCTTCTGGTTTTCCATATTCTTTCATTAAAAACAGCTAGCATGATAATGTAGAAGTTTTATGTAGAATGTAGAAGACTAAAAAGAAACTTGAAATAATTACAAAGTAAAGCAAACACGTGTATGATCTATATAGGGGTTCATATTAAAAGTTTGTTTGGGGGTGTAACTTGCTGGAATCAAGACAATGTAAATTTTGACAATTTTGTAACAGAAGTTTGTTCTCACATTTGTACTCAAATTATCCAACCGACTTTAGATTTTATCAGTTGAACAGAAACTCGGCCTTAAAATAAATTGCTGGAAATGATACCCGAAATGACGTGCACATCCCATCAGCAAAATACACTCATTTTTTTAAAAGAAACAAAGGTCGATATTGAGTACTCCAGTTTCTTAATGTTCTGGAAATTTCAATGCAAGTCATTGTTTCTTAAGAGTTTCTTAATTATGATGTCATGAATGATGTTATGAAATGTTCGTGACCTTTTTTATCACGTCGAGAGATTCGCTTTCGTTCCGATGCAGTATTTAGATGTGGGAAGTATATTTTTATCCCGTTGTGTCTTAAGTTCTAGGCCAACAGGCCAATCTTGTTCTGGATTTTACAAAATTTCGTTGTTCTCAGTTTTATCACGATTCAATAGTTTCTTAATTGTTGTGCTTCGTGTACTGAAGTTTCTTAATTTTTTCTTATTGTCCAGTACTCGATTCTTAAAGCCAGTTTCTTATAAAAAAAGAGTGTATACTAAGTACCCCACCCCCCCCCCTCATGGGAGCCAGAGAAGAGACGATGTGCCTATTGCATGTCTTGATTCTATGTTGATTACGTTACTGTGGGTATCGAGACAATGGAAGGTGTTAATGACATTGATACAATGGAAGACATGATTACATTCGGCAATTGTCACTACAACTTGTCCTTTACTTAATTCGTACTGGATACATTACATGAGCTTTTACTAACAAATTGTTTCATTGTATGACAAATAACAACACACTGCGCACAATTCAGATTGACAAGTTGACTTTCATTATTTCAGAGTCGTCGTTTACTGAATAATTAGCTGCTATCACATTTATTT